CAAAGGTCGCATGTTCTTGAATTTGAAATTTTCAAAAAAGGGGACCGATGTCTTAAATTTCAGTAACATCCTCAGACAAAAAACAGTTTCCCAAAATGTCCACTACTTTTCAAAACAACAATTTCAGTTTCCTATACAAACACCATTTCATGAACGTAGGAACTATAGAAACGTGTTGCAGAACGTGGACTGGGCAGCTCATGATGTAAATTCCACTACTTTGAAGAAGAAGAAGAAGAAGAACTTTTATTTGCATGAAGGCCTCGGGCCCATATACAATTATAGGACCGCCTCCGTGGTCTAGAGGTAGAGCGTCCGCCCGGAGAGCGGAAGGTCTGGTGTTCGATCCCCGACCGCGTCATACCAAAAGACGTTAAAAGATGGTCCTTGTTGTTACCCTGTCTGGCGCTCGGCATTAAGGGGCTAAAACAAGGACTGGTCGGCTCGGAGTCAGTATACTGTGTTTGAGTGGGGTATTCATGTTAAACTGCGGCATGGTATCTCAGTGAGCTAGCACTATAAATCGGCATCAGTCCGGACTAGTACAAGCAGACACACAAACGCACACACGTACATGCACGTCGCTATATAAGTGCAATAATCTTGGACGCGACGTTAAACCCCATTTCACCTCACCTCACCTCACCATATACAATTACAGTTCACAATATACCAATTGTTCACAGATGCAACGGTAAAGTAACGTGACACATGACTTATATCATAATTGAATTGTACTACTTGTTCTTTTTGCATAAGCGTAATATAGGAAACGTGATCAACTATTTAAGACTGCTTCATTGTTATGACACATAATAGATTTGAAATGGTTCAAGCTAGGATATCGGCAAAGTTTTGCCGGTAAGTGTTCTTGTCTGAGATCATTATAACATGAACAAATGAGTAAAAAATGAAATTCATCCTCTATGCCATTATTACAGACTGGACATATTCGAAGAGACTTTTCTTATCGACAGATATCTGCCTTCATTATTCTTCAAATTTAAAAGACCTGCTCTAAATCTTACAATTATGTTTCTAAATTTTCTTTCATACAAAACTGAAAGATATTTTTCAGGTTCTTAAAGACTTTTAAACTCTGCATATAAATGATATCTTGAACTAGAGTTTAAGACTGATCTCCAGTTTTGGTAAAACATGTTTATACAAGTATCCTTAAAAAGTCGTAGAAATGAAAGCTACTTGTGGCTGACAAGACTCATCACACTATCACAACCAATATTTTGCCTTGTACCATATATTCGCGTGTTTTTTCAGGTGAACATATGACTTGCCTTTGCATGTGTTTTTGACGGGTGCCACCGGTGGCGCAGGATATGCTCACCTTTTCGCGAACACCTGGTATCATTATTATTTGATAGTGATTCATAAACGCATGCTCATGATATAGTTGAAGTCGTACAATTCACTCTGTTTCGGCAGAGATGTCTGTCGAAAATGGTAAGGGTTTTGTCGCTTTTATTTGATTGTGGAAATGTTTTTTATCGCTTTTTAGTTTAATATTCATGCCATCAGTGTGAATTGAAATCACCACCCTATAACGCCTTCTTGTTAACCCCGCAACTAAACATAGTAAATAACGCGAAAATTTAAATATTGAAACAGGACAATGAGGATCGATGTCAGTTCATTTCAATACATCAAACACAGTCTATTTAACATTGCAAATTAGGGCGACGCCAAACTAATCAAATAACTGCATGAAACTATCATTCCTTTTATTCAGCACAAGAATGTTTTATCTCTGACGTTGTCTGATCGGCATTGATATAGTGTACAGTGACCCCTCCTTGTCTGCAGTGTAATATCAGATTACAGAGTCAGCAGAATGTCATGGTCATGTCTGGGCATACTGTCATGCTCACAATGAACTCATGACAGGTATTTTATGTAATAATGTAAAGAAAATGATTAACTACAAAAAATGTTTTTCTTAATACACAGAGACAGAGAGGTTATTGTCTGAATACTTCACCTGGGGAGAGAGGGGGTTGGGAGGGTTGGAGATATAAGGCCCCAAAAGCTGAATCAATTTCTAATCTCGATACAAAATCCTAACAACGACAGGCATTGGTTATTTGGGAGCTGTTATGCTCTGAAGGGTGTTTTTGTTTGAATGATCAATGTAATGCCTACCTATTATCTTGTTAAATACTACTCAAAAAAAGTTAAGGAGCATCCGACTTTTTTGCATATGACTATGGTATATCTGCCATGGCTTCATAGATTAATCATATAGTCATATGAACAAATCGTTTAACTTCTTTTGAGTAGTATGAAAAACATAGAGTGAGTGAGTGAGTGAGTGAGTGAGTGAGTGAGTGAGTGAGTGAGTGAGTGAGTGAGTGAGTGAGTGAGTTTGATTCAACGCCGAATAGCACATCTCTTGAATTACGGCATGTCAGCTAAATGTAAACGGCAATACTGATGAAAAAGAAAGAGTGCTAAACGGGAAGAACGTTATAATTACGTTAAAAAGACACAACTGTGCAACGAGTGGAAACACCTTAGACGATTGGGTCACACGTAAATCACGTAATCGTACATATCGATAACTGTTTTAGTGTATTATTTAAATTCATATTATAAACGGTAAGCGTTCCCAATTATGTACTGGATCAAACAAGAACCAATCATTTTAAGCTTAAAGCGTGGAACTTCGATGTTTTGAATCAGCGTGGGAGACATCACAGAAAATTGGCGAGAGACGTCAAATTGAGCAATAGTAGATTTGAATATTTTTCAGAGACTGTGCTGTAGTAGACGAGCATATTTGTGAGAGGCACGACACTGTACTTTAGTAAACGAGCATATTTGTGAGAGGCACGACACTGTGCTATAGCAGACCGGCATATTTGTGAGAGGCACGACACTGTGCTTTGGTAAACGAGCATATTTGTGAGAGGCACGACACTGTGCTGTAGCAGACCGGCATATTTGTGAGAGGCACGACACTGTGCTGTAATAGACGGGCATATTTATGAGAGGTACGACACTGTGCTGTAGGAGACGGGCATATTTGTGATAGGTCCAACACTGTGCTGTAGTAGACCGGCATATTTGTGAGAGGCACGACACTGTGCTTTGGTAAACGAGCATATTTGTGAGAGGCACGACACTGTGCTGTAGCAGACCGGCATATTTGTGAGAGGCACGACACTGTGCTGTAATAGACGGGCATATTTATGAGAGGCACGACACTGTGCTGTAGCAGACCGGCATATTTGTGAGAGGCACGACACTGTGCTTTGGTAAACGAGCATATTTGTGAGAGGCACGACACTGTGCTGTAGCAGACCGGCATATTTGTGAGAGGCACGACACTGTGCTTTGGTAAACGAGCATATTTGTGAGAGGCACGACACTGTGCTGTAGCAGACCGGCATATTTGTGAGAGGCACGACACTGTGCTGTAATAGACGGGCATATTTATGAGAGGCACGACACTGTGCTGTAGCAGACCGGCATATTTGTGAGAGGCACGACACTTTGCTGTAATAGACGGGCATATTTATGAGAGGCACGACACTGTGCTGTAGCAGACCGGCATATTTATGAGAGGCCGACACTCTGCTGTAGCAGACCGGCATATCTGTGAGAGGCACGACACTGTGCTTTAGTAAACGGGCATATTTGTGAGAGACACGAGACTGTACTGTAGCAGACCGGCATATTTATGAGAGGCCGACACTGCGCTGTAGTAGACGGGCATATTTGTGAGAGGCACGACACTGCGCTGTAGTAGACCGGCATATTTGTGAGAGGCACGACACTGCGCTGTAGGAGACGGGCATATTTGTGATAGGTCCAACACTGTGCTGTAGTAGACCGGCATATTTGTGAGAGGTCCAACACTGCGCTGTAGGAGACGGGCATATTTGTGAGAGGCACGACACTGCGCTGAAGGAGACGGGCATATTTGTGAGAGGCACGACACTGTGCTGTAGGAGACGGGCATATCTGTGAGAGGCACGACACTGTGCTGTAGGAGACGGGCATATTTGTGAGAGGCACGACACTGCGCTGTAGTAGACCGGCATATATGTGAGAGGCACGACACTGCGCTGTAGGAGACGGGCATATTTGTGATAGGTCCAACACTGTGCTGTAGTAGACGGGCATATTTGTGAGAGGTCCAACACTGCGCTGTAGGAGACGGGCATATTTGTGAGAGGCACGACACTGCGCTGTAGGAGACGGGCATATTTGTGAGAGGCACGACACTGTGCTGTAGGAGACGGGCATATTTGTGAGAGGCACGACACTGCGCTGTAGGAGACGGGCATATTTGTGAGAGGCACGACGCTGTGCTGTAGGAGACGGGCATATTTGTGAGAGGCCCGACACTGTGCTGTAGGAGACGGGCATATTTGTGAGAGGCACGACACTGTGCTGTAGCAGACGGGCATATTTGTGAGAGGCACGACACTGCGCTGTAGCAGACCGGCATATTTGTGAGAGGCACGACACTGTGCAGTAGCAGACCGGCATATTTATGAGAGGAACGACACTGTGCTGAAGTAGACCGGCATATTTGTGAGAGGCACGACACTGTGCTGTAGCAGACCGGCATATTTATGAGAGGAACGACACTGTGCTGTAGTAGACCGGCATATTTGTGAGAGGCACGACACTTTGGTGTAGGAGACCGGCATATTTGTGAGAGGCCCGACACTGTCCTGTAGCAGACGGGCATATTTGTGAGAGGCACGACACTGCGCTGTAGCAGACCGGCATATTTGTGAGAGGCCCGACACTGTGCTGTAGCAGACCGGCATATTTGTGAGAGGCCGACACTGTGCTGTAGCAGACCGGCATATTTATGAGAGGAACGACACTGTGCTGAAGTAGACCGGCATATTTGTGAGAGCCACGACACTGCTGGAGTAGAGATGCATATTTATAAGGGACCGTGATGATTCAGACACACCATACCAAAATTATTTTAACTACACGGAACTTCTACCTTTACATTCCAGACATGAGAATCCAGTGACCACACTCAGCCAACATGACCAGTGTGACCCTCCTGACCCTCCTCCTCCTGCCCTTACACACGGTGGTCAGTCAGAACTGGTATGGGCACGACTACTGGAACAACAGGCACGGCACCGAGGGCATCGCCTATGCAAATGGTGAATAGACCGGCAGACTTCTATACTCTCTATTAGCCATTTATAACGTTATCTTTAAATATCTTACTGTGTATACCCATACATTAACACCGTGACTGAAATGAGACTGTAAACCCACTAGCTCAGGCGGCTTGGGTTGTATATATACTCCCCAGGGAGCTGAGAATGGAATTCGAGTGTACACTTATCCATTGACCGGAGTAATAATATAGTGCTGTGCACATGCAACAATTAGTGGATTCGGCGCAGTACAAATGTTTATCGTTATTATTATTTGCAGATTAAAATACAAAATGCAGCAAAGAGGGTTTGGGTGATCCTGGCACAGTCAGGCTGGTTAGGCTCATCATCAGCTCAGGGCCCTTGCCCCCTCTACACGCAGCCCAGACAGCGAATGGGACTTCTCCCAGGAAGCGCTCCCTAGTCAAACCCACCCAGAACTTTTCGGAGAATGTGAAGACTCCCCAACACTGCAGCCTTCTGCAATACCCAGATTGTCAGAAGAGCTGTATTCCTGGTAGCAAACCCGGGCATTCTCCCAATGTCAGTCAACAGATTGAGAGGTACCAAACCTAAGGCACCGAGAACAATGGGGAGTCGGACAACTTGGTACTTGGGATGAAAGCGTGACATTTCGAAAGCGAGGTCCGCATATTTGCCATGTTTTTCCTCAATCTTGTCAGAAAATTCAATGATATAAATGATTTCATTGGATTTAGCAAAAAGGACAAGATCAGGTTTGTTGGCCTGGATATGTCTGAGGCTGTAAATGGGCCTATTCCAAAGGATTTTGTATTTATCATTTTCCATGCCGCCCTCTACATATTCAGGGTCGTACCATGGATGGACCTCTGTGTCAAAACCACAAGCATGGCGAAGACGGTAATAAAATGATCGAGCTACACAATCATGTCGCTTTAGATACTGTGTTTGTGCCAAGGCTTGGCATCCACTAACAATGTGTTGGACAGTCTCATTAAATTCATTACACAAGTGACTGGACCTGAGCAGAAAGCCTTCTGTTTCACTTTTCAGGCCAGACGACTTCGTCCAAGCGAAGGACTCTGCAGGATTGCTGATCCTCTCAACACACTGCACATAAACTCGATGCAGTGGTCGTTCAGATAGCCTCTCCTTTTAGTCTGGGCCGACTTGATTTGGCACTTCGCTCGGTTGACACTCATTTCCGTACCGTCCAGCAGTATAGAACCATCAACAAAATCAACACCGACATTGAGATTATGTTCCACATCCTTGGCTCGTTTTAGAAAACTGTGGAATGTCTTGTTTTCATTATTATTATTAATATTATTATTAATATTATTATTATTACTCTGTTTCCAGAAAGGTTCTACCTGTGGTCCGACCAACCAAATGTTCAGGATAATTACTTTAAAGACACTAACTTCTACACCGAGAAGAAATGTGCTGGTGGTTGCTCGTGTGGGAAGGAGCTGGTTGGCTGCAGTGGCAGTGTAGTGTGAGCTGATACCTTTACCCAGTGAGCGTGTGCTTGTTCGTGTGCGTGTGCGTGTGTGTGCGTGCGTGTGCGTACAGAGAGCAGATACTTCTTGAACTAGGTCCCAGTTGGATGAGAGTGTATGTCAGGAATGGGATTTCATTCATTACAAATCATTTGTATTGTCAACCTGTCGTTTCCTTCTTTTAACCATCTTTCCGAGGCGAGGGAGTTAACTGACTGTAAAAGTCTAGTTTCCACCCTTGCAGAACGAGGCTGGAATTTATGGGCAAGATCGTCGCGCTTCAAGTGGCTAATACGAGTTATGTCCCTTCTATATCCCCCCTTTTGACCAATCAGATTCCAGCTCTCATATCATTTGTATTTGCTCCAAATAAAATGGCTGCGCCAAGTGAAAACGATCTGGCCTATAATCAAGATCTAAATTGTAATAAAAACGGGTCTTATTTCGGGATGTGCATCAAATCACGTGAGCACCTTGACTAAAAACATGAAAAGATTTGGAAAATATCTGTTGACGCTAAGTTGCCGGTAGACATGCTTTGCAAATCCTGCAATCAACCGACAATCTTCACGGCAGTTTGTCGATTTCGTAACGCGATTTTGATTGGACAATGTATAGACTCGTTAGTCCAGTCCAAGATATAACTCCATAATTCGAGCCTAGGTCGGCAAGGGTGGAAACTGGACATTTACAGTCAGTGGAAACACTAAATTATTTAAAGGGGGACAAGTAAAGGCTCCTATAACCGAGGAGCGGACGAGATTAGGGGCGATTGTATTATTAAATTGTAAGATCTGTAAGAGAGTCTAACCTGCCACGTTTTTCATTCCTTCACTATGATAGAGAACCTTGATTCTTTGTCATATATGCACGTAGTTCCGTTACGATTATGAAGGACCTACGACCGTACCTGACTTCAATAAAACACAGAACACGTTTACTTCCAGGGAGGTGAAGGGTCAAAACGTAGAAAGATTGACAGAGAAATCCTTCACGGCAGGCGTACAGGAAGTGTAAGGATACTTTTCTCAAATACGTCATTTAAATTTGATAATTTTGCATATCATTACATCGATAGACATTTACTTATTTATCTATCCTGGCCATAGCTACAATCTCAGTCAATTCCACCATGTACATATTATAGTAATACAGTAAACTACGTTTATAACGAACACGCTTATAACGAACTGACCGATATAACGAACTTATTTTTAAGTCCAGGCCATTTGTTGTATATATGCTGCATATCTGCTTATAATGAACTACGGTTATCACGAACTAAAATTAGTGGGCCCTTTGAGTTCGTTATAACCGTAGTTTACTGTATTTGCATTTATAGTTCAATATCGCTTATGTACGTAACTTGTGGGGGTTTCGGGTAGTAATATAGGTGCCAACAACCCACGCGTGTCGTAAGAGACGACTAAATAGATCGGGTGGTCAGGTCTGTGGGGAATCGAAGCCGGGCCTTCGGCGTGATGATACATGTTTTGCCAAGAGGAGACCTCAGAACTTCTCCCTCAATCTACAGGCAACCAAGCTTGTCTAAGAGGCGACTAACGTTATCGTGTGGTCAGGTTGGTTTATTACATGTGATCGTATCCCAATTGCAGGGATCGATGTTCATGATGTCCATCACTGGATTCCCTGGTCCAGATTCGATTACTTACAGTACGGCCATAACAACCAATGTTTTTTAAAGCGTCTGTGTGATTGATATAGAAACATCTTCTCGTCTTTTAACACCAGTGTCCTTTTTTCAGGCATCTTATCGACATGCCGAATCTAGTAGAAGTGGAAAACATAACATTCTACAAGGCAACAAACCTGAAGATATTGTATGTATACCTATTGACGTTAACCAGTGTAGAACGTTTTCTTCGACGTAAGCTGTGTTAAGACACCACATTCTTTCTGTTCCAATATAGACCGCCTCCGTGGTCTAGTGGTAGAGCGTCTGCCCGGAGAGCGGAAGGTCAGGGGTTCGATCCCCGGCCGCGTCCTAGCAAAAGACGTTAAAAGATGGTACTTGTTGTTACCCTGTCTGGCGCTCGGCATTAAGGGGTTAAAACAAGGACTGGTCGGCTCGGAGTCAGTATACTGTGTCTGAGCGGGGTATTCATGTTAAATTGCGGCATGGTGGGCTAGCACTATAAATAGGCATCAGTCCGGACTAGTACAAGCAGCCACACACACATATACACGTCCATGCACGTCACTATATAAGTGCAATAATTTTGGACGCGACGTTAAACCCAATTTCACCTCACCTCACCTCACTAAAAAATATGCTTGTCATCTGAGAATCAGGTTTGTGTTTCATGGAAAGATAATATTAAAATATCCAAAGTGGAGCTGTATATATTACACTTTAGTCACTTTAGGTAAGCAACCACATTTGTTTTGTAAATGTATATAAGTCGTAAGCTTTTTATTATTTAAGAATGACATAATATGATAGTTTTACCTTCATGTGTAACGTATGGTAAATATCATATATTAAGAATCAAACACATATGTTACACAATAAACATACATACATACATACATACATACATACATACATACATACATACATAGGATATTTGCGATACAGAAACACAATAATGATCTAAACCAACTAGTATGCGGAATCTGTGACGATTTTTTTAGTATTGTTAATTCATATGTACACATGTACTGAAATATAATGTTTCACTGTATATCATACATACCATTCCAGACAAATATATGGAACCGGCATCAGATTAGTTCCTGATATCAGCAAGACATCCATGCAAGAACTGTGAGTGCCATACATGTTATTCCCGTCTGATTTCCACGGCTAGTTATTATTAATCACAAGGAACAAACCCTGCTGCTATTAATTAAAGCTATTTTAAAGTTCTATTAATCATGGCCAAACATGAAATATATTGGTATAAAATAAACAAAGACTACACAGTTTCATCGAATTCCTCTCCAACCATTTCGGAATATTGCAACATATATTCTATATGTCTTATGTCATCGCTGAGCAGTTGCGTCCCTTGGGTGTACCAGAATGTTCGAATCCCAGACCTCCCTGATTATATTTCTAGGTTTGTCAGCATCATGCCCGTACTCTTTGGATTCGCCAAAGTTTAAAAGTTTAAAATCTGTATCATTTCGGGCGATCCTCCCACATCTAACTCACACGCAGTGATATAACTTATAATATCATAATACTATTCAAAGGGGCGTTATACCCGTGTTGATCCAGGTTAGAAAAAATCTTCAGCAACCCTTGCTTGTCGTAAGAGACGACTAACGGGATCGGGTTGTCTGGCTCGCTGATCTTGTTGATGCATGTCATCGTATCCCAATTGTGAGGATCGATGCTCATGATGTGAATCACTGGATTGTCTGGTCTAGACTCGATTATTTTGCAGACCGCCGTCATATAGCTGAGTGGGGGTGTTAACAAAAAACAAAAAAAAACAAAAAAAAGCAAACAAGCAAACAAAGGGGCTTTAAACTTTTCTCACTCTCTCCAGTTATTTTGTTACGACAGATATTCATTCCATGGCTTCGGGCTACTTATTGGTCAAAATAGTCATTTATAAAATACCCGAATCGGTTGCACTGTACACTGAATTCCAGGAATTGTGAATATTATTATTCTGTATATGTTCCAGGTATTTGGTAAACAACAAGATCAGATTTTTCCCTCACAATTACACAAAACAGATTTTGCCGTCTTCGCTGCTGAAAGTGTAAGTATATTATAAAGGTATTTCAAGATATTTTTTTTTCTTAAGAAACCGTCTAAGAAGTTATCTCGGGGCACGGGTGGCCCAGTCGTTTGAGGCGCCGCGATTCGCTGTGCAGAGTTGCGTGCCTAGGGCACGCCAGAAACCTATGATTGTTGGTTCGAATTCCGGTTCGCCCCGATTATGTTTCTAGGTTTGTCAGCACCATACCGTGCTCGTGGATTTTACCGATGTGGTAAACGTCTGAGACCTGCATCACTTCGGGCTTTCCTCCCACATTAAGCTGACACGGAATGATAAAAGTGGCGTTAAACCCAACTCACTCACTAGAAGTTACCTCAAGTGATTGGTTACTGTGTAGCCTGATAAACTACTCAAAAGTGGCGGACCACCCGATTCTTTCATATCACTATAGTTATGGTATGACAGAATAACTCAAGTTATATGAACGAATCGGTGTGACAGATTAACTTTAACTATAAATGACGTGTGCGGTATGATTACTGTGGCGGTATATAATCCTTTCAGTATATCAATTCTGTATTTCAGATCACTTATAGGTAACGAGATTGAATGGTTCCCGGACGAATTTGTAAGAAACAGTAATATCGAGGTGTTGTAAGTATTTTGTTTTCGTATATGATGTATTTTTCATCTAGTATTCCTGTATCCCTTTGCAGTAAAATGTTTCACAAAATGTTTCACAAAACACCTGTCTCTTTCTACTTGGGTGGACAATATATGAATACCAATAGACAGGGCTGGGAGATACTGAGGCAATTAGGCTGAAATAATGCCCTGTCCCCTCTGTGTTGTTTGTTTGTTGTCTTTTTCATTTACGCCGCACTCAGCAATATTCCAGCTATATGACGGCGGTCTGTAAGTAATCGAGTCTGGACCAGACAATCCAGTGATTGACAATATAAGCATCGATCCACGCAGTTGGGATCGATGACATGCATCAACCAAGTCAGCGAGCCTGACCACCCGATCCCGTTAGTCGCCTCTTACCACAAGCATAGTCACCTCTTACGGCAAGCGTGGGTTACTGAAGACCTATTCTACCCCGGATCTTCATGGTCCTGTCGCCTTTGTGAGTGCTACGCGTGCAGCTATGAAACGATATGATCACACAATAACCACATTATCGCCACTAATGCTATTTTTACCATGGTTACCGCGTCTCCGTGTTATTAGTGTGGATTATTTACCAAAAGAAAATACAAATACAAAGGTATTCGAGTTCGACTATTGAATAAACCGCAAAAACGTTTTAACAATTATCAACTGATTGTTTTCACCATTCTAGGTTTACAAATCAAGTGTCGTTGTTAATTAATGTCGGTTCATATTAATAAAATCACCATGGAGATGGTTTTAGCAATAAATGTAATATAATGACGATTTTGATCTTGCATAATATTTTGAACCCAGGCATGGAAAGTTTCATTTTGTTATTGAACATTTTATCAATATTGAGTTCGATCAAGTTTTGTTTTCTATCAAATATTTTCAGAGCTCTCAGTAGGAACAAGATTCGTCAGTTCCCTGGAAGTGGCTTGGCACAAATGGCAAACCTGTGGTTCCTGTAAGTACGTCCACTACCAGACTGGGAACATACATTACACTTCTAATAATATAATGTGTATGTTTATCCACATCCTAACGCATTCTTAAATCCCTACGTTATTAACCAGGCTAGCGGATGAGTGTGCTCTTGAATTTCATTCTCAGCTCCCTGGGCAGTATACAACCCAATCTGCCTTATGAGGTGCTTGAAGGTCATCAGTGACATTACAATCTCATCCTACCGTGTACCCATTCACTGCTGGGTGAACAAAGGCACATTCCGAACAAAGTCTCTTGTCTAAGGAGACACCACATGTAACCTGGGCTTCAGTGTGAGCCCTAGATACACCCAGGAGCCAAGCTGTCGGTCACCCATCCACCAACTATCCGCGACCAACGTTGCTTAGCTTTGCCTTATTTTTGACTTGTGCGCTGTACACGATATCAGGTGCCACCACTTCTGACAAGGAACAACAGTTCCACACAGAACTAAACTGCAAACGATACTGACTTTACTTCTGAATGAAAAAAATCCATTTGGCGTTGGGTTTCATGAAAACCAAAGTCAATTGGCACACATCCAAAACAAAATGGCGAAAGAAATATATCACCTTGAACTCTGAATATGATTTTCGGAATGAATCATAGAAAGAAGAAAGTGTACGCCCACTGTTTATATATTAACAAACTGAAAAGTTAATCCCCAATTATGACAAGGACAGTCCCCAATCCAGTGATTGACATCATGAGCATCGATCCACGCAATTGGGATACGATGACATGCATCAACCAAGTCAGCGAGCCTGACCACCCGATCCCGTTAGTCGCCTCTGACGACAAGCATTGGTTGCAGCAGATCAATTCTAACGCGGATCTTCACGTGTTCTACGGTGGTATGTGAATGGTAATACAGTATTATATTACAAAATTGCTCTACATTCCGAATTGTACAGTTTTATGACGTTTCTAATAACATTCTTTAGGATTTAATCCAAACCTATCTTTAGAAAAGAATTCATAAATCTTTGAATCACGGGACTCAGCCTTGCGTTTCATTGCATGATCCGGTTGTTCATTTGCCTGGCTGTAATGACACATTGACTGCCATGATTGGCGATCTGTTACTTTGAAGGTGGCTTAAAACCTGACGTTTGTAATATATTACAGTCCGAGGCCATTCAACCATAATGCGTTCCATAACAAATCTGACAATGACACCGTTGTCAATTACAAGTGTCGAATACCCCAAATACCGAAGTTGTGACTTTCGCTCTCCCTTGTCGTAGGACCCAAACATATTCATTGATTCACACAATATGATATATGTTTTGTGTGAGTCAAAAGAATATACACAAGGTATTTCTGCAGTACTTTTTAACCTTTTCGAGAGGGGACTATCGAGAATACATCGTTTTACAGGTTCTTCGATACAAGCAGAATGCAGATGTTAGACTGTTAAGCGGCAATAAGGATTCTGTTAGGACAATAAAATAACATCGTCTTAAACGACACATCGAATTATCCGTAGTTCGATACAAATGTGAACCATAGTGGTGATATGGTGTCCAATGGGACCATGAAGGTCTTTGATCATGTTCGAGTTATCACAGTATACGTCTGAGCTCTGATGACACAGAAGTTAACTTAACACATTTATGAAACTTGACTATTTGATTTATTTTTGTTTCTGATGTGTATTTTCACGATGGACTGAAAGTATACTATAAATAAAAAATAAAAAATCTGACTTATAGCCTAAAAAATCCGAAAGGATTAAAGAACTGACATCCTTATGTATTTATAAACATCTACATGTGTGTTTTAAAAAAAATATTTTGTTACAAACAGATCTATGAATGAAAATGAACTGGAAGTCGTCTCAAGAGAACACCTCACGAATCTAAAGAACTCGCCGTTAAAACATTTGTGAGTATAGATCAGCTCAGTATGTACAGTCAGTTGATTGTCAGGACCCCGATCCACAAACCGATCTCAGCGCTAAGGCGATCGTAACTCCCATACCTTACATGAACTTACTACAATCGTAGCTCTAATATCACTTTCTGGAACGGCGCCTTAATGTCCCCAGTCTTGCTGTGCTTGAGGTTATTTCAAGTTGTTCAGGTGCACGGGTGGTGAGAGTTGTTTCCCTTAGGCATGCCTGGATCCGATGGCTGTGGTTTCGAATCTCAGGTTCGCCTTGATTAAGACTCTTGCTCACTGGTGCTCACTGATTGAATCAAAGCGGTTATATTTGAGGCTTGCTTCACGTCGGAATGTCTTCCCATATTAAACTGACACGCCTTGATATACAGTAAACTACGGTTATAACGAACACGCTTATAACGAACTGACCGATATAACGAACTTACTTTTTAGTCCCGACTATTTGCTGTAGTTATACTGTATATATGCTTATAACGAACTACGGTTATAACGAACTAAAAATAGTAGTCCCTTTGAGTTCGTTATAACCGTAGTTTACTGTACCTGAAAAACTGTTCAAAGCGGTTGTAAACCCAACTCACTATATAATGTCTGTAATTGTATAAGAGCAACATGCCATTACAAGTACAGATCACACAACATCCTTGACATCAGCCAACTGCGTTCATGACTGACACAGCTGAAACTGTGAAAGGAACAGCAAGCTCCCTTGATATGTCCATCATTCTCACCACCTCTCGCCTTGACCTAACGAAATAAACGACAAAGGAACTACTAGATAAGTGATTGAGTATGGTTTTACGCCGCTTTTAGCAATATTCCAGCAATATCAAGGCGGGGGACACCAGAAATGGGCTTCACACATTGTACCCATGTCGGGAATAGAACCCGGGTCTTCGGCGTGACGAGCGAGCGCTTTAACCAAATGGGCTACCCGACCACCCCAACTACTAGATAAAGTACTGTTCTAAACACCATGTCATATTAATGGACCGCCTCCGTGGTCTAGTGGTAGAGCGTCCGCCCGGAGAGCGGAAGGTCCGGGGTTCGATCCCCGGCCGCGTCATACCAAAAGACGTTTAAAAATGGTACTTGTTGTTACCCTGTCTGGCGCTCGGCATTAAGGGGCTAAAACAAGGACTGGTCGGCTCGGAGTCAGTATACTGTGTCTGAGTGGGGTATTCATGTTAAACTGCGGCATGGAATCTCAGTGAGCTAGCACTATAAATCGGCATCAGTCCGGACTAGTACAAGCAGCCACACAAACACACACACGTACATGCACGTCGCTATATAAGTGCAATAATCTTGGACGCGACATTAAACCCCATTTCACCTCACCTCACCTCATATTAATGACCTTCGTTTGACTAAGTGTTACCCTCTGAAACAGTTTGCCCAAACATGGGGATGTAATGTTTTATAAGTCAGGTGACTTTCTATTGATAATGTATGAAGTCTCAGTTATTTACAGACCGCCGTCATACAGCTGGAATATTGCTGACTGCGGCGTTAAAACAACAAACACGAAAATGATTACCCCTGCGTTTTTCCGTATTATAAATATGCATGGACTAAATGTGAACACAATACAAAGTTTGCATTCCTTATATATGATATTAACGATAATAAAAATGACGACTGTAAAAACCTAGTATCATATATGATACCATTTTTGTAATTATCGAATTTAATGACGTTTTGCCTTTCAAGTAGCTCCCTTCAGGAACCGCGTATGAATCCCATGCATAAGTGAACCGCCCAATGTAACATAAAGTGCCAAGTATTTGCGACCATGTTTGTTTACAGCACATCGGGAAAATAAGTTTATCGAGCAAGTAGTCTTCGCGTTGATAAATAGATGTTATCAAGCTTAGTTATCAAGACTCAATTTGCATATTTATGATACCAAAATTATGGGATAGGTTTATGGCATCGATATCATCATCCCTATAAATAAGAGCAAACAAAACCATCTCCATTATAAAAACAGTCTATGGTTTATCATAAGCATGGATTGATGACTCACTATCAAATAGTGAAGATTCCAAAACATGGTATTTCCAGGAACCTGAGCAACAACGCTATATGGTATATAGAACCCGGAGCCCTGTCAATCCTTACTAGCCTCCAGATTCTGTGAGTATTCTAGTCTCCGCACACTGTCACACAAACAACTTGGGAAGTAAAGCAACAACCAGCCTGACTTATCGTAATGTCATTGACAGTGACAGAGGAATTGATTACATAATTATATCCGAAACCTTTTAAAACTTTCTACCAGGTTTGGTTGATTGGGGTATCTAGATGACGGATTCGAACCCTCTTGCGACCATTGAGGAAGACAACGATCTTCTCAACTGATTTGAAGTATCGTGTATTTTGAACACTTTGAACATTTTTCTTTGTCATGAGGGGCGTGCCTAATGATTTCGTTCTGTTTCAGAGAACTGCATGCTAATTCCTTTTCTGAGATTCCCGAGGGAACCTTCAACAATGTGCCGGAATTAGTGCATCTGTAGGTATCAAGTCACAGGGCTTCGTATGTGTCATTGACCGCTAGAGCCGTGAAGATTCCGGGGTAGAATAGGTCTTCAGCAACCCATGCTTGCCGTAAAAGGCGACTAACGGGATCGGGTGGTCAGGCTCCCTGACTTGGTTGATACATGTCATCGATCCCAATTGCGTGGATCGATGCTCATGATATCAATCACTGGATTGTCTGGTCCAGACTCGATTATTTACAGACCGCCGTCATATAGCTGGAATATTGCTGAGTGCGGCGTTAAACAAACAACCAACCAACCAAACCAACCAATCATTGCCCGCTGTCCAATGGCTAGTAATATTTTCGGCGGTCAATTGATACTCTTCATGTCCTATTCACACCTGTCTATACTATGGTGCGTTGATGTTTTTCACACAATAATTGATAATGTGAGTCTCAATTTATATTGGTATTGTTTCTCCGCGTGTTTCTGACCAGTGTTGGTAGACTTATGTTCGAATGTTCTGAAGGTTAAATACATTTGTTCAGCATCGGCGAGTATGGTTTTATGCCGCTTTTAGTAATATTCCAGCAATATCACGGCGGGGAATACAAGAAATGGGCTTCATACATTGTACCCATTTCGGAAATCGAACCCGGGCCTTCGGCGTGACAAGCGAACGCTTTAACAACGAGGCTACCCCACCGACCCGTTCAGTATGGAATAGACAGACAGATTGATAATGTACTACTACTACTGCAGCTACTACTACTACTACTACTACTACTGCTGCTGCTGCTGCTGCTGCTGCTGTTGTTGCTGCTGCTACTGCTACCACTGCAACTAGTACTACTATTTCTACTACTGCTACTACTACTACTACTACTACTACTAGTAGTAGTAGTGCTCTTCTGACAATGTGGGTAATTGCGCAGGCTGCTGTGTTGGGGAGTGTTCATATTCATAGGAAAGTTCTCGGTGGGTTTGACGGGGCAGCGCTTCCAAGGAGAAGTCTGGGCTGCGTGTAGAGAGGGCCTACCTGGACCGCTCGACCTTCACCTGCTACATTATATTTTGCAAAATTAATAATAATGATAATGATGATAATAATACTAATATTGATTTATCCAGTGACTTAGTGAAGAACAAGATCGAGGTGTTGACAGCACGGAGCATCACAAATCTTCCAAAGATTGTCACTATACGTCTCCACAGTCAGGACCCGTCCTTGAACAACATACAGTACAACGCCTTTAGCAACATCCACGGCACTCTAGAAAACCTGTGAGTACAAGCTTCGTTATAACACCAGAACGAAAACTCGAATTGCGCCACGTTGTATAAATCGTCCTCCTTGTGAAACCCACGAGCTGCATGGAGTTTAATTACCAAGGGTCATAATAAGCGTCAAACTGGGGTTCGAACGCAAGATTAGCGAATCCTAGTGGCTAAGGGACGCAACTCTCTACATCGACTGAGTGCCCCTCCTTCTGGGGTAGACAGGCTGTGGTCAATTTCCCGTAGGCTGCGATTGGACAACACTAGCCACAGCATTAATTACCGAATTAAAACAATGAAGTGAAATGAATTGAAAGGTGAAGTAAATTTGCTTTCTTCATAATTATCATCAGCAAATCTGTTTGTAAAAATGTGTATCGCTCAAACAAACTTTCGAGGCGTATAACTGGGTACGGTACCACGAAAACATAATGGTGCCACTGTGGTTGCATATATATGTTTTTAAATCGAAATTTCTCGTTATTTTAAGTATGTGTTGTTGTTTTTCTCTAAATTTCGAGTTTTTTTCTCGTTACTTCGATTATATTTTAGTAAATCAATTATTTTCTCGTTACTTCGAGGCTTGTTTTCGTAATTTCGAAATTTCGATTTTTTTTCTTCAATTATGCTCTCATTACTTAAATTATTTACTCGTTATTTCAATTATTTTCTCGTTGCTGCGAGCTTTTCTCTCGTCACTCGTCTCGTTATTTCAAGTTTATTTAAAAAACTCGAAATTTCGAATTATTACTCGTTATATCAATTATTTTCTCGAAATTACGAGTTTCTTTTTTGTTACTTCGATTGTTTTCTCGTTATTTCAAGTTTATTTTACGAACCCAAAATTTCGAGAAAATAATTGAAATAACGAGAAATTTCGATTAACGAAAATAATAATGCTACCAAAGTTTCACCATTAGGCTTTCGCAGAGCACATACTTATACCAGATTACGTGGCTGTCGCCTGTTGGCTAAAAGTGATAAGCTTGCTGCGTGAACCAATGGTGGAACTGGTTGTCCACGAAAATATTGATACGATCAGAGTTGTATGGCCTTGATAACGATGCTGGAGATTTAAGAACGCTTCTAGTGAAGCCTAATTTGCCGTCGGTACGCACTCGCTGTCTATGACATTCCGAGACGGACAGGTCAGAGGTGAATACTTCTGTTGGATTAAGGAAATCTGAAAATGTACGAATCTTACTGCAGTGTAAGTTTGCCTCTTACGTTTTTAACCCATTCATGCCTGGCTTGTGCCTCTGGGCCTATGTTTCTGTTTGTTTCTTGTTTAACGTCGCACCCAGCAGTATTCCAGCTATATGACGACGGTCTGTAAATAATCGAATCTGGACCAGACAATCCAGTGACTGACATCATGAGCATCGATCCACGCAATCGGGATACGATGACATGCATCAACCGAGTCAGCGAGCCTGACCACCCGATCCCGTTAGTCGCCTCTTACGACAAGCATAGTCGCCTGTTACGGCACGCATGGGTTGCTGAAGACCTATTGTACCCCGGATCTTTACGGGACTCTGGGAATATGTAGCATTGTGTTAATCTTTGAATTTGTTTTCAGTTGGATTAGTGATAACGCGTTGACAACGTTTCCTCACCCGGCGTTATCGGCAGATACCTATAAATCGATTGAACAAATGTGAGTATATCTTTTCTTTTCTTGACACATGGTATGGTCAATATTTCACGGGGTTTTATATAATACCTTCCTTGACCGCCGTTAATACAATACATACGGCCGTTATGCGGTGTAATATGTCTTTTTAGTCAGGGAATGAAATGAGGCCGTGTTTAACTCACGGAAGTCACACGAACCTATTTTGTACACCCCTACCGTTGCCTTATATTGAAGCAATGTGTGGATAGATAGCCTTCTCGCAAATATTAAGTAGTGTTTAACTCAATAACCGTGGAAGTCACACGAGCCTACTTTGTACAACCCTATCTTTGCCTTATATTGAATTAAGGGACAAAACCCTTTCCATATCCAATAGAAATCTCTGCATAAAGCAGAGCCGATTGTACAATTCCGACTTATCATGAGCATGCGTATATGAATCACTATCAAATAATAATGATACCGGGTGTTCGCGAAAAGGTGAGCGTATCCTGCCTCACCGGTGACACCCGTCACAAACACATGCAAAGGCAAGTCAATTGTTCACCCTACAGAGAAGCACTCTGTAGAGAGTAGATGACCCTCACGTTGGAATTAGCCCGTGTATAACGTAGCGTATACAAACCCTTGAAGCATTTACGCTGGACACATTGATGTCGTTTTATGGTCTGTATTCGAACCTTTACATGAACTCGATGGCCCAGTATATACTCCAACAAAACGTAGGCCGTACATTCACCGTACCTCCGAGCATTGAAAACGCCAGGAACGGCAATACATGAGTATTTGTGAGATTAATACAATACTTATCCGGCTTATCCCAGAGTCATAAAGGAACCGGGAATGATCTTAAAAGTGGACATCAATATTTAATGCATTCTTTTTCTGTGAAAAGGGTTGGGGACAAATACGTTTTTCCTAAGATCCTAATACTTTCAATAATTATAACGTGCTATTAAATTTAAGATATAACTAGAGACATAACGGACCTATATTTATGTTAAATTATTTTCTAATTCTAGTGAGTGAGCGAGTTTGATTTTACGCCGCTTTTAGCAATATCCCGGATATATCAAGGCGGGGGACACCAGAAATGGGCTTCACACATTGTGCCCATGTCGGGAATCGAACCCGGGTCTTCGGCGTGACGAGCGAACGCTTTAGCCACTAGGCTACCCGACCGCCCCTTTTCTAATTCTAATAACCTCTCGGCCAATTTACACTTGTCAGAGGGGTACACAAAGTATGTGATCTAGACTACCAGTTGTCGGACTTTCATTTTAGTCTCGGTTGCTGAGTGGGTTAGATCGCCAACTCTATGTGCTGGCGATTAGGTGCCTTACTCTGGCAGTGTGGTTTCGAATCCCGGACGGGACTCAACCGAAACAAGTACGAGAATCTGTACTTTACAAAGAATGTGTTGTCCCTAATATAACATTTCTTATAATTTCTTATTATTTCAATATTTTTCTGTTTTATTTAAAATGGATAATTATTGATTTTGTTTTGTTCTTTGCCAGTTATGCTGACCACAACTTGATAAAAACTCCCACAGAGTACAGCCCTGATGACTTCCCCAAGAGTATGCGCAATACAGCTCTGCTACGGGCGGCTTCATTCATCCCCTTCCAAACTCTTTCAAACCTGCAGTTGCTGTAAGTTTACCCCGAGTCAGGCATTCATGACCACTCGACATTCCGGAACATGCCGAATGGCAACTCGTATTATCCATTCGTGACCACTCGACATTCCAGGACATGCCGAATGGCAACTCGTATTATCCATTCGTGACCAACTCGTGTTATTCCGAGACAAGCCGAATAGCAGGTTACGGAAGGGGGCGAGTAGTGACGATTGTCGTATTATCTGCACAAAGGTTACGGAAAGATGGGAGTGGTAAAGAGTACATGCTGAAAAAACATTTTCAACGATGAATGACAATTACGTTTGTTAAAAGAACCATTAAACACGGGTACACAGTAGCAGACGTCGTAGATGCATGTACATTGCATTGCACCCGTAAAGATCCAGGGTAGAATAGGCCTTCAGCAACCCAAGCTTGCCGTAACAGGCGACTATGCTTGTCGTAAAAGGCGACTAACGGATCGGGTGGTCAGACTCGCTGACTTGGTTGATGCATGTCATCGTTTCCAATTGTGTGGATCGATGCTCATGATGTCAATCATTGGATTGTCTGGTCCAGACTCGATTATGTACAGACCGCCGTCATATAGCTTGAATATTGCTGAGTGCGGCGTTAAAAAACAAACCAACAAACAACAAACCAACAAAACATTGCATTGTGTATTCTTTTGGACAAGTTCTAAAAGATACACTTTAAAGTATCCGTGTAATTAACACTTGCACCCTTTACGACAAACACTTTAGCGTTAAATCTTGCGTACGTGGTATATGCTGCACAAATCGTTACAGATATTATACAACACCTGAAGTATTGGCCACTTGTATGTTCTCCCAAAATAACGAAGATATATGGTCACACTATCAACCACTTGTGATGTTAAAAGATGTGTTTTGACAAACATGGACAGCTAAAACAAATAATCATCTATAGTTTTTAGAATATAATATTAGAATACAAAAAAATATTATCTTGAGATTATGTACATTTGGTTTTTGTTCTCAACATCTTTATGGATTACCTCACATTGGTCATAAGATATACATTGCGTTCCACTAAAGGTGCAAGATAAAAGTCAACATTTGATCATGAGATGGACGTTATTCTCCTGTTCACATGTGTACATATTCTGAACAGTGACAATGTGTGGCAGCGCAAAGAGATCAGTTAACCAGGCTATGTGATGAGGGCTGTAACGCAGTACGTAACAGAAAGATTGTGTTTAAATTTGAAAGGTGTCAGTGTAAGTGCACTCAAGAATATCCATAGGTCACACACGCAATTTAAATAACTCCAACGATCACCATTTCTAAGACGATGCCATGCGACAGCCTAAGCCACAGGGATTTGATGACATGCATCAACCAAGTCAGCGAGCCTGACCACCCGATCCCGTTAGTCGCCTCCAATAATTCCAAAGATCACCATTTCTAAGACGATTCCATACGACAGTCTCTTTGTTATCAGTAGAAAGTAGAAGAGTAGAAAGATGCGATCTGTATTTAACACTGTTGTAATTACAGGCACCTGGGAACTAACGCAGTCGACTTCATCCAAGCTAGCTACTTCTGTAACGCTAAAAACCTTGTGTACCTTTACGTGAACAACAACGGCCTGAAAGACAGCAGCATCCCCGAAGATGCCTTCTCCTGCATGGGTCAGCTTGTGGAGCTGTGAGTAAGATGTTGAATGTACAGCGCATGTGTTTAACACAGTCATACCACTCGTAAACAATGGTCTGTTTGTTGTTGGTTTGTTGTTTAACGCCGCACTCAGCGATATTCCAGCTGTATGACGGCGGTCTGTAAATAACCGAGTTTTGTTTCTTTGTCTGTTTGTTGATTAACGCCGCACTCAGCAATATTCCAGCTGTATGACGGCGGTCTGTAAATAATCGAGTTTTGTTTCTTTGTCTGTTTGTTGATTAACGCCGCACTCAGCAATATTCCAGCTATATGACGGCGGTCGTGTCTGGACCAGACAATCCAGTGATTGACATCATGAGCACCGACCGACGCAATTGCGATTTGATGACATGCATGAACTAAGTCAGCGAGCCTGACCACTTAATCCCGTTAATCGCCTTTTTCGTAAGGCATAGTCGCCTTTTATGGCAATCATTGGTTGCTGAACACCTATTCTAACCCGGGTCTTCACGGGAGATGAATCTAAAACATCAACACCAGAATAACCAGTCTCAATTATGTGCCAAAACAGGTTATATTGGGCGTAAAAGGTAAAATATTTATGATAATTACGTAGATGAATCACTGAAAATCAGCGATGACACCAGATATTTGCAGAAATGTCAAGTATGTTCAGCACCCGTCACTCTAGAGTCTCAGAAATATATCATCTTGTTATATAATATATATATATACATACAGAAATCAAATCCAAATGGAGCCTAGAACAATACTTAATTTCAGGATTACTCAGGCAATCTAGACTTGCTAAAGTATTCTACACTTGAATTGGATTGGTACAACAACAGTTCTAGGGGGTAATTCTATTTTTATTAATGTGGATAATTCAGGTACTCCGGTTGTCGCAGACCGTCAAATAAAATAATCTAGAATCAATGGCACTTGACATTTTACGAGCGCTTAAGTTAGCTTCCGCTAACAATACAGTACTTACAGTGAGTGAGTAAGTATGCTTTTACCCCGTGAGTGAGTATGGTTTTACCCCGCTTTTAGCAATATTCCAATATATTTATGGGTTTCACACATTGTACCCATGTCGGGAATCGAACCCAGGTCTTCGGCGTGACGAGCGAGCGCTTTGACCACAACGGTCTCCGACTGACCCTATAGTACTTACAGAGCATAATGTCACATAATTAATGGAAGCCAGGAATGGCGGTCAGTGATGTTTGCCATTTAGTTACATAACAACTTGGTAAAATGCTGACCTATTAAGGGTCACAATCGGGTCGGAACAAATACATGCACATTCTGGCACGACAAAGGGACGCAACTTTATGCATCGAATTGCGCTATTAGTAGAATAAAGCCGACTGGCGGTTTGTGTTTTGTCGTTGTGTCATGCCATCTTTCTGTCCAGATATCTTCATCACAACTGGTTGACCTACGTCCCCAAAGCCGTGACCAGTGACATAATGACCAGTCTCACCATTCTGAAGCTATCGAACAATAACATCACTCACGTGCAAGCTGGAACCTTCACCAAGCTGACGGCGTTGCGGTTGCTGTAAGTTGGGGCTTGTCTCTACTGGTGACGTCTGAAGATCTGTATTACAGTGCACTGGATCCAAGGTCGTTCCTTGCATCCTTTTATTCATCAGAAGGATGTGTTTGTTTGTTGTTTAACGCCATATTCAGAAAAAGCCAGCTATAGGACGACGGCTTGTAAATAATCAAGTCTAGACCAGACAAACTAGTGATTGATATTATGACAAACAATCCACGCCGTCGGGGTACGATGACACGCTATCAACCAAATCATTGATCTTAACCTCCTGGGCCAACTTGCACAAAGCGAACTTAGCGCTAAGATGATCGTAACACCCATACTTTAACATAAGTTTAAGATAATCTTAACGGTAAGATGGTTTTGGGCAAGTGGGCCCTGATCTATTAAATTTAAAGGAAGACTGGTCTGGGGTCATTTGGTACTCATAGCAAAAATTTTACTAAAATCATCCCTAGACCACTTTTTTTGGCTGGAAACTAAATATTTATGATATATATTAATCTGGCAGTTGATAATTATCCTAATCGATCAAACACATGTTTCAGTTCGACATAAGTCGGTAAATATGCATCGGAACATAGACCGAAATCTGGCACCAGATCGTCCTTCACTAAGTCGCCCTTCTGACCAGCATCAGTTGCTGTTGTAACCCGGATGAACCACGGGAAGGTACATTCGAGACGACTGTAATTCAAATGCTGCTGACTTTATATTTACGTGTTATTTTTACAGATATCTTGAAAATAACAACATAGTTGTTATAGAAAACGACTCCTTTTCAAACAGCATACAGACACTGTGAGTATTTGTTGAGAATTATTTGGAATACTTCTTCCATATTCATAAGAAGTCTCTCCTCAAAGATAGTTGATTGTGCTATTCCAAATTTATCATGAGCAGGTGTTTATGAATCACTATCAAATAGTTATGATACCAGGTGTTCGCGAAAAGGTGAACGTATCCTGCCCAACCGGTGTCACTGTCACCAACACATGCAAAGGCAGATCAATTGTTCCCCTGGAAAAAACCAAGGGGAACATATGGTACAAGTCAAAACACTCCCCATCCTTTCTAAAAACAATAAATTTATAGTAAATACACTGGCGCCCTCCCCATTATATTATGTCATGTAAATATAAAGCGTCAACGCCAGAGTGAGTGAGTGAGTGAGTATGGTTTTACGCCGCTTTTAGCAATATTCCAGCAATATCACGGCGGAGGACAGCAGAAATGGGCTTCACACATTATACCCATGTCTGGCATCGAACCCGGGTCTTCGGCGTGAGGAGGGAAGTCAACGCTTTAACCACTAGGCTCCCCGACCTCCCCATAACGCCAGAGAATGACCAACCTTGGGAATAAAAGGAAAAATAGCGATGCAAATTATATGAAGGGACCACAGAAAATCAATGATAACACCAGGTGTTCGCGAAAATGATATATAATGTATCACGTATCCTAAAACAAGCAGACAAAAAAAAAATCATTAAAAAGTGTGTTTTTTTCGCGGTTTTCATGCATTCAGTACACACCAAGAAATTTTCATATTATTTTTTAAATTCATATCGGAAACAGGGACTGCTTAATTATAATGTGGAGCGCCAACTACACTCATAAGCATGTTCAAAGTGTTACATTGTTACCCTTGTCAATAGATCAGTGTGCACTCGAGTTTCATTCTCAGCTCCCTGGGAGTATGATGTTATCGGGTGATTGAGTAACGCAGAGACAATCTTCCTTTCAGCGTCCTACAGTCTAACAACTTCCGGTTTACCAACGAGAACCCGTTCGCCTATCTGACCAACATGGCGCAGTTACTCCTGGGCTACAACAGCATCGTGGACATCCCCGACACCGCCTTCAGGGGCTGCACCGCCCTCACTACGCTGTAGGTGCTCCGGGCATATTATTAATATGCTGGTATCTGATCTAATGCGGTTTTATTTGTTCCGCGACCAGTGGATCCGTTTGCATTCCAGTAATCCAGTTATCATTCTCAACTCCCTGGGGAGTATATAACCCAAACTGCCTACGGGCGCTGGGGGGTTTCTACATTCACCTCACATATCGGGTACCCATTCCTTGCTGGGTGAAACAGAGGCACATCTGCACTTAGTCACCTGGGTGACACCACACGTTTTGACCCTTGTGTTTCGGGTGTATGTACTTATTCGTACCCACAAAAAAACCCCCGAAATCTTGCCAATTATTTACGTGATAATAAAGTTGTATCTTTGAAGCCAGATGTATAGCTCCCAGCAAGAAAAGTGCGTGAATGAGGTTTTACGCCGCTTTTAGCAATATTCCAGCAATATCACGGCGGGGGACACCACAAATGGGCTTCACACATTGTACCCATGTCGGGAATCAGCAAGAAAAGAAACTGAGGCAATGATCTGAAAAACTTTCTACACTGGATAGACTGTTTCCAAGAGGCAATACTGAATCGTCAAATGTTGGTTGAAATCATTGAATTATAAACCATTCCTATGAATCTGTCATATTAATAAAACACATGTTTCGAAACACATACTGAAAGTTAAAATAAATCTTGAATAAAATTTCACTACATTTGGTACTATACTTGAGACGCGGTACGCTCTTGGACAAACTGTATATCCGTCTGTATAGCCGCTTTTAGTAGCCGTCGTTGAATCAGCCTCGTCATGATAGGACCTGTCAGATTTGCTCCAAATTAATATATTGAGGAGTCGTAGTATTGTCATTGAGGCGGTTCTTTTGGGTTTCAAGGCGATGGATTTATTTCGATCTTAATAATATCAACACAGATAAGATAATTTAGTTTATACATTTGTATTTCTTCAGTAGATTCTATTTTCAGTGCAGCTTTATTTTATGAGCTGAAAACAGCTGACTGGTTGCTTTTACACTTCAGGGACCTTCATTACAATCGGCTGGAGAGGATTCAGAAAGGACTTCTGACCGACTGCCCACTGACCGTTCGACTCTTGCTCAATCACAACAACATCAGATACGTAGAGGACGGCGCCCTCAGCCACATCACCGACAGTGTACTCATGTACGTACGTGCGCCTAGATCAACCACTCCGCCACCGCTGGCAGGAATCCATATTGGAACAGTTTCGTTCACGTGACTATCACATTAACCAACACAACATGGCGGTAGTCGCGAACCTTATGTTACTGTTCAAATTGATTTCCGTTTTCTTTTGTCTTCAAATCCAAATGTACGCTAATATATTTTAAGCTGAGAATAACGTCTGTCACATACGGAGGGATGTGGCGTTACACGGTTCACAGTGAATTCAGGCAATATCACTACGCCACTGTTGCCCGATTTTAAGTGGGTGTCGGCATGAGCCGAGTAGATCCGAGTGCTGGATCAATATTACAATACAAAACATGGCTTCATATTAAATCTTTTAGACACATTATATTAAAATCCATCAAGAGACTTAGATTGCATTTTTTAATACACATGCACAGATCGATATACAATAGAAGAGTCCAATTTACTGCAGATGAATATTTGTTTTAGTCTCAAATTGTTTTAAGCTCCTTTCTCAATATTCTAGTAACAACACAACGTCGAGCACGAGAGTGAATGAGAATGGTTTTACGCCGCTTTAGCAGTCAAGCAATATCACGGCGGAAATGGGTTTCACATATTGAACCCATGAGAGGAATCGAACCAGGGTCTTCGTCCCCGGAGAACGGGAAGTCGGACACGTGACACATTGTAATTCTATGGGAGTCGAACCAGTAGGTTGACCAGTTTGAAAGTGTCTGGACACACGTTTGAAGTTGGTCTAGGTTGTCTTCAACGATTACAGCTCTATATCATGAATGAGTGAGTGAGGTGGATGTTTCACAGCTCTTTGCAATAATCCAAGAATATCACAGCGGGGACCAAAAATTGGGTTCACACATTGTACCCATGTGGAGAATCGAACACGGGCCTTCGGCGTGAGGAGCGAACGTTTTATCCACTTGGCTACCCCACCACCCTGTATGACAGGAATGGGAGTATTAGTTATTATTTTTCAGCCTTCTGTATGTATTTGTTTGGTTCCAGACATCTTCATAATAATCGGTTGACTGATCTTCCTAACGGCGGAGACTTCAATAACCTGGTAGTGAACGAGCTCTCACTTCATCACAATCGCATCACTGAGGTCCGCCCTGGGACCTTTACAAATTTGACGTGCAATGTTAAACTGTGAGTTGGTCCTTATATCTATAGCCATTTTTCTCCTCCTCCTCTTCCTCTACGTCTCATCAGTCTTAGAACACAAGGATAACACGTGTATTTCGGCGACTTGGGAACACATATATAACACGTGTATGTCAGAGTCTTGGGAACGCATATATAACATGTGTATTTCAGAAACTTGGGAACACTTAGATAACACGTGTATTTCAGTGACTTGTGAACACAAATATAACACGTGTATGTTAGAGACTCGGTAACACTTAAATAACACGTGTATTTCAGTGACTTGGGAACACATATATAACACGTGTATGTTAGAGACTCGGGAACACTTAAATAACACGTGTATTTCAGTGTCTTGGGAACACATATACAACACGTGTATTTCAGAGACTTGGGAACACTTAAATAACACGTGTATTTCAGTGACTTGGGAACACATATATAACACGTGTATTTCAGAGACTTGGGAACACTTAAATAACACGTGTATTTCAGTGTCTTGGGAACACATATATAACACGTGTATTTCAGAGACTTGGGAACACTTAAATAACACGTGTATTTCAGTGTCTTGTGAACACAAATATAACACGTGTATTTCAGAGACTTGGGAACACTTAAATAACACGTGTATTTCAGTGACTTGGGAACATATATATAACATGTGTATTTCAGAGACTTGGGAACACTTAGATTACACGTGTATTTCAGTGTCTTGGGAACACATATATAACACGTGTATGTTAGAGACTCGGGAACACTTAAATAACACGTGTATTTCAGTGACTTGGGAACACATATATAACACGTGTATGTTAGAGACTCGGGAACACTTAAATAACACGTGTATTTCAGTGACTTGGGAACACATATATAACACGTGTATTTCAGAAACTTTGGAACACTTAGATTACATGAGTATTTCAGTGACTTGGGAACACATATATAACACGTGTATGTTAGAGACTCGGGAACACTTAAATAACACGCGTATTTCAGAGACTTGGGAACACTTAGATTACACGTGTATTTCAGTGTCTTGGGAACACATATATAACACGTGTATGTTAGAGACTCGGGAACACTTAAATAACACGTGTATTTCAGTGACTTGGGAACACATATATAACACGTGTATGTTAGAGACTCGGGAACACTTAAATAACACGTGTATTTCAGTGTCTTGTGAACACATATATAACACGTGTATGTTAGAGACTCGGGAACACTTAGATTACACGTGTATTTCAGTGACTTGGGAACACATATATAACACGTGTATGTTAGAGACTCGGGAACACTTAAATAACACGCGTATTTCAGTGACTTGGGAACACATATATAACACGTGTAATTCAGAGACTTGGGAACACTTAGATTACACGTGTATTTCAGTGTCTTGGGAACACATATATAACACGTGTATGTTAGAGACTCGGGAACACTTAAATAACACGTGTATTTCAGTGACTTGGGAACACATATATAACACGTGTATGTTAGAGACTCGGGAACACTTAAATAACACGTGTATTTCAGTGACTTGGGAACACATATATAACACGTGTATTTCAGAAACTTTGGAACACTTAGATTACATGAGTATTTCAGTGACTTGGGAACACATATATAACACGTGTATGTTAGAGACTCGGGAACACTTAGATTACACGTGTATTTCAGTGACTTGGGAACACATATATAACACGTGTATGTTAGAGACTCGGGAACACTTAAATAACACGCGTATTTCAGTGACTTGGGAACACATATATAACACGTGTAATTCAGAGACTTGGGAACACTTAGATTACACGTGTATTTCAGTGTCTTGGGAACATATATAACACGTGTATGTTAGAGACTCGGGAACACTTAAATAACACGTGTATTTCAGTGACTTGGGAACACATATATAACACGTGTATGTTAGAGACTCGGGAACACTTAAATAACACGTGTATTTCAGTGACTTGGGAACACATATATAACACGTGTATGTTAGAGACTCGGGAACACTTAGATTACACGTGTATTTCAGTGACTTGGGAACACATATATAACACGTCTATTTCAGAGACTTGGGAACACTTAGATTACACGTGTATTTCAGTGACTTGTTTGAGAACACACAGATACCACGACTATTTCAGAGATTTGTCCGAGAACCAGATTGCGCTTCTTGGGCCCAATGCCTTTGTGAACATCAAGGGAACGCCGGACATGACCCTGAACAACAACCCTCTCTGGGTCATCGAACCCTACGCCTTCAGAGATGTGAAGTTACAGGACCTGTAAGTTGACGGGATATCCCAATACGCACCTCGTGAAGATCCGGGTTATAATTTGTCTTCTAAAGGGATCGGGTGGTCAGATCTTAGAAGATCGTCAAAATCCTCATAATGTGCAATGCAAATGTATATATTGTCATGATTGCATAAATATCCAGGTTTAACTTCATTAAATTTTGTCGTCTAAAACGAGCCATGCATTGGTAATCCAATCCTAGTATGTCAACTCTCTATACAGAGTTGCGTGCCTTAGCCTTACCAGGATCCGCTGGACTTTGATTGGAATACCAGATTCGCCCCGATTTTGATCCATGGTCTGTTATACCCCGTGTTAGAAACAAATTACACCGACAGCCTTGCCTAACGGAAATAATGCGGAGTTAAAACCCAAACATCTTTGAAACATTGTTGACCCCAAGGGAACCGTGCCACTCACTCACACACCACATGCTTTTGTTACAGGTTTCTTCAGTATATCAACATTGATCATCTAAAGACTGCAACATTCGAGAATATTGAAACTCGGTATTTGTATTTAACGGAAAATACAATAGATTATGTTGAAGAAGGAATATTCGCAGGAAACAACGTTCTCGAATATTTGTAAGTACGAGAGAAAAATAAATTTCCGGTGCATACATAATTTATTCTTCCAGTTAAACGGCGGTGAAAGCCACTGCCCAAATTTAAAAATAATAATTATTATTATTATAAATTATTATTATTAATCAATATTTTCAGGAAATGATTTCAAATTTCATCGTTCTATTTTTAGCGTCATGTTCAGCGTATTATTATTATTATTATTATTATTATTATTATTATTATTATTAAATAATGTATAAATGAATCAATATTTTCAGGAAATGACTTCAAACTTCACCGTTCTATTTTTAGCGTCATGTTCAGCGTACAGCTGAAAGCCATCTACGGAAAGATGTTTTCAGGCGCGTCACAAGTCAACAGCGCGTTTGACCTTCGTAATAACAACCTCCAAATAGTACCGCCTGATCTTGTAGAAAACGTTGCAGTTGGTTTGGTGTACGTATATAGCATTAAGACAACGTATGTGAATAATTGCAGTTATTACGCTATTTCTATACAATCGGAAGACCGAAATGCAATTGCCACTGGAGTTTCTTCAGCAAACCATGCTTGTTGTAAGAGGCGACAAACGGGATCGGGTGGTCAGGCTCGCTGACATGGTTGATGCATGTCATCATGTCCCAATTGCGTGGATCGATTCTCATGATGACAATCACTGGATTGTTAGGTCCAGTCGCGATTATTCACAGATCGCCGTCATGTAGCTGGGATATTGCTGAGTGCGACGTTAAACAACAAACAAACAAACAAACAAACAAACAAACAAACGATAATGTCTTGTTCCAGTCTGGCAATGGGCACCAGACCGTGAAGCATAATGCCAGTTTAATGATTCATATATTATTATGAAAGTATTCTGAAAGCAACATTCGTGTCACAAGCTGACCGGTTTTTACACTGAAAAAAATAATATAATATTTTTTTTTTTAATTAGATGTTTTAGTGTATCAAAATCACGAGAACTGCATATTTATACAAATACATACATGAATTCATTCCAACAATCGTTGAATTTCAGGAGCCTTGGTTATAACAAACTCACAAACTTCCCTCGGGACATTTTCTTGGAGAATAAAATGACATATATGTAAGTATAACTGATATATAAAACAATAAAAATTATTAGTATTGTACATGTACTTGTACGTGTACGTAGATAGTCGAGAGACAGTTGTAATTTTGGTGAACACTTGATCACAAGTAGTGCCCACAGGGTACCAAGTCCCGAACACCGGATCCTGGTATTGGTAAGGGACGAAACTGTACAGAACGTCTTGCGGCAACTTAGACCATTGAGACGTCCGTGATCTTTTGACTGCTTTTTGCAGAGATTTCTTATGAATATGGAAATGGTTTTGTCGCCTTTATTTACATATACGTTAATGGTTCTTTTCAATGTGAAAAAAGAACAAACCCACTGTCGGTGTTATTTTGGAAACAGCCAGAATAAGAGGTAGATCCTTGAGTTAAAATCACGCCAATTACCTGCAAAACATGCGTGGTTTCAGTGCAGATATCTTCAATGCTAAATATGCGTCAGGAGAACGCCTCCGTGGTCTAGTGGTAGAGTGTACGCCCGGAGAGCGGAAGGTCTGGGATTCGATCCCCGGCCGCGTCATACCGAAAGACGTTAAAAGATGGTACTTGTTGTTTTCTGGCGCTCGGCATAAGGACTGGTCGGCGCGGAGTCAGTATACTGTGTCTGAGAGGGGTATTCATGTTAAACTGCGGTGGAATCTCAGTGAGCTAGCACTATAAATCGGCATCAGTCCGGACTAGAACAAGCAGCCCCCCCCCCTTTAACGTGAACTTTCACCTCACCTAATATTTAAGGTACTATAGTTCGTTTGTTTTTGTCTTTATAAACCACCCCGCCTTCACAATACTAGAGTATGTGTTGCCATCATAATCTATATCAGACTTACTTTAAAGCCATGTGTTTTAAACATGTCATGTCATTGGTGGTGTATTCGAACAATGCCAGTCACTTACCCTTGCAGGGACATCTCCTATAACCTGATATCTGCTTTGCCCGATGATGCCTTCGACGGCCTGACCAACATGTACGACATCAACTTGAAAGGCAACCAGTTGACGGAAATCAAGAACGGGTCCTTCGCTTCTCTCATTAATACAAATAAATTGTGAGTTTTGCGTGAATTACAAGGAAATGTCTTCTTTTGTTAAATCAAAAATATTAATTACTTAAATATATATTTCAGTTTGATCAAAAGATGTTTTATTCAGTTATCAGAATCGTATATATAGTTTCATACTTTTTATTATTTATTGTTATTTTTAAAATCACAAATCGACTTGATTATATGCTATCGGAGCTATCATCATTGATATTAATATGCTTTCTTTTTTTGTACGAACTACTGAGACACATTGTAGTGAGTGAGTGAGTTGGGTTTAACGCCGCTCTTAACAGCATTCCAGTTATATCGCGGCGTGCCAGCTTAATGTGGGAGGAAATCCCGAAGTGATACAGGTCTAAGACGTTTACCACTTCGGTGAAACCCACGAGCACGGGTATGGTGCTGACAAACCTAGAAACATAATCGGGGCGAACCGGGATTCGAACCCACAATCATAGGTTTTGGCGTGCCCAAGGGACGCAACTCTGCACAGCGAATCGCGGCGCCTTAGACGACTCGGCCACCCGTGCTCCCTAGAGACACGTTGTAAAGGCTGGCTTCGTCTATGTTCATATGAACTTTACAGTGAACCAACCAGTCTGCTATTATTTACAGTGAAGTGACCAGTCTGCTATAGTTTATAGTCAACTGACCAGTCTGCTATTGTTTACAGAGACCTCAGCGATAATGATATCGTTACTTGGCCGAAAGGATTGATGGACCCAATGCTGAATCTCAAGACACTGGACCTCTCCAAGAACCTGCTGTACCACTTCCCTGGTGCCAGGAATGGTTCCGTTCTTTCGTCAATAATCTTGTCCGATAACCTCCTCACATCTATTGAAGTCGGCGCTTTTGATTACCTCAACAAAACAATAGTTAATATGTACGTGTAGACTTCAAACCCTTCAACATGTGTCTGATGTGTTGTGTGCAGCATTTAGATAAGTTTCCAATATTCACTGGCCAGGAGGACTTGTTAACAAATATTGCTGCAAGCCCTCATCATATTTTTCTTGCCCAAAACACTTCCACCAAATTACGAAATGAAAATAAAATGACAGCAGACTTTGACATCGAATGATGCCTTAACTCACTTGATAATTTGTAGAAATAAATATGTATTGACGTAAAGTGTGTGGACAGGACATTACGACATGACGTAGGCTTCATCATTGGTACCAATTGTACTCCCCTTCTTGCTGATCTGTTTCTCTATGCATATATATGAATCACAATTTCAACACAAGCCGAGAAGTTTAACTTAATTTCAGGTATATCGATGATCTGAAAGCATTCAATAACAATCAAATAGGCAAATTCCCTTCAACCGATTAACCCACTGGATCTAGAAATAAAGGAGACCAGCGAGACCGCCTCGTGTTTCATATTTAGATCTGTGCATAAAGATTCAGAGTGACAAAACACTCTCCACTAGGCTGTATGACAAGAGGGATGACTTCAACTTTCCAAAAGTCAACTTTCCCTTTATGTCGAGCAATATTCTGCCGCTCCAGCCCTTGGTGTCTACATTGAGGTACAATCGAGCATGCTCTTTATACCAAGAGTTCCAAAAGCGTCATACGACTCTTGCTCAAAAGTTGTTTGATCAAGGTTACAACATTCAAAACCTCAGTAAAGCTTTCAAAATATTTAAACGGCAGACATGAGAGGACATTTCCAAATTTGACGCATCAGCGACAAGAATGATGTCCGATGCAATTCCCTATTTTGACTTGTACCATGTGTTCCCGTGTTTTTTCAGGTGAATATATGACTTGCCTTTGCATGTGTTTGTGACGGGTGCCACTGATGAGGCAGAATACGCTCACAGTTTAGCGAACACCTGGTATCATCACTATTTGATAGTGATTCATATACACAAGCTCATAAAATAGTCGCAATCGACCCAAGGGAAATTAAGGAATATGGAAAGGATTTAACGCCGTACTCAGCAATACTCCAGCTACATGGCAGTGGTCTTTAAATGATCGAGTCTGGACCAGACAATCCAATGATTGACATCCTTAACATTGATCAACGCAATTGGGAAAATATTACATGCATCAACCAAGTCAGCCATCATGACCACCTGATCTCGTTAGTCGCCTCTGACGACAAGCATGGGTCAGTCCTAACCTGGATCTCCACGGATCGAATAGAGCATGGGTTGCTGAAGACCAGTTCTAACCCGGATCTTCGCGGGTCACTAGCTGAGTAGGACAGTGAAGGTTACTATCGGATATCCCATGTCTGTGTGTATGTCTTTCCCTGTGTCATGTTTTTGTTCACGAAGACACATCCCTCCCAATACACACGCGCACGCTTTCTTGACTTAGTGACAAGCCTTTATGACAGTGTATGCATGTGAGTACACCAAATAGACAACTTGAATAATGAAGTCACATGTGTTTGCAGAGACTTAACCAACAACGCCTTTGAGTGTACTTGTGATCTGTATCGAACCCTGGCCGAGGTCCACACTGTCGTAAAGGGAGGTAACTGCTCAGAGCCCAACGTGACAGTTGGAATCCAGCTTGGCATAGCTTTTGAAAAGGACAAAGATTTTTTCATGAAAGCGGACAAAGAAAAGTACATATGTGGTAAGATGTTTTCACCCTTTCATCGCGACGGTAACCTTGCATTATATTACTGTAGACAATACAACAGGCGAGTGAGTTTGGTCACGGCGTGTCAGATTAATGTGTCGGGAACGTCTAAGGCTACAGAACAGAATAGAACAAAAAAACCTTACACTCAGCTCGGTATAAGAGGAACCCTTATGTTTCCAGCTGAACGCCATCTTCCCGAGGCAAGGGAGTTAACTGACTGGACTTTAACACTCAGTTAACTCCCTTGCCTCGGGAAGATGCAAGCCCCTTCCCAGCGCGTGACACCTTCGTTACACTCTATTAAATTAGGTTAAATAAATGATGTCTCTGAAATAAGATGTTAAAACTGCGCTCCAGTGTGTTGCAAAACAAATATATTTCTTTACGTTTTCTTCACCGATAAGCAGAGAAATCTCTGCACTTGTACACAGCAGACCTAATTCAAAATGAACATACCGTTTTTATTAGTTTCAACAAAATCTGTAATGGTACTCTCGTGTCACTGGATTTTTTTGTTCATCGGTCACTTGATTGTTTGGTTTGTTTACAGGCTGACGTCGCATTAAGCAAATTGTATGAATGGTGGGTGCTACCGGTAGGGCAGGGCCTGCTTACCCTTTTCGCGAACACCTGTTGTCTTCACTGATTTTTCAGTGGTCCATTCGTATAATTTTCACAACTATTTACCCTTTACGTCAAGTGGAATCTGTTTCGGCAGAAAGCCTAGGCTGGTTATTTATTCTTTTACATTGGCAATTTATATTTTCATGGTAGTTGGGTTACCGAAACATAGTGGGAGCTATAATTATGGCGTCTTCTGTCGGTTCATCCATCATAAACTATTGCACTTTCTCCATCACTGAAATAAGACTCTATACGTTGGTACTTTGGATGGATGAGGCCAGAAATGTTGTCTTTGAAACCTGCATATAGAATGTCAATCTGATGTCAGTGACATGTTTGAAAATGTCATGTTTGTTATGAACTCAACCATTTCTGCATATACCGATATTAAACTTGATTTAAAGTAAAATAAATACTAATATATGTGTAGAATAATATTACGTTTTTCGCATATACGTACTTCGTTACACTGCCATGGCCTTCGTACACCCTTGTTTATCATCTAAATCTGGCTCCCACAGGAGAGATCGTTTGGGTGAGATCAAGCAATATCTAAATTGTAGATATCGCTGCAATGAAATTGCATCACAATGCTTTGCAGACCACTGTGACATCATTGCTTACCATGACGTCACAATCAAATGACATCACTATTGGGTCTTTTACTGAAGCTGTTAGCAGTACGTTTTACACTTAGGACACTGCTTAATAGTGCTTATTACTGTCTACAAACTGAAAAAGTTGGAAGAATGATGTTGGCTGATAAATAAAATCTCACCCTCGTGTTTTTTTATATCAAAATAACAACACTCTTTGATAAAAGTGGAAAAACTCCTCGGCAGGCCTCAGAGTTTTTTCCACTTTTATCAAAGATTGTTGATATATTTATTTGATAATCATCAAAATACACTCGAGTGAGATTCTCCGTATCCAGGGCCCACTTGCACAAAGCGATCTTAGCGCTACGACTATTGTAAGCCTATGTTAAAGTATGGGAGTTACGATCATCTTAGCGCTAAGATCGCTTTGTGCAAGTAGGCCCTGGTCTATTGCATGATCATCTCATTTGAAATAGCTATTCATGGGTGATCAAAGCGAAGATCTGCAAACGTGCTCATGGGATTTAAATCCGATTTATATTCTAATTTCTTTGTCCACTGCTGAATATTTGTCCCAATCATAAGACCACATCCATCTATTGCATGAGCGTATTTACAGCACCGACCAACGTCCGTGGAACGGCGGACGGTAACAACCTGAACGTCACATGGACGAGACCGCTATTCCAGAACTCAGAGATGGAGAAGGATGAGAAGCCAATAAGCAATGATACTGTCGTGTAGGTTGTGTTGTCTCTTGAGGTTTTATGAATACGGTAAACTACGTGTATAACGAACACGCTTATAACGAACTGACATGTATAACAAACTGGCCTTTTGGCCCTGGACATTTGATGTATAAATGCTGTATATATGATTTTTCTGAACTACGATTATAACGAACTGAAATCAGTACTTCATTTGAGTTCGTTATAACCGTAGTTTACTGTACTTTATTACTGATCTAGCCAACATTTCACAAGTATTAGATACTTTCAAACTTAGGATTTCATATCCATTCAGTCTTTCTTTTCAAACATATCAGTGATAAGTCTTTGAATAGCATTTAAAAGTGTTTGAATGGCATTTTTCAGTGATAGAGTTTTATTTTTTCAAATTTTACATAACCGCATATACTTAAAATATCGTAAACAATCGTAAATATGACAAAAAGAATTCTATTTGGACAAAACTCAAAAGTTTATTTTTTATTATAATAATAATTCCTAGTAATAATAATAATAATAATATTAAGTAGTAATAATTCATTCATAGAGACTTGACCATCAGTGGCTTGACTAAGGACAAACATCAACATGAATGCTAGTATCTTGAACTTATGTAAAAGTAGACAACAAATGAAATCCAATACTAATGCATTTGGCTTGCAAAAATAGTAATGGTGTGAACAGGTCCTGAAACAATATACTAATATGCATCAAAAGGACTGTATTTTGAGCATATAAGAACCTTCATAGATTTAATACCGTTCAATGATACGCTAGATTTGTTTCTTTTCAATAGAGAGAATAGAATTAACCTAAAAATAAAATGTACTATTTTAAATATATCTATTTGGGCCTCTGCCCTTTCATACAATAAATTTGACTTTGAATTTGAAAAGTGTAATGAAATGTATCCTCTTGTCTACAAGATCCATTTAAATAGTTAACGATTAATACCATGTTCCCCAGCTCCTACACTGCAACCTGCACTGGTTCTAAAGGCGACATACTGACGTCGAATATTAACGCAACAAGTGTAATCTTGACAGCGAAGGCGGACTCGGAGTATGTGTGTGCCGTCACTGCCGCCGTCGACGGCATTATCAGCGGCTACAGCGAGCCGGCTCTCTTCCACACTTCGGCTACTCCAGGTATCCAAGCACTGACTGAAATATACTGTCTTTCTTTCCAAATATGCAATTTTGTCGCATGTTTTTTTCTCCACAATAACAATACAGTCGCTTTGTTTGACATTCATAATTGATATTATGTGCAAGATATGAAAGCATGTATCCTGAAAAGAAAATCCAGGGCAGAATAGGACGTTAGCATCTGATTCCTGTGGTGTACCGACCGATCGTCACAATGTGATCTGGCTGATTCATTCGTCACCACTCGCCCCTTACCGTAACCTGTGAGAAGACTCGTCCACCCATCGATGGATGTTATGTGCGAAAATGCGACAAACCAAGAATGCGTGTATGACTTCAAGTACTTTGGTCAAAGAATCCCACAGGAATAATATTTGATTTCACATATGCCTTGCATCAAAACATATACCCAAAACACAGTTAAATGTGTTCAATCATACTGTACAAAAAGCAAGTCCCGATGTGCATCAAATAGTGTCTGAAATATATATGATGTATGGGGGAAATATACGTGAATCATTGCGCAACGAGTTGACAATTCTTTTAGCTATGACCGTTTGCGTTTAGACGGAACCCGGCCGTAAAAATGGCAAGGGGAGAGGCACGAGTCGCTATTCGGCTTGTCCCGGAATAACACGAGTTGATCACGAATGCTAGCTGATTGTGTGTAGCCGCCCTCTGACAGCATCGGACGTGCTTTCAACAATGCACTGGTTCGATGCTCATGATATCAATCTCTGGTTTGCCTGGCCCGGACTCGATTGTTTTACAATCGCCGTGATAAAGCTTGTCTGCGCCCTAAAACAACATTAACATGTTCACCCATTTATTGTTTGTCTATTTCAGTTACGCCCGGGAATAACACGGTTGTCGATGTTGGCCTAGGACTGCCGATATCGTACTTTGACTTCAGGTATGACGTCCCCTCCCGTTTTGAATATTACAAAACAAGTATAAATGTATTCGGTTCAGTTTACTTGTGGGTGATTATTAGACTAACATCTAGTTGAAATGAACATATTTCACGGACATTGAAGATCCGGGTTAGAATGGGTCTTCAGCAACCCATGCTTGCCGTAAAAGGCGACTATGCTTGTCGTCAACTAACGGGATCGGGTGGTCAGGCTCGCTGACTTGGTTGATGTATGTCATCATATCCCAATTGCGTGGATCGATGCTCATGATGTCAATCACTGGATTGCCTGGCCCAGACTTGATTTTGTACAGACCGGCATCATATACCTGCAATATTGCAGAGTGCGGCGTTAAACAACGAACAAACAAACATATTTTACGGATAAAAACAGTTGTTAAACAGTTATTATTAACTTTGTTTAGCCAGCACCTTCCCGGTTTTCGTGGGTTTCACCAAAGTGGTAAATATCCCAGACCTCTTCCGGCTTTCCTCCCACATTGAGCCGCAACGCCATGTTGAACCATGATAAATAACTGAAGTATTGGCAAAGCGGTGTTTAACCCATGATGTTTCGTTCTGAATATTCCAAACCGTTATTACCTTCACTGGGTGTACATTTCCTTGCCGACTTTCTTCCAGTGCTATACACCCCGACTTTGCGGGGTTGTCGGAAGGGATCATCGCCGAGCCTAGATACATCTCGAGTCCCTACGGGGGCTGGCTTGCCCAGTCTAACAACCCCACTGCAGATTCCTTCTCCGACTGGTTCCAACGAAAAGACGGAGTGAATATAGAACTGAACGGAACTATAATCTTGGAGAATCTCTCCAACTCGCCACCGCTTTACAGGTAGAACATATATATCTGAATTAGTGTTGTGTATGTGTATGTGTATTGTATGAAGAGAATTACTGTGTATCTCGTTAACTCGAACACATGTCGAGTTATCCGTAATTCGAGACAAATGGGGTCATAAGGTGACAGCATCACGATATTTTGAGAAAATTAACTTTGAGTAAAGGTTTCACTGAGCATGGTTGAAAGACCCAGTTTGATATACACTACTCAAAAGAAGACACATTAACTCTAGTAATATGAAAGAAACAGGTAGTCCTTTTTTTGTTTAGAGTAGTGTATTTGAGATAGCGAATTAGCGGAACATGCAGCTCGGAGTTGTTGGTTTTAATATAAAATTAGATAAAAATAATTTTGAAAGGTGTTAACAGATTCGACAGGCAAAAAATACTTTTCTTTAAATTGAATATTTAGTTCCAATGGTTTAAATGTTGGTTGGTGGGTTAACAAAAAGAGTAGGATAACCGCTGTGCTGAAGCTGACGATTGTTTGAGATGAAGATGGTTTAGGTGATGGGTGATGTTGCAGGTACAGCGCAGGATCCTTCTACCCTGTCGATGACTTCGGGTATGGGAACGAACAGAAGGACTGCGGAGGAACAACCCACAACTTTGGGTAAGTTACAAATATTTTAAAAAATGTGTAGGTGGTATGAAAAGAGTCATTATGGGCGTATAATATTTGACCTTAAGAACATCTTGTGTTTTAATCCCATTGTACATGCCTAATTCACAAAACACTTTGCTGATCCGATGAGTGAGTGATGTTTTACGCCACTTTAAGCAATATTCCAGCTGTATCATGGCGGGGGACACCAGAAATAGACCTCACACATTGTAGCTGCGTGGGGAATCGAACGGTGTGACAAGAGAACGCTTCAGCCACTAGGCCACCCTATCGCCCCTCAATCCGATGATCGAGATACAATCATCAGACAGTCTCTTTCAGCTTTGACCCTGTGGGTTCCGGGTTAAAATTGAGCTCCAGTAATATATGTCGTTCTGGGCGATCGATTGGAGCAGGTGGTCATAGCTGATAACGTGTCAAAGCACCCCGCATGGGACGTTGCTCATAATATCAATAACTGGATTGTCTTGTCCAAACGCGATTATTTACAACCAATAAAAAATATTTTAGGTTCACGTCAGTCATCCGGATGGGGATTGTATACCAAGGCACAGAGACCATCACGATAGGCGGCGGGGACGACATGTGGCTCTACGTCAACGGCAAGATGGTCCTCTACGTGTCCACGCGTGGCACCACCTCAATCATCTGTAAGAAGATCGACCTCTCCACAGCTGCCCAAAAAGGTGAGTCGTATAACAGAATAATAATCTGCCGGGCAAAAGACAATATACATTTATGTTTTCATGCATGAAGCGAAACAAACAAGAATGTTTATTCGATGGTGATGTATTTGATATGGGTATCATAGCTGTGTTTTGGACTTGCAGTGATTCGGCGACCCTTGCCGAACTAGGCTGGAATTTCGTGGTGCGATCTTAGCGCCACACGTGGCTATGACGACTTATGTCCCTCCTATTGACCAATCAGATTCCAGATCTGTCGACGCCCAGTGGGCAGTACACATGCTCGGCAAAACCTGCAATCGACCGAACTCTGCAAGGCAGTTGCCATGTTGTTTATGAACCCAAAGTCGATTTCGTTCCGCGATTTTGATTGGACCATGCATAGACTCGTTAGTCCAGCCAAAATTCAACTCCATAAGTCCAGCCTAGTTCGGCAAGGGTTGAAACTGGACTGTTATAGTCAGTTAACCCCAATGCCTCGGGAAGATGCTATTAGAATGGAATAATCTAAGACGTGACGTTAAACACTATTAATCTCACATTGGTGGATCCGATGGTTTGTATTTATTTGGTTAAAATTGCAGGTGGCGCCACTATCACGCCCACAGAGGGCACTGTATCAGGAGGTGTTTGTGGTTCCAGCACGCCCGCCACAGCCGAAGCAGTGCATCTAGATTTGGAGGTGAGGGGCTAGCCTTGCACCAAGGCTGTACTTGAAGATAAGTCCATCGATGTGTAGTAATTCAGTCCTCCTTGTAGGCAAGTCTAGATATGAAGGACTCCAGTCTCTTATAGGGACAGCTTGTTCTTATTATTTACCTAATCTAGAGATTATGATTTAAACCAATAATTATTGCTTTAGAGACTTCAAGTCTAGTGAGGGGCTATCGAATAGCCTCGTGGTTAAAACGTTCTCTCGTCACGACAAGGACCCAGATTCTATATTGCCAAAACAGGAATATAGTAAGACATTTTGGGGGGACTTTGCTCAACGCAGCATAGGACACTTGGAGCTTAGGAGTGTTCCACTAGCCCTGACATTGCGGATTTGCTGAATCATGGCTGACTTAACATGATTCGTAAATCTGGATGCTTTCACTCGGAACGTATTAACAAGGTGTCACTGTATGCACGTCATCATATTATCCTATTATCATATATTATCTTATTATCACATTGTCCTGTTCTACTATCATATTCTCTTATTATCATATTGTCCCGTTATCTTATTACATTATCATATTAAGTAAGGATAAAATTTATTGATGAACAACTTCTTTATTACAATAAGAGCACCATTAGGTGTTAGAACCTTCACCGAAACGTCGCTCCTAATTGTAATAAAGAAGTTGTTCATCTATAAATCTTAGCCTTACTTAGCACTCCAACTTCTAAATGCCTCTCAAAGATGTCATTATCATATATACCAAATTATCTTATCATGTGGTCATATTATCTTATTTTATTATATTATCATGTCTTATTGTATTATAATGTCACGTTATCTTATTATCACATTATCTTATTGTTATATTATCACCCTACCGTTCACCTTCCCAAGGGAAGATTCCGGGGAAGAATAGGTCTTCAGCAACCCATGTTTGCCGTAAAAGGTGACTATGCTTGTCGTAAAAGGCGACTAACGGGATCGGGTTGTCAGGCTCGCTGACTTGGTTGATGCATGTCATCGATCCCACTGGCGTGGATCGATGCTCATGATATCAATCACTGGATTTACAGACCGCCGTCATATAGCTGGAATATTGCTGAGTGCGGCGTTAAACAAAAAACCAAACCAAACCAAAACCTTCCCAAGGCCAGGCAGTTAACTGACTATAAAAGTCCAGTTTTTACTGTCACAGTCAGTTAACTCCCTTGCCTCCGGAAGATGCCTGCCGTTGTACCGGTGTACATGCTTTACAAGCATCCACATCTCATTTATCGGTAGTGTATCCAGGTCCAAACAGCGTAATACCTTCCTGCCAACTATTACTGTCTTCAGGTTGGAGAAAGGTACCACTTTGCAGTGTTCCACGCCGAGAGACTGTTGTGTAATTCCGGCTACTTCTTGGAACTGTCGGGCGTCCAGTTCATCACCGCCGTCGGTGACGACCCGCCTGTAGACTACACCGTCACCATCGACGAAGACTTCCACAATGACGGCATCCTCCAGACTCTCATACTCAGCGACTCCTTCTCTGTTGGGCCGCCGTTCAGGGTTTCAATACTTCATGGTATGCAGGCTCAATCTACAGACTAGAACGGTGTCGTTATTCCTCTCGGGATCCCGTGGGGATATCGGATAAAATATATCCCCATCTTCTCCTGCTTGTCGTAACAGGCGAAAACCTGGTGTCATGACTGATTTTCGATGATCCATTCATATAACCTTTATCACTGTTTTACCTATTACTCCTATTGAAATGGCAATTGAATCAAGATCTTTGGCGTGACAAGCGATGTAGAGCATCAAGTACAAGGTCGCGAGCACAGACGTCATGTAGTAGATTGACGCTGTAACGTAAGTCGGATTGTTGTACTCAGTATCGGTGTCTCTGTTTGCAGGTAACGAGGCCCGTCATTTCTCAATCAAGTCCGACACAGTGGCCAATCAGGCTGCGGGTGTTCTTCCAACGGCGGCGGTCTTGACCTATACAACGATTGCCAACATGTCATTTGTCGGTGAGTTATTTAGGAGATCTATAAACATGTCTGGTCATCGTATACAACAATCTGAACACATAATGGTCATCTAATTGGGACATGCAAATGGGATATACGTGCCCATGTGGTTGATATAGTGCGGATTGGTGTTGTATTCAGCATGCATGCTTGACATCCACAATTGTAACAGTAATAGTGTAAAGTAAGTATCTGACATGTTCATGTAATTGCCCATATGATCTTCCCGAGGCAAGGGAGTAAACTGACTGCAAAAGTTTCAGTCTTGCCAAACTAGGCTTGATCGTAGCGCCACCAGTGGCGATTACAAGCTATGTCCCTCCTATTGACCAATCAGATTCCACCTCTCATATCACTTGCATTTGCTTCAAACAAAATGGTGGCACCCAGTCAAGACGATCTGATCGATAATCAACATCTTTATTGTTATAAAAGGGGTCTTATCTTACGAGGTACATGAAATTACTTAAGCACCTTGATTAAAAACGTTGTGCTTTTTGAAAACATCTGTCGTTGCTCAGGAGAGGGTACACAAGCTCTGCAAATCCTGCATCGACCAAATCGCCATGTTGTTTGCGAACCATGTGTCGATTTTTGATTGGATATGCATAGACTCGTTAGTCAAGCCAAAATATAATTCCATAATTCCAGCCTAGTTCGGCAGGGTTGGAAACTGGACTTTTTCAGCCAGATAAGTCCCTTGCCTCGTGAAGATGGTCATTGCCGAACAATGTCTTGTTTCGGATGGGTATAAACGAAAGTCATTAACATTTCATTATATGATCGTTCTCTTTAAACACCCAACTCACTTGCTCACAGTGTATAGAAAAGGAGGGACGATAATGACTGAAACATTGTCGATGTGACGTTAAATTTCAACCCTCTCACTCAATAGAACAAGAGTGCCGAGATACTTGACATCATATGAAACAAGGATCACAAAGGATTTGTTTCCATCCATTTCAGAATGTCCAACCGCTTCCTCCATTCCGGCTGACACAAGCGACACCAGTGTGGAGACGTTTGACGTGACGACTGCCACGGCACTGTTCACGCTAGCTAAGCCAGTAGACTTCGAACTCATCGACCTGTACACTGTAGCGTTGGAGGTTGTAGATTATAACAAGTCCCCCGAACAAACGGGAACAATAGGAATTAAAGTAGGTCCTGGGTCAAGTCCCTCCAGATATTGGTGTGTGTTTGTTGTTAAACGCCGCACTCATTACAGCTATACGATGGCACCCTGTCATAATCGAGTCTGGGCCAGACAGCACAATGATTGATATTATGAGCAATGATCCACGCCATCATCCAAGTCACCGTGTCCGACCAGCCGATCCATCAATCTCATTAAAATCAGATCTAAGTTCTCGCTGCCGCTAATCAATGTTTAGCCATAGCGAGAAATAAGATCTGATTTTAATGAGATTGTCCGATCCATTAAATCGCCATATATAACCAGCATAGGTTGCTTGAGACCAATTCTAAGCCGAAAACCCTTTCGGGAGATTTTAGGATACACGAGGTATCATTGTTAATTGGTGTTTGCAGATGAATCAGAAATAACGTGAGATAGTACATTGTTTCTATGTTGTGTTTTCTCATTTGTTTTGCGACACAGTCAGTTAATATTCTTTCTAAACTGCCGAGCAAAAGAAAGTGTACACCCATGTTTAATGGCGGCTAAAAGGGAAACAAACAAGAAATGATTATTCGATGGTGATGTATTTGAAACGGGTATCATATTGGACCTTTAATATGCAGTGTTTCAGAGACTATTTTCAGCCAAGTAACGTTTTGTTAACGTAAATAATATTTGGTCAATTTTCAAATGTATACATTTTTTGCCTGGCAGTTAAAATCACGGCAGTTTGCAATAAATCGAGTCGATCCAATAGAAAAGCAATAGAGTTTTGAGGACCCTCGTCCCAAGGGGACTATGCGGTGTTGTTTATTATTTTGTGTTGTGGGTTAAACGCCGACTTGAACAGTATTTGAGTTCTAGTTATATGGAAGGAAACAAACGCGGTGCGGACAAACCGAGGACTTTATCGGTCGAATGTGGGAATCGAACCCGCCAATTAATTCCTATTACGTATTTAAGAAATAAACGACGAGTGGGAGCTGTTTATCGTACAATAAAACAATTGCTTATATGAGATATCAAAGTTATGTACAGCCTCTTTGAGGATGTTGATAAGATGTACGAACTATACAAATATTTATCCAAATTTTAATAATGATGACTCCCTGAATAGAATCCGAACTCAGATAGGGTCGGAGAAGTCAATTTTACGAACATGTGGGTTAATTTTGGTTATTCACGCATGTTCCCACAATCCTCAAAACGATTATCTGTACCTTTTCTCCTAATACCAATTGTCATATCTCTCCCACTTGGGGATGAGATCGGTCGGCCATTGCGTTTATGTGCGTTGCCGAACTACATCTATTGCGAACAACTCACTAGACACGTCCCTCTAAAATCTAGCGTCGTCCTATTTACGATGCATGAAGTTGGGAGCCCATGTTCGGATCTAATTATATAACAATGTTTTATCGTGAAATGAACCCCACATCGTTCTTCATGTTCTTTGCGATCTTTCGGGTGGCTATCTGTTATATATGTTAAGGTATTCAAAGATCGTTTTTCAGTTCGTTTCGTCATTCATAAAGTCATCATTCAGATCCATGTCCAAGACGTGAACGACAACTGCCCAGAGCTTGACCAGAGTACATTCGCCATCTGGGCCAATCCTGCTCTCCAAGACATCGCCATTGTCGACCTTAATGCCTCCGACATAGACGCCGGGAACAACTCCGTCCTCAGATACTACCGATCAGATGTAACGGCAACGTGAGTTTGAAATCTATTCCAACATAACATCCTTGTTTGTCCTGCGTATGAGTATTCAACTGCTAGTCTTGAGTCCGTAGAGTAGACATAAACTCGATTATTTCCAGGGTGTAGGGCTACATGTATAGAGTGAGTGAGTTGGGCTTAACGCCGCTTTTAACAATATTCCAGTTATATCACGGCGTGTCAGCTTAATGTGGGAGGAAAGCCCGAAGTGATTAAGGTCTCAGACGTTTACCACTTCGGTGAAACCCACGAGCACGGGTATGGTGCTGACAAACCAAGAAACATAATCGGGGTGAACCGGGATTCGAACCCACAATCATAGGTTTTGGCGTGCCCAAGGGACGTAACTCTGCACAGCGAATCGCGGCGCCTTAGACGACTGGGCCACCCGTGTTCCCTAGAGACACGTTGTAAAGGCTGGCTTCGTCTATGTTCATATGAACTTATATAGAGTCGGAATGTTGCTGCGTGCGTTGTTAACACACACACACACACACACACACACACACGCGCGCGCGCGCGCGTGTGCGCGCATACATATTCGCAAAATAAAGTGAATCATCTTTAACGTTTTGAGTCAGGACTTAGAAACAAACAGCACCTAAACGCTTACATAGAACTGAGGCGGCCATATGTCCGTTAGATGTGACATAGAACCATATCTCCGTTTCCATGTTACGTTAATCCGGTACCGTCCTGATAACGGAATTTAATGTGTATGTATTGTAGTTACCCGAAAAATAAAACCTTAGGTCACTTATATCTTTCAAGTAACTTTGCGTTAAGGGTAGAACAGAATTACAGTAACTCGTAATATTATAATATACTTTGTAACAGAATTCACCTAGGGCTTCGTTCTACAAAGAGACAACAGTTTACTGTCCTAAGTATGTGCTGAATTATGGGAGTTAGGCTTGCCTAAGTGCTAAGATCACTTTGTGTAACGGGGCCCTAAATTATAATAATGGGCGAACGCAACGTCTTATAACTGCTTATTGCCAAACAGAGGTTTCTGTAGCTTTCTACGGTTGCCTGCGGTGTAAAATGAACCCCACTCGCTCATACTTGCAAAAGGGACACAGAATATTTTCTTGGTTACAGTCCTCCAGTGTCATTCAACGAGACTGAAGATCTTCACAAGTCTGTTTACACGAAGAATACAACCCTGAGTTTTGAGGTCTTCGTCGTTGACGAGGGCGTACCCCGGCGCGGCGCTAAAGGCACTGTCACAATGGTGCTTGACAACTCCTGTCTGGTGTCTGTGGAATATGAACCTATCGCCTTTGATTTCCCTCTCGACGAAATAACAGGAGAAGTTACGTTTGTGGTGCCTGGGTATTACCATTATGAGTTTGGTGAGTAACGCGACAGGAATACAAAGTTCTACTGCTGAGTGAGTGAGTTGGGTTAAACGCCGCTTTTAACATTAATCCAGTTATATCATGGCGTGTCAGCTTAATGTGGGAGGAAAACCCGGTGATGCAGGTCTCAGACTTTTACCACTTCGGTGAAACCCACGAGCACGGGTATGGTGCTGACAAACCTAGAAACATAATCGGGGCGAACCAGGATTCAAACCCACAATCATAGGATTCTGGCGTGCCTAAGGGACAGCGAATCTCGGCACCTTAGACGACTGTGCCACCTGTGCCCCCTCTACTGCTGAACAAAGATTGGAAACATTGGTTGTTGTCCGTCTATTCGACTCATGAAGATCCAGGTTAGAATTGATCTTTAGCAGCACATGGTTGTCGTAAGAGGCGACTAACGATTTCGTGGCCAGGCTCGCTGACGTGGTTGATGCATGCATGCATGATCCCAATTGCGTAGATCGATGCGCATGACATCAGTCACTGGACTGTCTGGTCTAGATTCGATTACTTACAGACTGCCGTCGTATAGCTGGAATATTGCTGAGTGCGGTTTTAAGCAACAACAAACAAACGTGTCTCGACAATGCACCACTTTGACTGGCCACGATCAAACCTTCCACCCTTGCTGTTGTTATCGACTACATGGGTTCTGCAGATCCTGGAGTTGAATTGTTTGCTCGTTTAACAGTAGGGTGAGATAACTGGCCAAGCTCGTATGGAGTGAGCTGTAGTTTTAAATCGTTTTTCAAAAATATTAAATAATATTATGCTTTCAATAAAGGCAGTGAGGCTTCTGACAAAACATTCATGTATTCGCATATGCGATTATTGTTTGAAAAAGTAGCAAGTATCCATTATTTAATGTGACGGTGAATTTTAACATGACTTTACTTGATATTGTGAAGTGATATGTGAAGATGACGTAGGATGTCAGTCCATGTTACGTTTTGCAATATATATAGGATATTTCATGTGTCGAGTGAAATATCATGTTTCTCTCATCGAGTGATGGGGGAAAGGAGATATTTGCACGAGTGGCTTTTATAATCTCCTGCTACTTTTAATGGCTGATCATAATTACATATTTGATATTTCTCAATGATCAGAATGCATGCGAGTTGCTGGGGTTGAGAAGGCGTTTATTCGGGATGAGTTTCTCACTGCTTCATCCTCTCAGCCAGACAGTGGACCAGAGAGGGCTCGACTCAACATGACATCACTTACAGGTAGCTCAATGTCATCTTTTTTCGGTGTTAAACAGAGTCTTGACTGTTGATCACCAAGTCGCATAGAGACGTGATGAAGAGTCTAGGTAGAATGCTTTGTGATCGGCCATATGTACTGCATGTACAGCGTTTGTACCCGGTCGTGTTTCCATTGTGTGAGTTAAAGTTTAACGTCGCATCGGCATGATTTCATTCGTATAGCGACGAGCGTGTTTCAACAAAGGAACTAGATAGCCTTGGAGTTGCCTTTGCTTGTAAGTTGTCTAAGTATTTAGTGTGGGTATCAGATTTTATTACATTTCTGAAAGGTGAAAGTCACGGTTCCATCATTTCTGAAAGGTTACGGAAAGTCACCGTTCCATCCTTGTCTCCCCACCCCCAAATGGAAGTGGGGTGTGCAAATTGTTTTTGGCTAGGTTCCCCATGGCGTCGGCGTTCCCATCCTATTCCGAGCCATAACTTGGATTACGTTCATTACTCAGCTCAACTGGTGCCTTTTGCTATTTTTAAATTTGACAAAATTTTGTTTTTATATGTTTCCATGGAAAGACTTTTGCTAAGTCTCAAAGGAGTATAGGGTTCGTTTCCGGGCAATATCTTGAATAATATCTGGACAATTATTTTGGAATACCGTTCAACAAATTTCAACGAAACTTGGGATAAGCATTGCTCATCGGCTATACTGGCGCCTTTGCTATTTTGAATAGTTTGTAAATTTTAATTTGTTACGTTTCCATGGAAACAATATGCCCAAAGCAGCATATGTTGGTCGTAAGATGCGACTTAATGGATCGGGTGGTAAGACTCTGTAACTTGATTGATTGTGTGTCATCGTACCCGACGATGTAGATCGTTGCTCATCATGTCAATCACTGGATTGACTGGTCTAGACTTGATTGCTTAAAGGCCGTAGTCATATTGCTGAGTGTGGCGTTAAAAACAAAACAAAAAAAGAACCCCCAAACCACGATATTTATGTTCTACAGCGGAGCTTGGTGGGTTGAGTGGGGGATGGGTGGCAGCCGTTGATGACGCCAGTCAGTGGATACAGACGGAGCTGGAAGAACTCTATGTGTTCCGTGTCATACAGATTCAGGGCCGTGAAGATGAGGTCAACTACGTCACTACCTTCTCCGTCTTCGTCAGTGACGACGGCATCACCTTCAGTAAATATACCGACGGGAACGGCCTTGATGTATGTTGGTATTCGTTATTTAATCTTTACTTTTGAGTAACGATCATCAACGTGAATCGTTGTTTTCTTAAACCATCATGAACACAACCCCCATGGTCCGTACAATATGTCAAGCCCGTTCTAAGAATCCCCTGCCACGACATGGCTTGGATATTATTCAAAGCGGCGACAAATATGCTCTAATACAGCAACAGTTACACACCGAATAAGCAATTGTCCAGAAATCTGTGCCAAAGCTTTCATAACCAGGGGCGAAACTACCATTGTAACATAACAGTAATTACTCACACCTAAGAAAAAAGCACATGATTTTACACCTAAAAAAAGCACATCAGTTTACCATCACTACAATTATTAATGCAAACTCTACACGGTCGAACATGATATTTATCGCCCAACTTGAAAATCGGACTCTTTACGAACTAACGTTAAATTATGAAAATATAAATAACAATCACATACAAATTTCATTTGTCATCATAGATGTTTCTTGAATGAAAGTCGAAAATGTGTTGTTGAAACACCTATATATAAACTACTAATAAAAATTTTTAATAAATAAATTAATAATATTTGTTACAAATAAAATCTAACATAAACTGTCCCAAAATGTAGGAATAGCCAATGGCCAATTATGTCAAGTTAAACTATTGTTATACAATGAGTATGGAACAAAGGGAACATGGTTTTAATGCGCAATAAACGCTTGTGTCAACAGTGTCTTCTTAATGAGTTGATCACGCCAGAGACGTATCTATATACGTCTTTGACCACGCCAGAGACGTGTCTATATACGTCTTTGACCACGCGTATCAAGATTGGTTCTCAAAAGGGGGTTTGATGAAAGTGCACAAAAATACAAAATTGGAAGATAGTTTACTAATAATGTCCTTTTCTTGTGTTACAAAGTACGTATCGGTTATAGACGTTGTTTCTACGCGAGCACTTCCGGTTCTGACTTCTGAAGTGCGTGGCATGTTTCTCCATGTTGCAGGTGTTCAATGGGGCGGTGGACCAGGCCACTGTGGTGGATGTGACCCTGGAGCCCCCTGCCCGTGGGAAATACATCCGCATTAACCCCCAGACATGGGTGGGGCACGTCAGTCTCAGGTTCGAGCTGATTGGCTGTTCACAGCGGGAGGAGTTGCATTGTAAGTTGATATAACCTTGAGCCTTGTTCCAATACTCTACTGAAAGATAAGTCCATTGATGTATAGTAATTCTAGCCTTATAACGGCAAGTTTAGATTAGCCGTCAGTGTAAGGATACCAGACGTTTATAAGGACCACTTGTTCTTATTATTCATATAATCTAGGAATTATGATTAAAACTAATAATCATTTCCTGAGAGACTTATGCAAGTGTAGTTAACGTTAGGTATTAGAGCATTTTCATTTACTGCTACTAACCTCTGCAACAAATTTCTACTACCAATCAGGGTAGCATCATCAAAATCACAGTTCAAGCCACTGCTGAAAACTACAAAGCATTTGACAACGACGATTAACCTTTTTCATGTGTTCTTTTTATTGTTGTTGTTTATGTAGAGCATCACTGAACATCTCATTATAGGTATTAGATGCTATACAAACTCAGTATTTATTATTATTATTTACAAAGTCATTATATACTCCTCAAATTATTTCAGAAGTTTGGTTCTGGCGTTTCAATAATTAATATATTATAATAATAAAAACAACAAAACTGTTTCCATAAGCACAACAACTTACTGCCGAAAGCAGTGTCAAGTGTACGATTCTACATCGGATAACAGAATTATAACATTTCTGTTAACAATATCAGAATTATAACGTTTATGTTGAACGATTAAATGTCTGGACATCAACCCTGTCTTCTCAGACAATGCAATATACACAAACACTATTTATGACTCTGATTTGTTTTCGAACATTGATTACATTTTTCCTGTTAGTCGTATTTGTGTAGCTAACTTTGGTCTGGTAAGGCTAAGCTTAAAAACCCTACGCCCAAAAGTATGTTAGTATATTCTTTGAATGGTAAGGTTATTTGAATTCTTTGATCTGAGGTAGGAAACAGTTTTCTGATGTGGGGTTATATATACATATATATATATATATACGAACTTAACATAAATCACATGAATATATAGTTATCATGTTAACATAGTGACATTATGCTGTCTTCTTTTTTTGAGGACGGTTGTGTAGCCTAGTGGTTAAAGTGTTCGCTCGTCACGCTGAAGGCCGGGTTTCGGTTCCCCACATGGGTGCAATTTGTGAGACCCATTTCTGGTGTTTCTCGTCATGATCTTGCTTAAATATTGCTAAACAGGGCGTAAAACCATACTCACTCACTTTCATCAACGATTAGTGTTCTAGTACATCTTATTTTAAATCACGGCAAATTGCACGGTACTTTTGCGTCTCCACCAATAACCATGAAACTCTCAGTTTGTATTATGGTATTTCTTGTGTTTTCAGATCAGACATCTTGTGAGCGATGCCAGACCACGTGGTACTGCCCGGGGAATGGGCACATGCTGCCATGTGGACGCTGTGACCCCCCAATGTCCAACTCCACCTGTGGCCGCTCCCCCACGGAGCACAGTTTTGGTCTGGCGTCCGAGTGCGTGTCATGCCCACTGGGTTGGGTAAGTACAAGTGTACCCGTCTCACAGATAGGTCATCGTAAATCACCAACTACAATGTACAACTCTCTGAACATCCTGCGGAGGTGAGGTGAAATGGGATTTATTAACGTCCGCCAATATATCACAAACCCGACTCTCCAACTCACACGAGTTTACTCAGATGGGAGACAAAAATACCAAACTAGGATTACAGTAGAAACGAAATGCGAATTACGCGAAAAGAATACAAACGAAATGTGATTCAAATACGATAAAAAAAGAGAGAAAATAAACATAGTGGCGTGACCACTTTCTCCTCTTTCTTTAATGTCAATGTTGATCACTAGAAGTGTCTTAATGCATCAGCCACTCTCCAGAACTTTGCCAGGCTGGTGGGTGTCGTGTCCTTGTGGATTGTCTGAGCGGCTGCCCTGGAACCTGTCTTGGGTTGTTCTGAATCTCATGTTGAACGATGTCTTTGTCCTCATCACTATCCTCATCAGTGCTGTGATGATTGTCCTTTTCAGTTGAGCCTCTTATTGGCTCATTAGTTACCACAGATTCTGTTCACGGTTTGATCGGGTAACAGCAGACAATGGGAACATTGTAAATTTTTGATTGGAATTGAGTGGTGGTCGCGTTTAAGATTATTGCACTGTTATAGCGATAGGCAGGGAAGCAACAAGTTGGTATGACGTAACCGGGAATTGAACCACCAGCCTTCCTCTCGGGGAAGATGCTTTATCCACTAGGCCACCCTGTGGATAGTGAAACGTTTCACGCTGTTTTAAGCAATAGTCCCGCAATACCCGCAAGGAAAATCGATCCAAGCAATAAAGCGAGCTCTTTAACCACCGACCTTTGGGTATGTGCAGTGTTGACACTCAAATGAGTTTTTTCGAGTACCAGTTCAGTTTTGGTAGCTTTTGAAGGTAAGATTAACTGTGATTGGTTGATGTTTAATAGAGATGAAGATTACAGCAAAATGCTCACTTGTTGTGCTAGCAATTGCAGTTGGTATTAGCTATTTTATACATGATAAAAACTTCTCTTGATCTTGGTGGCTCAGTGGTTTATGACACGGCAACCTGCACTACAGAGTTGCGTCCCCTAGTTGCCAGGATCAGCATGTCATGGGTTTGAATCTCATAATTTCACCCATTATAATCCTTGGTTTGCAACACCATATCTGTGCTCTTTTGTTTTTCCAACAAGGCAGATATTATTGACCGTCGTCAAATTGGATATCCACATTTCGCTGACACAACACATAACCTAAGTACTGAAAACAGCATCCTACAACTCTTAGATATGGATAATATTCAATGACACATGACCAATTTTGAAATCACTTACCGAAAGACACACCACCACTGAATCCAGATGAGTAATTCAATCGACTCAAATTCCATATTTTTCATCATTCATCCTCGTTGAACATCAAAAGGTTTTGTCCGGATTACAAAAGAATGAGAAACAAGCCTGTGAAACTTGGTATCATCGTCTGTAATGATCTTGTCAGGAGCTTGACGATGTATCAACACATCTGTTTTATGCTTCAGATCTGCAAGGGCGGCTATGCTGAGCCGTGCGAGGAGTTTCACTACGTGACCTACTGCAATGACTCCTATTGTCCGGCCACGTGCACCCAGTGTGAGTCCGGGTATGCTTGTCGGGGTGGCCAGAGGTACTACTGCGAGGTTGGCACGCAGTCAGATGGAAACAAAGGTAGATTCTAAAACTTAAAACAATATCTCTCTTAAAAAAAACTGTCCAATCTCCGTTGTTTCCGTTGATTGTTGTTTGAAGAAAATATGTGGTTATGATGACGCATTGTAAACCATATGTGGCAATCATGGCGCATTGAAGCCCATTTGTGGCAATCGGGGTGCATTTAAGATCATACGAGGCAATCATGGTGCATGAAGATCATACATTGCAATCATGGAGCATGAAGATCATACATGGCAATCATGGAGCATGAAAATCATACGTGGCAATCATGAAGCATGAAGATCATACGTGGCAATCATGGAGCATGAAGATCACACATGGCAATCATGAAGCATGAAGATCATACGTGGCAATCATGGTGCATGAAGATCATACATGGCAATCATGAAGCATGAAGATCATACGTGGCAATCATGGTGCATGAAGATCACACATGGCAATCATGGTGCATTGAAGATCATACATGGCAATCATGGTGCATTGAAGATCATACATGGCAATCATGGTGCATGAAGATCATACATGGCAATCATGGTGCATTGAAGATCATACATGGCAATCATGGTGCATTGAAGAATATACATGGCAATCATGGTGCATTGAAGAATATACATGGCAATCATGGTGCATTGAAGACCATATGTGGCAATCATAGCGCATTGAAGTCCATATAAGTTAATCATGGAGCATGAAGATCAAACGTGGCAATCATGGAGCATTGAAGATCATACATGGCAATCATGGAGCATGAAGATCAAACGTGGCAATCATGGAGCATTGAAGATCATACATGGCAATCATGGAGCATGAAGATCATACATGGCAATCATGGTGCATTTAAGATCATACGTGGCAATCATGGCGCATGAACATCATACGTGGCAATCTTGGCGCAATGAAGATCATACGTGGCAATCATGGCGCATTGAAGATCATACATGGCAATCATGGAGCATGAAGATTATACATGGCAATCATGGTGCATTGAAGAATATACATGGCAATCATGGTGCATTTAAGATCATACGTGGCAATCATGGCGCATGAAGATCAAACGTGGCAATCATGGAGCATGAAGATCATACGTGGCAATCATGGAGCATGAAGATCATACATGGCAATCATGGTGCATGAAGATTATACATGGCAATCATGGTGCATTGAAGAATATACATGGCAATCATGGTGCATTTAAGATCATACGTGGCAATCATGGCGCATGAAGATCAAACGTGGCAATCATGGAGCATGAAGATCATACGTGGCAATCATGGAGCATGAAGATCATACATGGCAATCATGGTGCATGAAGATTATACATGGCAATCATGGCGCATTGAAGATCATACATGGCAATCATGGAGCATGAAGATCATACGTGGCAATCATGGTGCATTGAAGATCATACGTAGCAATCATGGTGCATTGAAGATCAAACGTGGCAATCATGGAGCATGAACATCATACGTAGCAATCATGGTGCATGAAGATTTTATGTGGCAATCATGGCGCATGAAGATCAAACGTGGCAATCATGGAGCATGAAGATCATACGTGGCAATCATGGAGCATGAAGATCATACATGGCAATCATGGTGCATGAAGATTATACATGGCAATCATGGCGCATTGAAGATCATACATGGCAATCATGGAGCATGAAGATTATACATGGCAATCATGGTGCATTGAAGAATATACATGGCAATCATGGTGCATTTAAGATCATACGTGGCAATCATGGCGCATGAACATCATACGTGGCAATCTTGGCGCATTGAAGATCATACGTGGCAATCATGGCGCATTGAAGATCATACGTGGCAATCATGGCGCATTAAAGAATATAAGTGGCAATTGGGGCGCATTGAAGATCATACGTAGCAATCATGGTGCATTGAAGATCAAACGTGGCAATCATGGAGCATGAACATCATACGTGGCAATCATGGTGCATGAAGATTTTATGTGGCAATCATGGAGCATGAAGATCATACGTGGCAATCATGGAGCATGAAGATTATACATGGCAATCATGGTGCATGAACATTATACATGGCAATCATGGTGCATGAAGATTATACATGGCAATTATGGCGCATTGAAGAATATATGTGGCAAACATCGCGCAATGAAAATCATACGTGGCAATCATGGTGCATTAAAGAATATAAGTGGCAATTGTGGCACATTAAAGATCATACGTGGCAATCATGGTGCATTGAAGATTATATGTGGCAATCATGTTGCATTTAAGATTATACATGGCAATTATTGAGCATTGAAGAATATACGTGGCAATCATGGTGCATTGAAGATCAAACGTGGCAATCGTGGCGCATTGAAGATCATACGTGGCAATCATGGTGCATTGAAGATTAAACGTGGCAATCATGGTGCATTGAAGATCATATGTGGCAATCATGGCACATTGAAGATCAAACGTTGCAATCGTGGCACATTGAAGATCATACGTGGCAATCATGGTGCATTGAAGATCATACATGGCAACCACGGCGCAATGAAGATTTTATGTGGCAATTATGGTGCATTGAAGATTAAACGTGGCAATCATGGTGCATTGAAGATCATACATGGCAATCATGGCGCATTGAAGATCATACATGGCAATCACGGCGCATTGAAGATCATACATGACAATCATGATGCATTGATGATTAAACGTGGCAATCATGGTGCATTAAAGATCATACGTGACAATCATGGCACATTGAAGATCATACATGGCAATCATGGTGCATTAAAGATCATACGTGACAATCATGGCACATTGAAGATCATACATGGCAAAGATGGCGCATTGAAGATTATACATGGCAATCATGGTGCATTGAAGATCATATGTGGCAATCATGGTGCATTGAAGATTAAATGTGGCAATCATGGCGCATGAAGATCATACGTTTCATTTGTGGCATATAAAGAAGCATACAGGGCAAGCAAAACACAGCTTTCACAGCGATGCTGAGAGCAAGCCTGCTTGTCCTGGCTCCTGTATTAATATCAAAGGTTGCTAGCGATGCTCTCTGCAGACTACAAATGGCTATCATCATCTCATTTTAAATAGATTTCTGTATAATGAAACAGCAATTCATTAATACCAGATCTTTTACTCGGATGCGATACCTCTCTGCATGAATATCTGAGCACACTACATGAGAGTTTGATGAACAGTTTCGTCATCCAATCAGACTAAGGCAATAAGTGAGTGAAGCAATCAGACCAGCATATATTATTTCTTTATGTCAAACACGAACATCAACAGGGAGTTCCGAATGCAGGATATAAAGACAGGTTGTTATATTGTTGTGGATATTTTTTTACGTCCTATTGTTTCTAAGCAACATGGTATCTCCCCCAAAAGCATGTACTAACGAGGGTGTATTTGTGTTGTGTGACAAATTTCCGATTCGAAATGGTTAAAAGTGACGCAGAGAGTTATCGTATCGGAGTACAAGATGTGATCTGTTGATCAAACCATAACACACAATTTTACATGCATTTTTCCCGGTAGAGTTCTGCGAGCTGTGCCGACCAGGTACCTTCCAGGATCAGTCAGGGCAGTCCTCCTGCAAACCCTGCCCAACAGGATTCCGTAGCACCACAATGAAGGACCGTTGTGCGCCTTGCAACCCCAGGTCTTGGTCCAAGGGAGACGGGTCTGACTGCGAGGCATGTACTGACAGCACTCAGTGTCCATGCACTGGCAGCACGGGACTTTGTTTCCATGGAGTCACTTGCAGGAATGCCCAGAACGCTGACGGGAGTTACGGCCACGTGTGTGATGCCTGTCCGCCTGGCTATAACGGTGACGGTGTCAGCTGTACTGATATTGATGAGGTGAGGCAGAGTTTATTTCACCTTTATTGTGAAAACATATTCTAAGTGTAAACACATTGTAAACAAGAAGGTTACATTGAGACATCAGGCCAAGGTTGTGTTTTAATTATTGTGTGCAGTGAGTGACTGAGTGAGATGGGTTTAACACTGCTTTAACAGTATTTCAGTTGTATCAAAGCGTGTCAGCTCATTGTGGGATCAAAACCCCATAGTGAGCAGCATTAAGTTGAAAGAGACACAATATCTTCGTATCCAAGAGTCGTAGATACCCATTACTTTGGTTAATATATATTACAAACAAGATGAGAAAGAGTTACAGAAGTTGAACATATGAAATGATTGAGTTATATCGCCGCCTTGGACAGTATACTCAGTTACTTCAAGGCGTGTCAGCCTGATGTGGGAGGAAAGCCCGAAGTGATTCAGGTATTTGAATTACTGCTTTCGTGAAACCTACAAGGATGGGTACGGTGTTGACAAACCTAGAACCATAATCGGACTGAATCAATGATTCGAACCCACTTCCATGAATTTTTGGCACGACTATGGGACGCAATTCTGCACATCGAATAGTCTCGCCTTAGTCAATTCGCCCACCTGTGTCCTAGGAGACTAAAAAATTGTAACCCATCTTCATGTTCACGAGGAAAGAGTTTGAAGGGGTATAAACATACTCACCATTGTTTCCAGTGTGTTGAACACTCTCCTTGTTGGAATACGTCATCGTGCAAGAACACAGAGCCAGGCTACCAGTGCCGGAGGTGTCCCACAGGCTTCACGGGGTCGTTCGAGGACGCCCTGGCCTGGAACGTGACCCGCCGGAACTTCATCGACTGCAACCAGAAGCACGACCCTTCTCCAATCCAGCACTGTGAGGATACAGATGAATGCCTCACCAACAATGGAGGATGTGACCTCAATGGCTATTGTCATAACACCGTGGTGGGTGAATGAAAATGGCAAATTATTAAAGAACTATCGTTTCACACAATAGGTACTCTCATAAAAGACAATGGGAATTTTTCCAGTCTACATATAGGACTTAGATTTATTGTAACTGGGTAATATTAGCTATTGCAGAATTGGTTTAGAAAAACCGATATCATTGGTTCCAAATTCTGGTAACGAATTTCAGTCTACCTCTAGGAGATGTAAACAGGGATATTTTGGTTCTAGGGCAGTTTCTACTGTGGTCTCTGTAAAGATGGGTACATCGGCAGCGCCAAGTACGGTTGTGAGCTTGCGGACTTCTGTCTGTCGGGCAAACATGAATGTAACGTCAACGCTACTTGTGTCTACTCCGGCCCCGGGGACTACAGCTGCCTGGTAAGTACGTGTGAGTGTCTGCATCTTGAATATAGTTGGCAAGCTTTGGAAAATATTTAGGAACATTATATCAACGTTGTCCAAGCTTGATTGAAGATGGTCTAACTGAACCTTTCTGCCACAGTGTAACAATGGACTTGCCGGTAATGGCTTCACCTGCGGTCCCGACCCAGACCAGGATGGCTACCCGGCAGAAGGCATTTCCTGTAATGGGGAGGAGTTTGGAAACTGTAAACAGGTCAGTATTATAGGTAGACATCTCCCTAGGTTGGAAGTGACCAGTGCTGAAGAACGCCCCACTTCTGTGTCATACATAGGTAGTAAATGGTGAATGTGCGAGTGAATACGATTTGCGGTTGCTTAAAATAAGCAATATTTTATCATTGCTTCGGCATATAAAGAGTAATACAGATTTGGATTTGGAATCTATCACGAATACAGTAATATCGAAATAAAAATGTATAGGGAACAGCAGAGAGATAGTTACCGCAACTGCTGTGTTCCTTGATCATATTTTGCTATTATCATCTTCCCGAGGCAAGAGAGTAAACTGACTTTAAAAGTCCAGTTTCCACCCTTGCCGAACTTGGCTGGAATTCCTGGGCTCTATCGTAGCGCCACCAGTGGCTATTACGAGTTATGTCCCTTTTAAGCCTCTCCTATGGACCAATCAGATTCCATCACTTGCATTTGTTTAAAAAAAACGGTGGCGTCCAGTCAAGACGATCTGATCGTTAATCAAGATCTATGTTTTGATAAAACGTGTCTTACATCGCGAAATGCATCAAATCACGCGGGCACATTTATCAAAAACATGAAAAGATTTGGAAAATATCTGTTGACAACGAGTTGGCGGTGCACATACTTTGCAAATACTGCAATCGACCGAAATCTGCGCGACAGTTTACAAACCGGATTCCGATTTCGTTGCGCGATTTTGATTGGACTATGCATCGACTCGTTATTCCAGTCAAAATGTAACTCCATAATACCAGCCTAGTTCGGCAAGGGTGGAAACTGGACTTTTATAGTCAGTTAACTCCCATGCCTCGGGAAGATGTGCTATTATTAGTGCATGTTAAATATGGAGATGTAGAGCTAGGTTACCTGTAGATTTAACCTTGCCAAATTGAATTTGGAACCGAACGCGCAGAAATACACTCTCTTTGTAGATTTCTATCATGTTTTCTGCATATGTATTGCCACACCATCCTTTGAATGTGGTAGTAACTGCAACATTACATTTTGTGGCTTATAATTGTAGATATAATTATTTATATATCATAATATGCCTACCGACAATGGCTGTAAAAGAAGTTCCGTTCTAAACATATTAGCTTCCACGGTGATGCTGCTGTCAAACCGGCTGTTTTAATCAGTGGGGATATATTGTGATTTGAAAGTATTTTCCAAATTCATGGTAGAATATTAATTATGAATTACACTATAAAGTTTTCGAAACTAAATATTGTTATTACAAACACACACTTAGCTTCTGCTTTGTACATGGTCATGTTTTGCCTTTATCAATGCATTTCGATAAATTGATTGAGTTTCATGTTCGCTTTACGAAACTAAATATTATTACAATACCACCCCACTCGTCCACCTGCTTGGCCTGCAGGACAACTGCCAGGACATCCCCAACAGCGGACAGGAGGACAATGACGGCGACACCATGGGAGACTCCTGTGACACCGATGACGACAACGACACCGTCTTTGATCTAGATGTGAGTAGTGTCGAACATGCATTGGGGACACCAATTGATATTCTGGCGATGTTCTGATAAATAATGTGTTTAGGTATAAAATATTTGTTTGCCCATTTTTTCAGATATATTTTTGTTATGTTTTGGAGCATTGATTGAAAAAGTATTCTGTCTGAAATAACCAATATTGTGGAAGATGGTGGAGACATTGAATTGATTGTAAGGACTGCTGCATGCCTTGATCCGCCACAACTTTTTTCTCGAAGGTGTGGGATTGGGGAGTGATATAAATCTAACCCTAGCGGTATGTAATGGATATCGGGAATCCCCGGAAGTGAGTTTGACAAATCCGCAAAGCGTGCATGTCATATCAGTGTATTTTAATCCTCATACCCAAGTTTTACTAAAGTGGTCCAGGTCTCCGATTTGCTTTGCTCTTTGGGTTTCTGTCCTTCTATAATCTGATACACCGTGATAATTATGACTGAAATATTGTTCAACACAGCATCAATATCATAAAGCTCGATATCAATTAATGGACTAAAAGTCCTTCCATACTCCACATATGTACGTCTTTGATTACCCAGTGTATTTTATCTCAATCCTAAAAATACCCTGGAGCCAATCGCAACCATTACAACCGACCCCATCACTCCTAATTTAACACAAATTTTCTTTCACTCATGAGAGTATTTTGTTGTATGGCTGTTTTTAGCATCATGCCATTCGAACTGGACTGAAAAAAAGCAGCATTAGTTGTAAATTGGTCCAGGGTATTTATCCAAACCTAATGGAAATATAATACCCTGGATTACAGAGGATGATGTATAATGTCAATAGACATTCATAGTGAAGAGGGACTTATCCCATGGTTACAGTGATTTAAGTGAGTGATTCATGCCGCTTTTAGCAATATTCCAACAATATCAAGGCGGGGGGCACCAGAAATCGGCTTCCCACATTGTACCAATGTGGGAAATCGAACCCGAGTCTTCAGCATGATGAGCGAATGCTTTAACCACTAGGCTACCGCTACCCACCAACATGGATAGTCTGAGAAGACAGTGATTTAGATACATCTATTTTGAATGTACAGTGTGCTCTTCCTTTGACAACCTCCAAGGGGTTTACAGGGAAGAAAAGATCCCAAGTTTCCAATGGTTGTTGTAAGACCCGAATAATGAAGACTGGGTTATTTGGCTGATTGGGTGTCATGGTGCCCTTATGTCACGAATCGTTGTTCACGCTTTCAGTCACTTATTGGCTGTGCCCAGACTCGAATTTAAAGGTCTCCGTATAGCTGGATTATTGCTGAATGCCGACAGCAATCACTCACCCACTCTTCTGTCTTCAAAGGACAACTGCCCGATGGTGTTCAACAACAAACAGGAGGACGCCGACAACGACAGCATTGGCGATGCATGTGACAACTGCCCTAACGATGTCAACGCTGACCAGGTCGACACCGATGGAGACGGTCAGGGTGACACTTGTCAAGTGGACTCTGACGCTGATGGCCGATCTGACGCCATTGACAACTGCCCCTATGTCGCTAACCCAAGTGAGTTTAAGTGAACGATTACCTGTGAGGAATAGTTAACTTCAATTAACCTCAAAGTTCATATATGCCTTGCACAGTTTAGATGTAGTTCATCCAAATTTGAAGTCAAGGTGGGAAGGAAGTTTAACGTCAAACACAGTGATTCTGTAGAATGTTTTCTAGTGACATGGAGGCAAATTTCGTTTCTTGACAGTCCATTTCCACCCTTGCCTAACTAGGCTGGAATTTTGTGGCTCAATCATAGCGCCACCATTGGCAATGTCCCGTCTATGTCCCTCCTATTGACCAATCAGATTCCACCTCTCATATCACTTGCGTTTGCTTCAAACAAAATGGCGGCACCCAGTTAAGACGATCTGATCGATAATCAACGTCCTTTATTGTGATAAAATGAGTCTTACCTTGCGAAGTACATAAAATAACTTGGACATCTTTATTTTAAACATAAAGAGATTTTGAAAACCTTTATCGACGCTTAGGTGAGGGTAGACAAGCAGATCCTGCAATCGACCGAAATCGCATGTTTGTGAACCATGTGTCGAATTTGTTACACGATTTTGATTGGACTATGCATAGACTCGTTAGTCCAACCAAATTATAACTCCATAATTCCAGCCTAGTTCAACAAGGGTGGAAACTGGACTTTTTTAGTCAGTTAACTCCCTTTCCACCATTCTTGCTGGTGTACCCTGCTTATGATACACCGCTATTAAATATTATCTCCCATATACGCATATGATCAATGCGTCCCTTTCTACAACTACCGGTAGTGATATCCCATTCAGTCGAGATACATTTACCCACTACAGTAAAGCCATGAGATTATCGTGTCAATCAGCTTTAACATTGCTGTAAAATCTTGTGTTTAAAAGGCTTGTGGCGTCAAATGCATATTGACTGAAGTGAGCCTTCCATCCTTTTGGTCCGACTTATAGGTTTGCCATCATAAATACCTTTATAAGTAAATTTAGAAAAGACATAATGGTATTTTATTTTTGCCTATTAACTAATTCTGCCTGTTAATTTGTGCCATACTTTGTGCTAATTGCGTGTATATTGTATCGTGTGGTATATATAATGTATCGATACAAATAAAGCATGGGCACATGAGAGGATATTGATAAACATTAAGATAAAATGATATTTTGATTATGATATCTACAGGAGTATTAAAGCCTAGTTATTCAAGTTTTTATAGGTTTTTATAGATCGAGACCTAATTTTAAATCTGTCATTTTAAATCTGTCATGGCAAATGGGGCGGTGGGTTAGCCTAGTGTTCCCCACATGGTTACAATGTGTGAAGCCCATAACTGGTTTCCCAAACCGTGATATTACTGGAATATTGCTGAAAGCAGTGTAAAACCATACTCACTCACTCACTCACTCATGACAAAATGGATGGTTACAGCATTATTTGGCATTTCCCATGTGTGTGAGGCTCCTTGTACTAGACCGGACTTGTAATACTAGCCCACTGAGATACCTCACTCAGACACATTTTACTGACTCCAAGCCAACCAGTCCTTCCTTTATCCTTTAATGCCAAGCACCAGGCAGAGTTACATACTTACATCTTTTAAAGTTTTTTGGTATGACGTGGCTCGGGATCGAACTACCGATGTTCTAGACAGACGCTGCAACCACTACACCACGGTGGCGGTCACATCTCACATGAATCCTTGGTGTGTCCTCGGTGTGATGTTAATGGATGATGCTAACGCTAGACCCTTCTTTATTCGAACCTGTTCCCAGGTCAGACTGACGCTGACAGCGACGGAAATGGAGACGACTGTGACAACTGCCCGACTGTAGCAAACAGCGGACAAGAAGATTTGAACCAGAATGGAATCGGGGATGCATGTGAAAATGGAGACAGGTATTTGCGTTTCAATATAATTGACCTGCGTCACTGCGTCACTTATGTAAACATATTGATGCAATTTGTTGCTTTGATTAAAGAATAATAATGAGAGATTGAATGTTGTGTTATGCCGCGATATTTCAGCTATTCACAGCTGCATCTCAACAAAACCCTCAGTTAGATGGCTCCAACAGGCAAATGGGTCTGGGGACCTATTCTGATCTGGAACCTCACACATATTATGTGTGGCCTGTAAATAATCAAAAATGGAAAGATAATCCAGTGATTGATATTATGAGCAAAGATATCACAATAATAATGTATATTAATTGCTGTGTGCCTTGTTCATTGTATTTATGAAGAATGTACAGTTGTTGATAGCATCTCCATGTTCATGTCTCTTAAATCATGTTATGAAAAAGCAAAATACACTTCCATTTTGAAGGGATGGCGACTCAATCCAGGACAACAAGGACAACTGCCCAGACATGCCCAACTCCGAACAGAAAGATACAGATGGTGATGGGACAGGTACTCGACCTAGGGATGTGGAGCCATTCATTGTTATCTATGTATTAATGGTGTTTGTTTTATTATTTTTAAAGCCGCACTCAGAATTCGTCCAGCAATATGACAAGCCTATAAATAATCAAATCTGGGTTAGACAAACCAGTGATTGATAATATGAGCAATGATCCACGTCATCAGGATATGATGACATACTTTCTTTAAGTGACATTTTATAAGCCATAGTACCATGGAAGACAGAGTGGACATGGATTTCAGCTTGTGTTTGGGTACAGATGTTTGTACCTTTATGAAGGTACGTTGAAACGTTGTATGGAAAGAGACACAAACAACTCAGTCACCGAGTCATAGGTTGCCCACATTATTTCATGAACTTTCTTTGCCGCAGGTGACTACTGTGACGATGACTCTGACAACGATGGCATTGCCGACTCTGTGGACAACTGCATGTACGTGCCCAACGTAGACCAGGACGATCTGGATGGTAAGACCTACACTCACAGACACATCCTTCAGCGGTTGCACCGAGCGAGCAAGTTAATGCCGGTTACACACCACTTTCTCAGTTATTTATTTGGGACAAAAGCTCAAAGAGATGCGGGTCTTAGGCCTTTACTGAGATACCGAGGAGCAAGGGTATGGGACTGACTTGATACCAAGGAGCAAGGATATAGACTGACTTGATACCAAGGAGCAAGGGTATGGGACTGACTTAGATACCAAGGAGCAAGGGTATGGGACTGACTGAGATACCAAGGAGCAAGGATATAGACTGACTTGATACCAAGGAGCAAGGGTATGGGACTGACTTAGATACCAAGGAGCAAGGGTATGGGACTGACTGAGATACCAAGGAGCAAGGATATAGACTGACTTGATACCAAGGAGCAAGGATATAGACTGACTTGATACCAAGGAGCAAGGATATAGACTGACTTGATACCAAGGAGCAAGGGTATGGGACTGACTGAGATACCAAGGAGCAAGGGTATAGACTGACTTGATACCAAGGAGCAGGGATATAGACTGACTTGATACCAAGGAGCAAGGGTATGGGACTGACTGAGATACCAAGGAGCAAGGGTATTGGACTGACTGAGATACCAAGGAGCAAGGGTATGGGACTGACTGAGATACCAAGGAGCAAGGATATAGACTGACTTGATACCAAGGAGCAAGGGTGTAGACTGACTTGATACCAAGGAGCAGGGGTATGAGACTGACTGAGATACCAAGGAGCAAGGGTATGGGACTGACTGAGATACCAAGGATCAAGGGTATAGACTGACTTGATACCAAGGAGCAGGGGTATGGGACTGACTGAGATACCAAGGAGCAAGGGTATGGGACTGACTGAGATACCAAGGAGCAAGGGTATGGGACTGACTGAGATACCAAGGAGCAAGGGTATGGGACTCGACACCATGATCATTGTTTTGTGGGGGGAATTTAAGGGACCAAATTCTGCACAGCCAATGACGGCACCTTAGACGACTGGGTAAACAGTACCCTCATGATGTTTAATGGAACATTTGGTACTTTCTAAGACAGTTGTCACCAGCTAATTGTTAGTTCAGATGCCATGATCCATATTCTGGTGGCCCAGTAGTCCAAGATGCCAGAACACGTTGTACATAGTTGTGTAACGTAGCTGCCAGGATCATTCTCTTTGATTACGCTTCTTGGTCTGTCAGCATATTATCCATGCTTAAGATCTGCCTAAATGGTTACTAACTGACATCACTTTTAGTTTTTCTCAGACAAAACTGACCACCGTTATTTGACTATTATTCACTGACAAGTTGAAGACACCGCAATTCACTGTACAGAGTTGCATCCCTTGATGGCACCAGAAACCTATGATGGTGGGTTCAAATACATGGCTCGCCCCGAATATGTATCTAGGTTTGTCAGCACCATACCATGTCAGCTTATGGGTTTCACCGAAGTAGTAAACATCTGAGACCTGCATCACTTTGGACTTTCCTCTCACACACCCACCGTACGTGATATAACGGGAAAACTGTTCACTGTGACTTTAAATCAAACTCTCTGGCATGGTTAAGTCACCCCATTACCCCAGTCCTACAACATCCCTATAGGTAACCATCGCGGTGATGCGTGTGAGAAAGACATGGACCAGGATGGGACGATGGACAGGGTGGACAACTGCATGGAGAACAAGTTCATCAACTTCACATCCTTCCTGGGCTACACCACAGTGGAGTTCTACCCAGGTTGGTCAACTGAGGCCGCCCCTGACTGGAGAGTGCTAGATCAAGGGAGAGAAGTCAGGCAGGAGGCCACGACGCGGAGACCTATTGCTCTGATAGGTGAGACATGTTGCCATGGTGTTTTTGATAGCTTGTTAATTATCCGTACGTCCGTCCGTCACGTTTCGTTTCCGGAGCATAACTCAGAAACCGTTCAATATTTTTTCATGAAACTTTGCAGGTCTGTCAGGTACATGCTGAACTGGTGCCTTTTGCTATTTAGAAATTGTAGAAATTTTTATTTTTTACAATTTCCATGACAAGTTCCACCTCGGTTAAAAAAGATTAGGGTTTGTTTAGATTTAATTATGTCATAAATTCTGCAACAGGGGCGGGGGATATAGCCATGTTAGTGGCAAACTCTTGTTAGTGTATGTAACTACACATGTCATCAGGCACTGATGTTTTAAACATGCTTCAGTTCATGATAAAGCTTGGCTGGTGATTTGTGTAGGTTTGAGCTTCTTGTGGCACAGCAATAGATCAGGACAAGTTGTGAAAGATTGGACTCCTCATAAATTGTAGCTGATCTGAAAATGTCTTAATTCAGGAAGGAATCGACTCATGGCATACAACACTGTCAACAACTTCATTTGACTCAGCAAGATATTCCTTTGAACATAATGCGGAAATGTAATGTCATTGCCAGAAAATAGCCAGTATTGATTTTCCGACGAAACAGTTTGGGCGTAAAATACAAAGTAGCTTTGAAAATTATAGCAATGGATCACTGAAAATCAGTTGGTGCATTATCATCATACATTGCACCTTGACTTTGTTTGTTTGTTTGTTGTTTAACATGACACACAGCAATATGCCTGCTATATTACAGAGGTCTGTAAATAGTCAGGACAAGACAATCCAGTGATTGACATCATGAGCATCAATCCATGCATATGGGATACGATGGCATGCATCAACCACATCAACGAGCCTGACCATCCGATCCCGTATTCGCCTCTTTCGGCAAGCATGGGTTGCTTAATACCCATCTTCCACCCAGATTGGTTATTTCCAACCAGCTACACAACTTCCCCTATTCATGAAAGAATCTAGGGAGGATTTTAGGACCACTGGACTATTTTCATAAATATTGATAACAGTTGAAGACGTTTGACAAAATAAGGCTTCAAAACATTTTATTAAACAACGGTTATTACAGGTAAAAATGCAACTTTGGCTCTTAAGAGCTATTATTCCGGTGGATTTCGAAGAGTGTGCTACGAAGAGACACAGGAATTAAATGTAGAACAGAATTCTCCGCTTCTCCCAAGAATTAAAAAAATGTTTTACCTCCAGATCAGAGTTAAAAGATTCGCCTTTATCAGTATCCTGTATGATATCACTGTGTTGATGCTTACAATCAACTTGAACATCTTCAGGGCCCCAAGCGCTAGATCACATGGACTTTTACGCCACGACATTTCTGGAGGACAAAGTCTGTGAAGGTTTCATCGGCTTCATCTTCGGCTTCCAGTCGGCTCGCAAGTTCTACCTCATCACCTGGAGACAAACGTTCAAGAACTTTGACTACCATGGGGGAATGAAAGGACTGCAGATAAGGGTAGGAAAATTATCTTTTGCTGTTAAAATGGATACTTCCTGTGAAGATCCGGGGTAGAATAGATCTTCAGCAACCCATGCTTGCTGTAAAAGGCGACTATGCTTGTCATAAGAGGCGACTAACGGGATCGGGTGGTATGGCTTGCTGACTTGGTTGATGCACGTCATTGTATCCCAATTGTGTGGATTGATGCTCATGATCGATGTCTGACTCGATTATTTACAGGCCGCCATCATATAGCTTGAATACTGCTGACTGCGGCGTTAAACAACAAACAAACAAACAAACAAACAAAACAAACTTCCTGTAAAGGGGTGATTATTGATGGAATTTCAACTACTGCAACAGCATTGTGACAGTTAAAACCACTGTTGCAGTTTGTCTGATTACAATATAGGTACAACTATTGAAATAACATTGTGGAAGTACCTGTCCCATCCTACAGCTCCAAGGTCCTTGTACTATTCGACAACATGATGCAGACGCCCATCAGGTCCTGTTTCGGCAGCCAGCTTAGGAACTTGTTTGGGAGTAAAAGTGAGTGAGTGAGTATGGTTTCACGCCACTTTTAGCAATATTCCAGCAATATCATGATGGGGGACACCAGAAACTGGGCTTTACACATTGTACCCATGTCGGGAATCGAACCTGGGTCTTCGGTGTGACGAGCGAACGCTTTAACCACTAGGCTACCCGACCGCCCCTTGGAGTAAAAGAGGTATCTGTATGTTACTGTAGGGTGACATTGTGTTCTGACATTGGAGGTATATATTGGATTAAACAAATGATTAAGAGTGTTTTGGTCTGAATCATTTACTAACGCCTTTCGAAATTATTGACATATACATACAGTTGTCAGACTGTGTGGCTCTAGTTGGTCGGTTGGTTGGTTTGTTGTTTAACGCCGCACTCAGCAATATTCCAGCTATATGATGGTGGTCTGTAAATAATCAAGTCTTGACCAGACAATCCAGTGATTCATATCATGAGCATCGATCCATGCAATTGGAATCGATGACATGCATCAACCAAGTCAGCGAGCCTGACCGCCTGATCCCGTTTGTCGCCTTCTACGACAAGCATAGTTGCCTTTAACTGCAAGCATGGGTTGCTGAAGAGCTATTCTACCCTGGATCTTCAAGGATCGTATGGTATCTAGAGTAGTGTTTGTTGAAACATGTGGTGGGTACCACCAACCCTGGAGGCATGGATTACAACCATACTATCAACCACTGGTTTACCTGGTTGATACTAGTTTACTACAGACCTTCATGATATACATGTTTGTGTAATAGTGTATACTTGGGTGCAAAGCAATATTATAGCATATAGTTCTCTTCAACACAGTACGTAGGGTGGTGGGGTAGCCTAGTGGTTAAAGCATTTGCTTGTCCGCTAAAGATCCAGGTTCGATTCTCCACATGGGTACAATGAGTGAAGCCCTTTTCTGATGTCCCCTGCAGTTATATTGCTGGAATATTGCTTAAAGCGGCGTAAAAGCCAACTCACTTACTCACTTAACTCACTGTAACTTTGGGATAAGTCCCTCTTCACTATGAATGTCTATTGACATTGTACATCATCCTTGGTTATCTTGGGTATTATATCTCCATTCGGTTTGGATATAAACCCGAGACCCATTCACAGAACGAAAGTACAGGTTAAATTGATGCCAGCTCAGGAAAATATTAGTTATTGACCGAGATGTATCAAACCACCATTAAGTAACGTGTTTAGTCTACCTAAATGATTAATAAATATTAATGAAACATTAGCTAAAGATGTGTTAGTAACACATAGCTACACTTAGCTACATCACATCATGAGGTCGCAGGTACTGGGTGATCTGACTCGGTGGTTGATTGCGTGTCATCGTACCCCGATGGTGTAGATCGTTGCTCATAATATCAAGCACAGGTCTGTCTGGTCCAACCTCTATTATTTACAAACCATGTTGTATAGCTTGAATAGTGCAGAGTGCGGCTTTAAAGAAAGAAAGAAACAAACAAACAAACAATCAAACAATCAAAATATCTTTTAAGAGACTGTAGTAAACACATGGAGGAAGTGCTGTGAGGTAACGACTTTCACGAAGGGTGTGAACTTCTGCCATCCAATAGGTAGTTGTTTGGTTTATCTTGTAGTTGGTGGATGCTGGCTTTGATGTCGGAGAAGCACTGGCTAACGCTCTTTACCACGGCGATGACGTCACCGATGCTACACGCATCATCTGGCACGACCCTGCACTCCGTGGCTGGGAATGCAACATGGCCTACAGATGGCACATAGTACACAGGCCGTCTATAGGACTAATCAGGTAATATCTCACATTTTCATATAATGGTGTAACGATATGTTAAGCGAGTGGATTGAATTAAATTCCATTTTGAAGAATATTTCTGTTATATAACAGCGTCAGTCTAAGTTTGGATGTAGTATTGATGCAGGTTCTAGACATGTTGTTTGTTTGTTTGTTTGTTTGTTGTTTAAAGCCATACTCAGCAATATTCCAGCTATAGGACGGCGGTCTGTAAATAATCAAGTCTGGACCGGACTATCCAGTGATTGATATCATGAGCATCAATCCATGCAATTGGCATATGATGACATGCATCAACCAAGTCAGCAAGCCTGACCACCAAGATCCCGTTAGTTGCCTCTTATGACAAGCATGGGTTGCTGAAGACCTATTCTAACCCGGATCTTCACGGGTCCATGGGAATGTTGATGAGAATGTTGTTGACAAACCATTATCGTGTTATAATAATGTGTTCCAGAAAGTACTGTGAACAATTGTGCCTGAGATTGCCCCACCAAAAAACCTGTGTTTTGAAGCAGTGAATATAAAAATTGTGTCTTGAAGCAGTGAATGAACAAAGTATACCTTGAAGCATTGAATCGAAATATTTATGTTTTGAAGCAGTTTATGACTAAATTGTATTTCTTGAAGCCATGAAAACATTCCATGGGAGGGTGCCTTCAGTTTATTTCGATTTGGTTAATTTGCTCTTTCACAAGTTCCGACCTCCATGTTGCAGTGTTGAAATCAAGCAGGAGGATAACGTTGTAGTCGACTCCGGCCCCGTCTACGACTCCACCATCCTCGGCGGCAGACTGGGTGTGTTTGTGTTTGATCAGAAAGCCCCGATCTGGTCTAGACTGGAATATCAGTGTAAGAACAGGTAGGTTTGTCAAACACATTTTTACAGCCATTTGTTTAAACATGCATCAATCAACCGTTATTTCCATATAAAGAGAAGGCCATAGACCTATAGTGTATGTATACAAAGTAGCTGAGGGTACATTTGTACAACAGAATATACATCAATAACCAGATAATTTTGAAAATAAATCAGGTCTTTGAGTAAGAGCATGCTTTCTAAGATTCTATGCATGGAAAATTAACACTGACAATTTTATAACTGTGTCTGTACTTTTAGTCTTCAATCATAAGTAAAATTTATACAAGTCGGATCCTTGAAAAATAATCATTACTGAATTGGTTTCTTATGTCACATAAAATGTGATAAAGGTGATATTTGTATTCCATATATTAAAAGTAGATAGTTGACAGATTCTGTCTTATCTTTGGATTCCACAGTTCCACCTGATTCTATTTAAATTTGTTTTAATACTTGAATAGTGATTTAATTTATTGGACAAAGGTAGAGATGATAACCACCTTTGGAAGTTCATGTCTTTAAAGTCTGTGTAAAATCAATGATCCTCTACCAATTTTTGGTTTTGTTTATAACTACGGTACCCCCCAAATGTTTCTTTATTAAAAACCGTAAGACATCACTCCCCCAAAATAAAATTAAAAAAAAGATAAAAGAATTTTTTTTAAAATATAAAATAAAAATAAAATAAAAAATATAAGTAAATCTAGCCATATATATAATATATTTAATGTGTATATAATGCGCTGGATAATCGAGGATGAAATTTTCAATGATTTATGACTAGTAACAAATCGATACATATTAGTTGTTTAAAACAACCCATGTTTATTTTGATGTTCTATTTTGTAATGAGGATATATCTCACTGCTCACATGTTGTGGTCACATTGATGTCATTCCATGTCTTCAGAATGAACTATGCACTGTCCCTGGATGGGGTGGATGACTATGTTCAAGTGGGTCGCCTCGAGGACCTCGGCATGGAGAAGAGGTGGGTGAACCGTACTACTTGAAAACAAGTATGAAATAACCTCATCCCTGACAATCATCTTCCCGAGGCAAGGGAGTTAACTGACTATAAAAGTCCAGTTTCCACCCTTGCCGAACTAGGCTGCCTTTTTGGAGTGATATTTTGGCTGGACTAACAAGTCTATGCATAGTCAAATCAAAATCACGTAACAAAATCGACATCCGGTTCGGTCGATCGCTGGCTTTGCAAAGCATGTGTACTGCCAACTCGGCCTTAACAGATATTTTCTAAATCTTGTCATGTTTTGAATCAAGGTGTCCACATGACTTGATGCACTTCACGAAGTGAGACCCCCTTTATCACAATATATATTTTGATCATTGATCAGATTGTCTTTGACTGGGTGCCGCCATTTTGTTTGAAGCAAATGCAAGTGATATGAGAGGTGGAATCTGATTGGTCACTAGGAAAGACATGGAAGGGACATGGGTGGAAGGACAGACGGACGAACAACAAACAGACCAGACAATCCAGTGACTGATACTAAGATGAACGCCGGGTTGTGCTGACAGTCGCAATCAACCATGTTATCGGGCAAGATGACTTGTTTCATTAAGCCGCCTGATTCAAACAAACTAATGCTTTGTTTCCTAGTTTCACCATGGAAGCACTGGTCAAGCTACCCACTGGCTACGATGCTACCAAACACCCGATCCTGTGCACCAACAACAGCGTGCTGTGCCTGTATGTGGAGGGCAACGTCCTGCGGGGTCAGGTGATAGACACAGTCATCACAGGAGCCACGACCATCCCCGCCAATACGTGGACCCATGTCGCTCTCAAGTACAATGCTCAGTGTAGGTTGCAAATGTTGATCCCATAGTGTTCGTTTTGTTTGTTTGTTGTTTAACGTTACAATCAGCAATATTCCAGCTACATGATGGCGGTCTGTAAATAATCGTTTTTAACAGTATTCCAGAGAAGAAAGCCCGAAGTGATGCAGGTCTCAGACGTTTACCACTTTGGTGAAACCCACGAGCACACGGGTATGGTGCTGACAAACCTAGAAACATAATCAGAGCAAACCAGGATTCAAACCCACAATCATAGGTTTCTGGTGTGCCCAAGGGACGCAACTCTGCACAGCGAATCACGAAGCCTTAGACAACTGGGCCTCCTGTGCCCCTGTAAATAATTTGAGACTGGACCAGACAGTCCAGTGATTGACATTATGAGCATCGATCTACGCAATTGGGATACAATGACATGCATCGACCAAGTCAGTGAGCTACTTTTACGGCAAGCATAGGTTGCTGAAGACCTATTCTACCCAAGATCTTCACGGGTCTGATCCCATAGTGATATGTTTGGTTTAATGCCACTTTGAACAGTTGTCAAGTTATATCACGACATGTCACCTTTATGTGGGAGGAAAGCCAGAAGTGATGCAGATCCTAGACGTTTACCACCTTGGTGAAACCCACGAGCACGGATGTGGTGCTGACGAACCTAGAAACCAGGCAGAAACTGAATCATAGGTTAAGGGAAGCAACTCTGCACGGAAAATGATGCAAAACATATATCAATGAACAGACATTGATTTGGACAAGATGCTTAATACTGCCAAAAAGTCTCCTTTCTAAAACAATTACACATGCAATTCTTGTTGACAACGTCAGTTGGACGTTATTCTGGTGATGATGATGCTAGAGAACCAACCATACTTCGTCTGTCGATTTCAGTGAGAGAGCTGGATCTGATTGTGAATGGACCCAAAACGACCACCGACGCCCACCTCACATCGGTAGAACCAGGCCTTGTGTGGGTGAGTATCATGAATATCATTCCAGAATAAATGTATTTTAACAAAATCCTTGGCCACCATCGATGAATTAAGCAGTTCATAAAGCATTAAGTGATAAAAGATTTTTTTTATCTCCAAACATAAAATCAATATCTCACTGGAATAAATATCACATAATGATGGAGCTACTTTCAGTCTACCTCAACAATGCCCCTTATAGTGAGTGAGTTTGGTTTATGTCTGTTTGTTGTTTAACGCCACACTCAGCAATATTCCAGCTATATGACGGCGGTCTGTAAATAATCGAGTCTGGACCAGACAATCCAGTGTTTGATATCATGAGCATCGACCCACACAATAGGGATACGATGTCATGCATCAACCAAGTCAGCGAGCCTGACCACCTGATCCCATTAGTCGCCTCTTACGACAAGCATAGTCACCTTTTATGGCAAGCATGGATGCTGAAGACCTATTCTAACCTGGATCTTCATGGTTCGAATTTTGGTGTAACAGGGTTTGAACAGTATTTCAGTTATATCCCAGTGTGTCAGTTTAAAGTGGGAGAAAATTGATGCAAGTCTCATGACGTTTACAATTTTGGTGAAACCCACAATTATGGGTAACGTGTCGACAAACCTAGAAACATAATCATGATTCGAACGCACAAACTTAGGTTTCTGGCGTGCTCAAGGGACGCAACTCTGGACAGTGAATCCCTGCTCTGTGCAATTGTCAAACTTTTCAGGTCGTGAGATGAGATAAACATGTTATTGGACAAGAAAAGACTTCTATTCTGTTTATTATGTTTTGTCTTTTAACTAGTGGCTGTGCTGCACATGAAACTACAAAACCTTTTTCAGCTGACTCGATGAGAAAAAACTTGTTATTTGACAAGAAATGACAAATATCCTCTATGTTTTCTTTGTCGTTGGAATGATTGCTAAAGAAACTATTGAATAACCATGGTGACCAACCATGTGATAAGGGACCTTCAATGATGGGAGAAATATCACATTTTGACTTCTCATTATAATTAAAACTACAGTATCATAGGAACACAATAATACAATTCACAAGCTTCAATTTATTTTTATGACAGAGATAAATGGCATCAAACATTTTGACTCATTTTCTGCAAAATCCCATTTTCAGACTTATAACTGTTTATGTAATAATTGCAGTTTTTAGAAAGAATGTCTGAATAATTGCACGTAGATATGTATGCTGTGGGGCTGGGACGAGTCCAAATTTTACTACCCGGGTACCCACCCCCCTATTACCCGACCCTTCCCGGGTACCCGCTGTAGGTCTCAAGAAATGTCTGATTGGGAATTTCTTACCATAGCCCTGGCAAAACGTATTTAGATACATGTATTAATGAATCTGGCCATGCATACACTAAAGTTTACTTAAGTTACTAGTATAGCATTATTCAACCATATGAAAAGTCAGAAGGAATTGGTGCATAGTCAGAAAGAAATGCGAACTTTAGTGACTTGTAGTGTAACCATAGAGTTCTAGATAATGTTTGTCATTTAACAACATATCACGTGAATAACCACGGGTCCGGGTAGTCCTGTGGGTACCCGGGTCCTACTCAGTACCCACCCGACCCGGGTACCCGAGTTACCCGTCCAAGCCTTAGTATGCTGAAATGTTTTGAAAGTATGTTTGTATTACATTACAAACTACCAAGTGGAAAATAAGATACTTTTGTAAAGACCTCTTTATGACGTCACAGCATATTTGTTTCCTGGCGCCCATAAGGTCCCTTTTCTCCTGGTGGGTCACATATATAGAGGTTATCACGCGAGTGTGTTTGGGGATGGTAAATATCCTGCATTAGGAATAAACATTGTATTTAGCGAGCCTTGGCGACCTAAATACATAGTGTTTATTCCTAATACAGGATATTTACCATCCCCAAACACACAAGCGTGATAACCTCTTTATCATATAATGTCATTCTTTAATTCTGTGCTTCAAAATCGCTTTCCCTCTCTCACAAACATTACCGAAACATTGCGAGTTTTCCTGGAATGCGCGCATTAATATTTATTACCTCACAGGATTAGTGATGTGTCAGTCGGACAGTGACAGTAGTTAATATAGTTCCATATATATATATCATTTTTATCCGTTGGCTTTATCCTGCCGAGAAACCTACCCATTATATGATAAATAATATGTATCGTGGCTGTGTATATGCCTGAAACACTTGTCAATATCTCTCTCCCACCCAGGATGGGAATACAACCCTGTACGTTGGCTATGACGGCTCTACCTTTCTGCAGGGAGAGGTGGACGAGGTAGGTGATATACTACACAAATTTAGATAAGGGTCAGAGCGTAATAAAGTGAATAACACAATGGTAAAAAAAGGGTTTACAGATGTTTTGGGGAGACCGAACATCTGGAGCTCAGGGCTATTTTTTTTAAATAATTGCTTCCAGAAAACACTGGAATAAAATAAGGTTGTTTCAAGTTTTACCCAAAAATGTGACTTGACATTCTGGTTGTCCTTAATAAATGTGATGTGACAATAGAATAGTAGAGCTCCTTTCAGACACTGCCTCTGTGGCCTAGTGGTAGAGCTTCTGCCTGGGGAGAGGAAGGTCAAGGGTTCGATCCCCGGCCCCGTCATGTTAAAAGATTGTACTTGTTGTCACCCAGTCTGGCGCTTGGCATTAAGGGGCTAAAACAAGTACTGGTCGGCTCAAAGTCAGTATACTGTGTCTCAGTTGGGTATTCATGTTAAACTGTGGCATGGTATCTGAGTGGGCTAGCACTATAAATCGGCATCAGTCCGGACTAGTACAAGCAGCCACACTCACAAATACACATACACACGTGCATGCACGTCGCTATATAAGTGCAATAATCTTAAAGCGACGTTAAACCCCATTTCACCTCACCTCACTTCTTTCAGATTAAAAACAAATGTATGTCTCAAAGTAGTGATGGGAAAAATAGTTGTTCTGTCTGTAACTAAAACCTCCAACTTAATTATGGTTAGTATCATGCTGTAATGTTTCTTTGAGTGGCAAATACTTCCCAACCCATACTGATCTACTTTTTAGTACTGAAATTAGTTTGCAATCTAAGTAGGAAGTACAAACTAATGTCAAGGCATGTTTATTCCTTGGTTTACAGGACTGTGTGTGAAAACACTACTGGTCAGTAGCTGAGGACAAAAATGTAATAAGAGACATTTTTTGTGTTATCCAAGTATTTTGCCATGCATGCAGTGTCAGTAAGCTTTGTCTCATCTTAAAGCTAATGGAACCTACTGTCTTGCACAGTTCCTTGGGGTATGGTGCTTATCAAATTAGTATTTTTTGGTTTTTTAATTATTTTAGAATTGGATGTGTCAATTAATAAAAAAGTCTCACCTGAGGCTGGTCATTTGGGTGAGATATTGTCGATGTTGGGGGAATGTCCGAGTACTTCTCCATTCTTTAAAAATAATGGAGCCGAGGCCCATTGTTGTCAGTTAAATCGTAACTAATAAACGATGAATTGATTTAAAAATTGGTGTTCTACCATGATTTCTTCCACAGATACGGATATACAACATCCAGATGGTGGAACTTACTGCCAGCACCGAGGCCAGACATGTACACGAGGAGCCGTTCCGCTACCTGCTCGGTGCTCACTACAACATGGAGGAGGCAACCAACACATGTACATACACTACAAGATGGATAGCTGACATGAAACTTATCATAGAGAACAACTTATCCCCTGCCATAAAGTGGAAGGGGGATACAGGAATGGGTGTTGTCCGCCCTTCCGTCTGTCACGTTTGTTTCTGGAGCAGAACAAGAAAAACATGAGTGATATCTTAACCAAACTTGGCACATACATAGGTCTTGTGGTAAACTGGTGCCTTTTGATATTTTGGGATTTTTGAAAAACCAAAAATATCATTATTATTTTTCAAGTTTTCATAGAAACGAAAATGGCAGTAGTGCTGCTGTCTGGAGCAGATCTTAAAAAACGTACAATATTTCTCCTAGATAGGTCTAGTGGTAAACTGGTGCGGTTGATAGTTTAGGATTTTTGAAAAATTTATTTTTCGAATTTCCATAGCATCGACTTTGACTCCGACTGACAATGGCGGGAATGCTCATTTCCGGAGGGCTAATGCCTTGCACACAACCGGACATGTCATATTGGCAGGGGATATGAGTATTTCATTCTTGTTTTATGTTTGTAATGTCATGAAGTTGCCATGCAATATATAATTTTTATATATATATATATATATATATATATAAATGTCCTGTTCTTCCAACTTCTAAGAGCTCATGAAAGACAGGATAACTATTCATTTTAATCAATAACGCTTGAGGGTCCAGAGGGGGACCTAACAAATAATCTAGCAGTCATAGAAAGAAAATTTAGTGTTTTGAATAATGTACTTTAGAAATCACAATATCATTCACATGATCACAGTTACTTTGTTTGAATTGTGTATGTAGCTCACCATGGAATAATGTATATTTACATCGTGTTTACAGCAACTATTCTCAAGGACAAGGGGTACCGAGGCCAAGATGCTGTCTTGATAGGACAACCTGGCATTGTTGCTGTAAGTGATGCCGGATTAAATATCCTACCGCGTTTTTAGCTCACCTGGCCAACTTTTGTTAAGTTGCTGTCTTTGTTGACATGTTAAACTTTTGACTACATATCCAGGTGAGCTACAGTGCCATGACACTATTTTCCCGTAAACGAAATACACAATACATTATTTACTCATTAAGAGTTGCTTACTAATTTCAAAGCAAATATTTTGTGAAATATAGAGAAATTTGTAAACAGTGACTATAATAGATTCAGATAGGTCACATTCACACTTTCAGAAATTACAGATCATCAAATTCTGCCATATATGGTCACATAGAAATAACTGGCAGAAAAACACAAATTAAACAGGAAATTCTTTATTATTTCAGAGTACGTCCGACCAGAAAGTGTTTGATCTGACCTACAACTGAACACCGGGGAGACTTCACGACCTCCCTCTCCTCATCACCTTCCCATCAGCAGCCAGTGATTACTCAATAGGAAATGTCATATCTTGCTGAATAATCAATGAAAGGATCCCTAAGGGCATGTCCACAGATCTTTGTTTAGTTGTAGCGAGAACTAAGATCTGATTTTAATGAGATTGCGAGAAACTTTTCAGATACACAAGAACTGATTAATTAGACAAATATGTTTGACCCGAAGTTTGCAAGACTAAAAAATACTATCAGAAAAATGCTTCATTGATTATTTCCAGACATTAGTGGAAACTGATGCAGGTAGCCACTTTCATGTTTAATGTATCTGAAATAAGTCTGGTGTCTGTGACATCCTGGATTATCCAGCATACATGTATCTCTTTTTTTGAGTGAGCGAGTGAGTTTGATTTAACGCTGCTTTTAGCAATATTCCAGCAATATCACGGCGGGGGACACCAGAAATGGGCTTCACACAATGTACCCATGTCGGGAATCGAACCCGGGTCTTCGGCGTAGCCTTGTGGTTAAAGCATTCACGTGTAATGCCGAAGGCCCGGTTTTGCACATGTATTCTACAGGGCTATAGCAGAGTGTCAATGATATGTGGTTGAGAGTATTAAGCATTTTATTCCTATTACTTGGTTTACCAATCCGTAGAAAAAATAATATGGTCTTAAGGTCTTTTTATTATTTCAGATCCTGATAATCACACTTCTCAATAAAACATCACACATTATTTTTGGCCTGACTCAGTGATCCGGTTAGCTCAAATACTATTCACAGCTTCACCAAACATTGTGTGACTTGTGCCCTTGTGAATGCTTAATTAATTCTTTACCATTCCTATATACATTTTGCTAAAATACCAAAGGGATAGGAGAGAATTTGAAATTTCATTTATTTGTTTATAAATAACAAACCCTGTACTACCAAACCTACTTTCTTACAAAAGCAAAAGATATTTGAAGAGTGTCATTTTTTGTTTGTTTTAACTTCCAATATTCAGAAATAAATATGTTAACCAACTAACAAAAAACAAGGAAGGCTTCACATTCCTCATGTCATTCCCAGATATTGGGATTGCAAACGTATACTAGCAACCCCAAGGCTTGACTTCTGGTTAAATACTTTTTTAATTGCGTACATTAAAGATTTGGTTATTTGCATATCAAGTTTGTTTCAATCACAGATCTGAAACTTTGTTCATAAAACTGTTAATTTGTTCTAGTTGTTTGGCAATTCTCAAAACACCATGTACTTTGTTTTTGAAAACTAGTCAATAAGGCTGACATATTATGAGTATGATAATATAATTTAATTTGTATAAAGTAGTATAACATTGTGAGAGGCACACACGGTTAAACATAAGAGTGATCACAGCAGTGTTGGACAATCCCTTGAGTATGAACACACCCACATGCTGGCCATGTGAAGAGATAAACTTGAACGTTCATTTTTCTCACCTTTCATGACAAAATTGAGTAAACATATTTTCAATTGTACATACAATTTTAATTAAAACATTCAAAATGCGTGTTATTGTATTACATGTTAAAAGGATTAATGTGTTTATATTCAAAATCACGTTGGGAAATGAAGTGCTCTTAAAATTCTTCACCTAACGCAGGGCCTGGACAATTGGGCGAGCGTAGATGATTTTAGGTGCGCTTCTATCAACAGTTTCGCCACCTACTCAGTCATACTATATTATTGAAGGTTTTGTTTCTTCATACAGTGAAAAGTCGTGGACTCACTGGTTTTGGAAGCATAAAAATATATCAGTTCATTAGTGTCTTAGGACAAGCAAGGTGCTGATGACTAAATCAAAATTCATAACTGTAATTTTCAAACGTCATGCAGATTTCTCAACAAACCTTGCCAATTTGATAGGCAGGACTCAGAAGTTGACGGATGACAAAGTAGACTCAATTCATGGATAACTTCTTACTTTTACCGTAATGGGGACATTTCAGTATAGATCCTTATACCATTGTCAAAGTTTCTAAAAGGTCTCTTTGTGAAAACTCTTGACTCGCATTCTCTTGGGAAGTTACAGGCATGGAAATTAGGGGCTCACAGTTACCACTTTGCCCAAAACAAATATTTATATGGACAATAAAGATAAGATAATGTTCATGCTGCCAAGGCAAAATTGAATGAGTTTTGAAGATTTAAATGGCCATATCTTTCTCTCCTAGTTCAAATTATTTGCTTTAATTCACAGATTTGGTATGCATATATGTTGCAATATTTTGCACCTGGTCAATCCCCAAACAGTATTCCTAATATCCTGCTGATTGTGTTTGGTCACACACAGCTATTCATTAATACCCCTACCTTCTTTATGGTGAGGTGTAATCAAGGATTCTGTCATTATGTAAGTTTCTTTAACCTTTTGCATGGTGAACTGCATATGAAAGTTTCTTCCAAATGCAATGCCGCTGCTTACCGGTAGTTGACAATGCATATAACATGTCTACTACACATTCAACCACTCTGAAACTCCTCTTTTCAATGTTTGATAGTCAATTAAAACAGCATTACATTTATGACATGAAATGACGACAGTTGTTAAAAACAACTATGATGAATATTATATTATTTTACCTCTTGTTTAATAATCATGTTGATACAATGCATCCTGTAAATAAGTTTTTTGTATTAAATATTTCTATGTCTATGTTATGTGTTATGTTATGAGCAAGGGAGGGAGGGAGGGATGGAGTGAGTGAGGGAGGGATGGTTAGATGGAGGGAGTGAGAGAGGCATGGAGGGGGGATGGAGAAAGCAAGGGGTGGAGGGAGGTGTGAAGGAGGGATGGAGGTGCAAGGGAGGGATGGAGGTGCGAGAGGGGGATGGAGGTGCGAGAGGGGGATGGAGGTGCGAGAGGGGGATGGAGGTGTGAGAGGGGGATGTAGGTGCGAGAGAGGGATGTAGGTGCGATGGAGGGAGGAGGGATGGAGGTGCGAGGGAGGAGGGATGGAGGTAGCAAGGGAGGGATGGAGGAAGCAAGGGGTGGAGGGAGGTGTGAGGGAGGAATGGAGGTGCGAGGGAGGGATGGAGGTGCGAGGGAGGGATGGAGGTGCGAGGGAGGGATGGAGGTGCGATGGAGGGAGGAGGGATGGAGGTGCGAGGGAGGAGGGATGGAGGAAGCAAGGGGTGGAAGGAGGTGTGAGGGAGGAATGGAGGTGCAAGGGAGGGATGGAGGAAGCAAGGGGTGGAGGGAGGTGCGAGGGAGGAATGGAGGTGCGAGGGAGGGATGGAGGTGCGAGGGAGGGATGGAGGTGCGAGAGAGGGATGTAGGTGCGATGGAGGGAGGAGGGATGGAGGTGCGAGGGAGGAGGGATGGAGGAAGCAAGGGGTGGAAGGAGGTGTGAGGGAGGAATGGAGGTGCAAGGGAGGGATGGAGGAAGCAAGGGGTGGAGGGAGGTGCGAGGGAGGAATGGAGGTGCGAGGGAGGGATGGAGGTGCGAGGGAGGGATGGAGGTGCGAGGGAGGAATGGAGGTGCGAGGGAGGGATGGAGGTGCGAGGGAGGGATGGAGGTGCGAGGGAGGGATGGAGGTGCGAGGGAGGAGGGATGGAGGTGCGAGGGAGGGATGAAGGAAGCAAGGGAGGGAGCAAGCGATCAATCATTCATTGCCTGTCAGCTTGATGTGGAGGAAAACCCCAAGTGATGCAGGTCTTGGACGTTACTGGTGCAGACAAACCTGAAAACCTAATCCTGGCGAACCCGGATCGAAACCCATGATGATAGGTTTCTAGCATGCCCATGGGATGCAATTCTGCACAGCAAATAGTGCCGCCTTAGACAACTGCCCCTAACACTGTCTTAGATACTAATATTCTTTGATTACGCTGTAAAAGCTGACTACTTGTGGATAAGCCAAGAAGTATAGATCAACAAACACAGATTACAAAACAAGTTTATTTCATCCAACAATATCTGTACAACCAACTCAATAGATATCATAGGAGCATGAGCTGAAGCTCTGATTAATACAATCAAACTCATGTAAACAATAGGCAATGTGGATATTCTGGGTAAGAATTGGTGCCCCCGCACCTGTGCTGGTCATAAGACACCATCCATACCAAATGGATCAGGTATTTCTGTGAAAACTACAATGGCCATAGAGTCTCCGGTTTACATTGCAATTGCTACATAAACCCAATCGGCTACCTCCAATAATTACGGTATGTTTTTTGCACAATGTTCTTTGCGACACTTGTTTCATGTAAAAAAATTCATAGCGTGTTTGAAAGTAAAAAAACAACCTCATACAATTTTATTTTTTTAGTCAGAGCTTCAGAATCCTGTGGCAGGAGAATGACCTGTCCATAGCCAGGAACAGGGAAGTTTAACAAACACTACACATAAATTGCAGTCTTTTGATGCTTGAAACATTGTCTGATATACCAGACACCCTACATCCACAACATATTGTGTAAACAAAGTGAATCTGTAAGATGGAGTCAAACCTAAACAGGAAGTAATAATGCCATAATAATCTTTTTATTTAATGTTATTTCTCAAGAAGGTAAAAGAGGATTGGTGCCCCAAGAACTTCAAATGTCCACACGTTAGGCGTTGACGTTGTCTTCAACAACATTTCACTTGTACACAACCTGTTTGCTAAATATACTACTCAAAAGAAGTCAAGGACCACCAGATTATTTCATATTACTATAGTTAATTTGTGATTAACCCGATTCTGTGATTAAGTACAGTAATATGAACGAATAGGTGGTCCTTAACTTCTTTTGAGTAGCATATGACAGGAAAGTACATGGAACAGGTCATAGAAATTTACCACTTTCATGAAAGCCGCAAGAATATGTATGGTCCTGATACACCAGGGATCAAACGAGATCCACATGTGTGATCCTGGCCACAAAGGGAGGACACTCTGTACAGTTAGTGGTGGAACCTCGTTTCCTGCTGAGAAATTGTTTACTTTTATCAACTCCCTGATATTGACATCCTCCCTCTGTTCAACCATCTCTTATAGACAGCCAGGTCACACATGTGAAGATGATTCTCGGGAAATAACTTGCACTTGTCCTCACGCTATCTTGAAAGTTCATTCAGTCAATTTGAACAGAAGTACAGATTACTGTATGCTGCAGTATCTCACACAAAGATTGAACTGGTCCAAGTGGCATAAAAAACACCATCACAATTATTCAGTGAACCCGAGAACATTTGGAAGAAAATAAACCAGAGTGACAATTCATCGCTGTCTCTTTCCTCCGATCCCGACACACCCAACCAACCTTGACACACCCGACCCTCCCACCACACCCCCTCCCCCCATCAATCACGTATCCATCTCCTCTTCCTGCTTCAGCTTGTTCTGCAGATGTTCGGAGATGGTGGCTGTTGGGTTTTCAATGAAGGCAGGGTGCTCCAGAACTTGCTTGAAGATGGCGATGTCGGACAACCTGTGCACAAGATATACATGCTACTTTACATACAATCACATTGGGGGCGTTTGGGTAGCCTTGTGGTTAAAGCATTTGGTTGTCAGGCCGAAGACCTGGGTTCGATCCCCGACATGGGTACAGTTTCTGGTGTTCCCTGACGTAAGATTGCTGGACTATTGCTAAAAGCGGCATAAAACCAAACTCACGACAATCACATTAAAATCAGATGTTACTCCAAACTTACCTCTTTGCATTAAGATCTGAGGATACCTACATAGCAGAACCGTGGAGATCCGGGGTAGAATAGGTCTTCAGCAACCCAAGCTTGCTATAACAGGTGACTATGCTTGCCGTAAAAGGCAACTAATGGGATTGGGTGGTCAGGTTCCCTGAATTGGTTAATGTATGTCATCGTATCCCAATTGCGTGGATCGACGATCATGATGTCAATCACTGGATTGTCTGGTCCAGACTTGATTATTTACAGACCACACCTTCATATAGCTGGAACATTGCTGAGTGTAGCATTAAACAACAAACAAACAAGCCAATCTTTTCTTAGAGGGTTTTCATTTGTACAAATTGAAATTTCCAAATCAAAAAGAAATGAGGTCTAATCATCACACAAGGCTGACATTTCATTGTCTCAAGAACTCACACACCCTTTGCTTTGATTGGGCGGTAGTTTGCTCATGGTTCAACCCATGTAACCTCTGTTGGAGGTGTCAGTTCAGAAAACCCTCTAAGATGATATTTGCGTATTTGCACTCAGCAATATTCCGATAATATATACTACTCAAAAGAAGTTAAGGATCACCCGATTCTTTCATAATGGTAAAGTTAATCTGTCATGACATGAGAGATTAACTATAGTAATATGAAAGAATCAGTATGTATATAAGTAGTATATGGACAGGACAATCCAAATAACAATCATGAGCATCGATGTACGCAGTTGAGATACCATGACATGCATCAACCAAGTCAGCGAGCCTGACAACCCGATCCCGTTAGCCGCCTCTTACGACAAGCATAGTTGCCTGTTACGGCAAGAATGAGTTGCTGAAGACCAATTCTCTACCCGGATCTTCACGGGTCTGTAGGATTTGTAAAGATACACGAGAAGACTGGAGCATCGACACATTTCATCCCTACTCTCCATGCTCACTAGATCCGTAACCATGGGAACTTACATTTGCTTCCTCCTCTTCCTCTCCTTGGCTACTCCTCTCACTTTCTCAGGATTGGATCTGAAAGGGAAACACCGAGATGACTCACCACACCATCACATTCAGTTACTAAACACTCTCAAATGTCGACATTTTTGTGTGCGTTTATTTGTTGCTTAACGCCGCACTCAGCAAATATTCAGGGTATATGACGACGGTCTGTAGATAATCAAGTCTGGACAAGACAACCCAGTGACTGACATCATGAGCATCAATACACCCATTTGGGATATGATGACATGCATTAACCAAGTCAGTGAGCCTGACCACTCAATCCTGTTAGTCGCCTCTTAAGACAAGCATGGGTTGTTGAAGACCTATTCTACACTGGATCTTCATGGGTTCAAATACTGACAGTATTTACACATGTTCTGATGTACTGATGCTGGATATACTGATGCATGATATACTGATGAATGACATACTGATGAATGATATAGTGATACATGACATATGGATACATGACATATTGATACATGACATATGAATACATGACATATGAATACATGATATACGGATGCATGATATACCGATACATGACATACCTATACATGACATACGGATACATGACATATGAATACATGACATATGAATACATGACATACGGATACATGACTTATGAATACATGACATACGGATACATGATATACGGATGCGTGATATACTGATGAATGATATAGCGATACATGACATAGGGATGCATGATATAACGATGCATGATATATTGATGCAGGATATACTGATTCATGATATACTGATGCAGGATATACTGATGCAGGATATACATATGCAGGATATACTGATACATGATATACGGATGCATGATATACTGATGAATGACATACTGATGAATGATATACTGATACATGACATATGGATACATGACATATGAATACATGATATACGGATGCATGATATACCGATACATGACATACCGATACATGACATACCGATACATGACATATGAATACATGACATACGGATGCATGACTTATGAATACATGACATACGGATACATGATATACGGATGCGTGATATACTGATGAATGATATAGCGATACATGACATAGGGATGCATGATATACGGATGCATGATATATTGATGCAGGATATACTGATTCATGATATACTGATGCAGGATATACTGATGCAGGATATACATATGCAGGATATACTGATACATGATATACGGATGCATGATATACTGATGAATGACATACTGATGAATGATATACTGATACATGACATATGGATACATGACATATGAATACATGATATACGGATGCATGATATACCGATACATGACATACCGATACATGACATACCGATACATGACATATGAATACATGACATACGGATGCATGACTTATGAATACATGACATACGGATACATGATATACGGATGCGTGATATACTGATGAATGATATAGCGATACATGACATATGAATACATGACATAGGGATGCATGATATACAGATGCATGATATACTGATGCAGGATATACTGATGCAGGATATACCGATGCATGATATACGGATACATGATATATGGATGCATGATATACGGATACATGATATACGGATGCATGATATACTGATGCATGATATACTGATGCATGATATACTGATGCATGATATACGGATGCATGATATACGGATTCATGATATACTGATGCATGATATACGGATACATGATATACTGATGGATGATATACTGATGCATGATATATGGATGCATGATATACTGACTGCCTCTGCGACTTGCTGCCTTCCTTCATCAGCAGCTCCAGGGTGGGGAGCGCCTCCTCCATCACCGACATGTCTCCCACGATGGGGGTCTTCTCTCGCTTCTTCTTGTCCTTAACTTTCTGTTTGGCTGTCTTCACTGCATCAATCTCTGTGAAATAAACATGTCAAGTAACTTCAAGTGTCCAAACTGTATGGATTTTCTCCAGTGTTGTATTGAAGCAATGCTTGTAACTTGTAGCTTGTCACATGACCATAAAAGAAATGAACTGGTTGCTGGGATTGAACACATTTTATTTCAGTTTTTTAAATACCAGTTATCCTGATGACAGAGCTACAGATTAGCAGAGTATTTGCGTAATATAATAATATAATAATATAATATTTGAAACCCAATTACTCTCAACTAACCTGCGTACAGAAATGCATGCATTAAATGAAAAAAATCAAATTATAAAAACAGCATTTGTAAATACCCAATGAAGGTTTTTCAGCATGCGAACAGAGGATCTAATTTCCGAACACACAATTACGAGCAAGTTTACTTTTCGAGTCAAGCCTATACATTAAGAACAGTTATATACATCTAAAACATTATTTAATTTTTATAAAATCTTAAAATATCCATTAATTTTAGGAAAAGCCCAAAAGAGTGATGAAGAGTTGAGTGAAAAAATATTGGTTACCCTATGAATAATGTAATAACCCAATTAAAATAGAAACCCTAGAGTAAAAATTCAATTGCTTAAAAAGTTATCTGGAGCTCTGGATGACTATTTAAACAAACAGTTTAGACTTGGAAATGAACTGATGACATTTTGGATATCAGCATCATAATAAGGAGACAGGAAAATAGTTTTTTATACATGTTTTACTCAATATACTGTATTGCCAACAGATTATGCTGATTTGGCACGGTAAATAAATCAATGCTAATATTAATCATGTATATTAATATAGAAAGTTAATCACATGCTACATTGGGTGACAATCTTTACTTGTCACCGACAGTTATCACCATTTTTAAATGTTATTTCTGACATATTCCATGTACTGTGTAACTTTGATGCTCGTGAAAATGAGCAAATTTCAGCAAGTTTCAGTAGATTTCTGTTATAACGCTACTATAGGGAATGAAAACAGTGGAAATAGAACTTTCCCGTCGACTAACTGTACCTGTTATCGCCATCATCTTAACAGCATGTGCCATGTGATCATGCGGACCGCATCAGTTATACAAATCACATTTTTTAGTATCTCAGGTATAGTACTCAACTTTTGAGAAATGCTATTATCAATTTGTTGTCTGCAAATTGACATAAACCAATATTCCCCAAATTTGATCTGCACATGCTTAACCTTAACTCTATGTTCTATAGATTTTGTGATAAATACAGGTTATGCATTTTTGGGACAAAAGCTCAAATAGCTTTTAGAATTGTATTTTGGGGAAGAAATGACAGAATTGAATGTGCATCATCGTGTTGTTTGATTTTTATTTTCGCACACATTAGTCATGTGGCACCACCTGCATGTATTTTCTGAATTTGAGCAAGGTGATTATATAGTTTTTTTAAATATTCCCTCACAAGAGTCTGTTTTGTTCAACATTTTCGGATAAATATTTCTCTTCTAATGAAATTGAGAAAAATAAAAATGAGATGCCATCATGTGGGCGCTATAGGTTAAACATGTTAAATACACACTCTGCATGAAAACTTCATGTCTTATTTTCCTTTTGTCCTTTTTCTTGAGATTCAGTCCTTTGAAAGTTTTGCTGGTCACTGTACTCCGTGCATCAAAATCAGGTAGTTTTTGAGCAAGGGCTTTGTTGTCTATCTTTAGAGAGCTGAATATGTTGTCAGACAAAGAAACAGGTTTGGACTCTACCGCAGCTTTTGAGGAACTTTTTGTCTGGAAATGTAGAAAACAGAAAGTAAGAAAACAACGTCCTGCCAATCCTTACTAGCCAAATACAAAAGGTTGGCACTATACATGCTATAGTCGTTGCCTTTGCATAATTTTATCAAAAACACCGAAAAGCACCAGTTCAGAACTTGCGTGAAGTGAATGCGAAGTTTAATCAAGATATGTCAAACGGTTTATACATGATATTGATAATAATTAGGGTATATCGGTGCCTGTGCCTGTGGCTCTGCAATTCACGAACCAGATTTGCTTTTGATTTGTCAGCTATGCTTGTCTTCTCATCTTTCTTGGTTTTAATTGGCGTGTTGTGGAGTTTAGATCGTTGTCTTTTCACTTTCCCCATGATGAACGTTAGCTGTAAGTCAGAAACACCAAAAAACACCAGATACAGCTAACAACACATGCACTCTGTGGGCGCGGCCATTTTGTTTCACAAAAAGAGTTACCCCCCTTTGATATGTCAATCAAGGGAGCTTACTCGTCCAGGCCTAACAATAGACATCTTTGACATATACCTATACATACACTGTGTATTGACTCTTAAAACATTATAAAGGTTTTCCCTTTTTGTCCTACCTGCTTTTTTAAGGAATGTGTTCTTACTTTTGAGAAATAAATTAGTGGTTACTTGCGGCTTTAAAATATAAACTAGATCACGAATCAGAGTGGTTTATCGTCTCAATTCCATTACTAAATTTTATCTTGTTTAAAGATATTTCAGGTTTTGGGCGCAAATAGACCTTTAATAGTCCAAGTTGCCCTGAAACCAAATACCACACCACAATAAGAGAACACGCCAGGCTAATGTCGTTCTTGGGAAATACATTAAAAATGTATCTAGATATATATCCTCTGCCATTTCCAGCTTATTCTTGTGTTAAAAGCCGAATTAATGGCTGTTTCAGCTGTGAAAATGCAACTCTCAAATTCTCAAAAATACTGGCCAGCTGTGAAGCTCACCAGCTTGGCACAGGCTGTCCGCCGTGACGCGCCGAGGAAGCGCTCGAAGTTTCATTAGAAAGGTTTTAAGGAAAAGAGCATCAGATATTTTCAATTTCACATTATCATCAAAGTTTACTGCTTCACCAGTTTTGTACTCCGGAATTATATAATCTTGTATTGTGTCTTCAAATGTACGTTTTACTATTTTAATGTATTCATTGTTTCTTATAAGTGCAGTATTAAACTTCCAGTAGCCTCTTCACCTTTTCTTACTAAGGGAATTTGAGAATGTCAACAAAATTGGTGAGTGGTCTGATTTATAACTAGGGACAATATCAGTATCAAGTGTTTGGTTAAATGTGTCTTGTGATGTTCAGAAAAAATCCAGTCTTACCTGTTGTCTAGGAATTTTCCTCCACCAAGAGCACTTTTTTAGATCAGGGTTTTGTTCCCTCCAAACATCTGTTAGGTTCAAAGTTTCTATTTGATCTAAAATTACTTTTCTTCCCTAAGGGTATTTATATATGTATAATTCTCTAAATCTACTGAAGATAACATATTATCAGTGATTCGTTGTCAAGCTTATCAATTTCACCAAACAAGTTTTTTTAAAAATATATATGGTCATCCTTATTTGGGCCATACAAATTAATAAGAATAAGGGTAAGTCTTATTCCATCCAACGTGATGTCAGTGATACTAAATTTTCCATTTTTATCTATAAAACTCTTATGTATATCAATTTCTAAATTGTTGTTAAAAAGAATTACAACTCCTCTTGCGCTCGAAGTGTATGGTGCTATTAATGTTTTTAACCCCCATTCATTTTTCAATGAATTAACGTCTTGTTTGAAATGTGGATATCTTGAAGGCAAATAATTGAAAATTTTTTCCTCCGTGTGTTCATTATTTCTTTGCGTATATTTTTTTCACCAAGCCCCCAGCAATTTGCTGACACTATCTTTATCGCATTATCCATTGTGTCCAATCAGATGATAGATATTTTGCCTTTGAAATTTAGATTGGAAACTAGAGAAATGGATTTTTGAGTTTGGTGATAAAATAGAACACAACATGGAGAAATGGGTGAGAAACACCCTGCCATCCATCTGAAGAAACGGTTAAGAATTAAATAAGATATAGAGTGTCGTTACATAGACCTGAACTTTAAGTGGATCACTTCAGGAAATAATAATACACAGTACCTGGCATGAGGGTATATACATTTACCAGTAACATGGATATGTAAGCCATAACAATTACATTGTGTTGTCAGTCAAACATGAATATTGCTTCAAATGATTAAGCTTAGGTTTTGTTAGAACATGTTATTTCATGTTGTAAAATTCGTATACATAAGATAGAAACACGTTTAAGCGTTAACAAATAATCAAACGTTGTTTACATGTACGAAAACTGGATACATCAACATTAGCAAGCGCTCAAAGAAGTGATATACCGAGTTTCAAGCCCTACATTCCAATTATTCGCCTCTTACAAGCATGGATTGCTGAAGACCAATTCTACCACTATCTTTGCCTCACATATGTATAATGATAAGCGAGCTATGTTATATGTATTTCATCTCATTTTGTTACTTGCTGATTTTTTTCATTTATAAGTGTAAATTAATTTGAAAACAAATAATTTCATACACATAGGGTGTCATTTATATTGTTTGAAGATGACAGTATCCATTGAAGAACTTGAATTGTATGCCATATTTCTTACTTCAGTTTTGTTTTATATTCTACATGTATGAGGACCATTGTTAAGCAGTACAGTATGAATGAAAGTACTGTGTGGATGAAAGTGGGAATATTATCAGAATAATATTATCTGTTTATTTGGTTATTTTGTATCAAGAAAGATGATTGCACGCCCTGGGTAGCCCAAGACCTTGAAGGCTAGATTAAGAAAGGAATCCAAGTCAAGTCTAGAATGATTTGGCAAGGCTAGATTGCCTCACTAGGCCCGGTAAAGCATTGTTCTGGGTTCCTTTCAGACTTTAATTTAAAATTGTAGATACAGTAAACTACGGTTATAACGAACACGCTTATAACGAACTAACGGATATAACGAACTGCCTTTTTAGTCCCGACTATATGCTGTAGTTATGCTGTATATATGCTTAAAACGAATTACGGTTATAACGAACTGAAATTAGTAGTCGCCTTGAGTTCGTTATAACCGTAGTTTACTGTATATATTCTTAAAAAAGATGACTTTAATCCTGGGGCATGTTAGTCTACACCCTGTTATTACTTTTTCTTTATCAGGGATCCTGACATAAAAATAGATAATTGAATAATAAAAATAAGTCGAGTTTGTTTTCATCTTGCATTCAACAAATAGAGAAAATTGTATTGTATAAGTATTGAGTTCGGTGGCAAGAGGTTTTACAGTGTTCGGTGTGAATTGCTGTGAAAAGTAAGGATATAGCAAAGGCATGTCAATGTTTTGATCAGGTCTACTGTGATTTTTCCGGATACAGGCAAGTCCCATGAACGCCGTAACTGACGACCTGTCCGAAGTCTGGGCTCGAAAATACAGTACACAATCTTAAATGGCACATGAACCTAAATGTTAGATACCTCACGTGCAGATTGTGCGTGAGAAATCTTATCACGCAATGACAACCGACGTGTGTTCGTTAACGTTAACTAGTTTTACCGAAGATAGTGTCACGTGATCGCATGACCTCCTCCCACTGTACACTTAAGCCAACTACAGGTTTAAGGGCACAACATACGTGCAGGTTGATGTGTAGCTTCCCAGATATATGACAGGGAACTTGATTATGAAATAAAGGAGGCATATGTCGTGTTTTCAGCAGACTGCTACCGGTAGGGCAGGACATGCTTACCCTTTTCGCGAACACCTTGTGTCATCACTGATTTTCATTTTCATCACTACTTTGCTTGTTTCGGCAGACATGGAGACTGATTATTCCGCAGTGTTGACGTTACATATTTATGAAACTTTAATTCCTGTAAATGTTCAAGTTGACTGGAAATACGTGTTTCAAGTTGCTAGAATTTATTTACTAGTTACCCCAAAGATCCTAAAAAGACAAATATTGGATATTAACTGACGATCAGCCGATACAGACACATTAAAGGAACACAAATCTAGACCCGTGAAGATCCAGGGTAGAATAGGTCTTCAGCAACCCTTGCTTGTCGTAAAGGGCGACTTTGCTTGTTGTAAGAGGCGGCTAACGGGATCGGGTGGTCAGGCTGGCTGACTTGGTTGATGCATGTCATCATATCCCAATTGCATGGATTGATACTCATGATGTCAATCACTGGATTGTCTGGTCCAAACTCGATTATTTACAGACCGACGTCATAAGGCTGGACCGTTCCTGAGTGCGCGTTAAAAATCAAACGAAATCAAAAACAAACAAACAAACAGAGCATTGCGTTTAATGGAGCCATACATTTATGAACCCAGTACAAACATGTATAACTCTTAGTCCTTGACATTTCGTTGACCTTTGATATGTGTTTGAATGTCAACACGACAACGTATTACTTATTTCCTGGTGATACCTGTCCGATCATTCTGGAGCTGGCTAGAGTCAAAATACACACAATTGCAAAACCTAGCAAACACCAAACGTGAAGTCGACAAGATGTCGTACAGATTAAACTATCTCCAATTAAATGACTAATTATGAGACCATAGAGTACTAGCATGTTGGAATTGCCGGCACATTTCCAAATCTGACCCACAAGTGACCAGAATAATCCCCGATGCACTTACTTATTTAGACTTGTACAACATGTTTGCTCAAGTGAACACACTTGCATTGCCTTTGCATGTGTTTGTGACAGGTGCCACCAGTGGGGCATGGTATGCTTACCTTTTCGCCAGCATCTTGTATAATCCCTAAGTTAATGTGTAGTCGGATTCGTACCTTCAGCAGAGATTTTCTTTTGAGTAAGGAAATGGTTTTGTAGCAACCTTCTTATGTATAGTGTTAATAAAATCAGAAACGTTTTACATAATAAACAACATGACTTTGTATATTTTTGTAACAATGCCTTTTTTTCGGACTTCTGGGTGTGTTTTGTTTTTACTGTGACAAGATCCAATTATGGTAGTAGGACACCCGAGCATAGACACTGGGGTGGGAGCCAACGCAGCCTGCGACACCCCAAGACGTGATTCCCGCTAGCTGACCATTGCACACCATCGGGCCACCACTGTCCCTCTGGAAACGATATAGAACGATAAATACATGGACAACGATCTTCTGATACGATTATTTAAAGGCCGATATCGTGTTGCAGGAGTACTGCTCTGGGGCGTTAGCTGGTGAGTGAGTGAGTGAGAGAGTGAGTGAGTGAGTGAGTGAGTGAGTGAGTGAGTGAGTGAGTGAGTGAGTGAGGTTTTACACCGCTTTTGGCAATGTTCCAGCAATATCACGGCGGGGGACACCAGAAAATGGCTTCACACATTGTACCCATGTGGGGAATCGAATCCGGGTCGTGGGCGTGACGAACGAACGCTTTAACCACTAGGCTACCCCACCGCCCCTAGGGCGTTATGTAACAAACAAAGTATCATTTTGGAGGATATTTCAATATTATCGTGTAAAGAACATATAACGCTAACAGACAAGTTAGAAAACTTTAAAAAACCCGAACCATGCTTACATGCCACGTATCGCACACTAACCCAAAAGAGTAGTTCACGTTATCAAATTTATGTTCGTATTCCTACTAATATCCGTCATCGGTTAATGCGCTATTATGTGACTGGATGTCTGGTCCATCACTTGGTTGTCTGGTTTGTTTACATGCTGGCGTCGCCGTTTGGTGTCAAACAACACATACTTCTCTAAGCAAATTAAGTGGCAGAACATGTTTACCCTTTTCGCGAACACCTGGTGTTATCACGGGTCTTCAGTGATTCATTCATTTAATTTTCCCCACTATTTTACCAATTACGCCCAATGGGATCTGTTTCTTCGGATAATTGACACTGTTTTTTTTTAGCGGACCGCCTCCATGGTCCAGTGGTAGAGCGTCCGACCGGAGCGCGGAAGGTCCGGTGTTCGATATCTGGCCGCGTCATACCAAAAGACGTTAAAAGATGGTATGTGTTGTTACCTTGCCTGGTTCTCGGCATTAAGGGGATAAAACAAGGACTGGTCGGCCCGAAGTCAGTATACTGTGTCTCTGAGTTGGGTGTTCGTGTTAAACTGCGGCATGGTATCTCAGTTGCCTGGCCCTATAAAATCGGCATCAATCTGGACTAGTACAAGCAGCCACATACACCCCCCCCCCCCCCCCCCCCACACACACACACCTCCCCCCCCTCACACACACACACACACACACACACACACACACACACACACACACACACACTAACACGTGCATGCACGTCGCTATCTAAGTGCAATAATCTTGGACGCGAAGTTAAACCCCATTTCATCTCATCTATTTTCTTACCCTGGCGTTGTACATAGTAAAAAGTAAACTTACACTGCAGGAGGCTTTGCCTGACTCGTAGATGCAGATGTGTCCAGAGTTGATGGCGGCACCACTGGCGCCAATCCATCTGCTGGCACAGTCGCTGTTGGTTATTACCGTCATTGTTACTTTCTGGAGGATGTCGGGGGTACTGCCATCTGCAGGAACAAACAGGTTTGTGTGTCCATTGTAGTGTGTAAATTCTGTATAGGAGGAGCTGAGCATTCAAGTAAAATACAACTTTAAATTAAGTCTCACCTGGGAGTACTCCCCATCCGGAGATGGTGCATCTACTTCCGGCAAAGTCATTGCTTCCGGAAGCCAGAGTGATGGTGCTGACAGCCGAGCTACTTGTGTCCATTGGGGTTTCAAGTCTAATGACAGCGATGTCGTTGGGAAAGCCAGCAGCATTACCGTCGTATTGGGGATGCTGGTGAAGAAGAACGTAAAAACGGTCAAATATATATGAAAGACTAAAGTCAAATAGTGTATTCAACATTTTCTATCCAATAGATTCAATCTCATTAAAATCAGATCCTAGTTCTCGCTGCCGCTAAACAAAGATCTGAGGACATCCCATTACGGGTCACGTCAGACCGACCTTGCGCCAAATTTGACCGACCAATGGAATGACCAATCAGAAGGCAGCTTTCTCGTGCTTTGCGGCACTAATTTCAAATTGGCGACTAGCTTCGAAACATATTTTGACAAATTCTCGATTACAAATGTGGAACCTGAACAAAAGAACATTCTGGACTGGCTAATAGATGGTCTAGATTAAATGGATTCAGTCGTTAAACCCGTAACTATCGTTCGGAGTTAAAGTTTTAGAGGTTGCATGATTAGAAATCACATTCCGACAGTCACTTTCATGATCTGGTAAGCGATGCTCTGATTGGTCGGATGAAAGGTCGTTCTGACGTGACCCCTGATGGGATGTCCTCAGATCTTTGTTTAGCGGTAGCGAGAACTAGGATCTGATTTTAATGAGATTGCAATAGATTTTGCCTAAGAACTTATCTGAATACAAAGAGAGAATATATCGGAATGGGAAAACATCTACACAACAAACTCACGTTGGTGTACGAGGTGACAGATGAGTACTGCTCAGTTCCATCAATGATGTTCACACGATGCATGCCAAATATAACACGATAATCGCTGGCGCTGTGGGGGTAAATGTTTCGATAATATTTTAATCGCCATGCTTGAGTAACATACTGTTTGAAATGAATAAGGGAACACTAAGTTTTAGACACAGTAAAATGATATGCTGTCATGGGTTCCCTGCCTTGTCTACCAAATACGCGTTGGAAACAATGCACAGAAAACACCTTTGATCTCAACATTTGATTCTGACATGTGTTGAATTTGTATGCGCGCTATTTCAAATGTACTGACAGTTAAGCTTATTTCCCTATATTTTTCATTGTTCCCTTATTCGTTTCCACCAGTTTACATTCATCACTGTAAATATATAAAGTCCTAGTTGGTTGAGTTGAGTTCTAAAAAACTAACAAAGACCACCACTGACACTGTCATTCAGAGGTAGTAACTTCAAATTTGTGAATGAGTGAGTTGGTTTTAACAACGCCTTTAACAGTATTCCAGTTATATCGCGGCGTGTCAGCTTAATGTGGGAGGAAAGCCCGAAGTGATGCAGGTCTCAGACGTTTACCACTTCGGTGAAACCCACGAGCACGGGTATGGTGCTGAAAAACCTAGAAACATAATCGGGTCGAACCGTGATTCGAACCCACAATCATAGGTTTCTGGCGTGCCCAAGGGACGCAACTCTGCACAGCGAATCGCGGCGCTTTAGACGACTGGGCCACCCGTGCCCTCTTTGAAACAAGAAACAACATTAGCGTTAGTTCTAATGCACGTGGCACTTGCAAGGTGCCTGAATGGTGTTTGATAATAGGTCCGTGCTGTGTACCTGTTGTAGAGACAGTGGGCGGCTGTGAGGACCTTGGTGGCGGTGTAGAGGACGCAGCCACAACTGTGGAACCAGCTGCCATCGCTCCTCACCTGAACACTTCCTTGCCAGGGGAACTCTCCTGGACTTGCATTGCTGCCTCCAGCAATCCTAGGACTGATTTCAGCCATGGCCGTAGCTATAACACACGAACGATGACTAATTATGGTTATAATCTTATAATTTTAAAATCATTATCATGGGTGGTCGTGCTCATTACACCGATGTTGGTTGGTTGGTTTGTTGTTTAAAGCCGCACTCAGCCATATTCCATCTATATGACGGCGGTCTGTAAATAATCGAGTCTGGGCCATACAATCCAGTGATTAATATCATGAGCATCGTTCCGCGCAATTCGGACACCATGACACGTATCAACCAAGTGAGCGAGCCTGACCACCCGATCCCGTTAGTCGCCTCTTACGACAAGCACTGGCTGAAGACCTATTCTACCGTGAATCTTCTACACTGAGGAATGGTATATTTGTAATAGGTATTTGATAGAGCTCATCATATAAGAATGAGCAGCGCCCTAGCACATAACAAGGCTGCAATATGGACATAACTAACTTCAAAATAAAAATAAATAAATACTTACCGGCCAAGGTGCAGAGGAGAATTGTCAGGAGAGCGTTCATTTCGCCTTCCCAGGTGTATAGTGAGATACGGAATCAGAGGGACTTATATACATATCAGAGAAATGCCATGCGTTATTTTCCCATTGTCATATCGAGGAAGTGGACACTTTTTTTTAACTCATGACAACTTTATGGCTATATTTTGAGAGTTAGAGGCAAGACAATATTTCACAATATTGATTGTTCACTTTAAACCATGTGACATCAATATATACATAAAATAATAAGTCAGAAATATACACACCACAACGTTGTACAGCAAAGAAAAACTCATTTAAAAAAATACCATGACACGGAAAGGTGTAACTATATGCCATGTTTACTTGCTTGTTTTTGGCTCCTGTATTTTGTTTTGAAGGGACACGTAGCCATCAAAATAAACCTATTGATCACAAAAGTTCCAATCTCAAGAAGCCGCCACACTGATATGTGGTTTTCGACAGACCATATGTCAATGTCGTTCCCCATGTGAATCCAAATGTATTATGTTTGAGAATTAATTTCTTATCGTGTTTCGGCCTTAATTCTATTAATTCAGTGAAATGTATAAGTCTATGTTGTCTAAGAAAAAAAACATATTAAAGAGGGCACTTCAGCATCTGGATTACGTCACAGTGGGTACACATAGCACGGCTGTCAAGTCACACGTGAACAATCAAAGTCAGAAATAAAAATTTCCTTTCACAAAATTATGAACCATCAAACGAAATGATTCGAAATTGTTCCAAAATACATTGAAGTGGACTAATAATACCTCACTTTTCCCGTTGCCTTAATAAAAGCATGACATGAAAACAGAAAGGCATATTGGCCATGAGTGGCCACTTTTGTTTTGTGTCATAGTCCGGCAGAATGATGACATGACCTTGCAATTTAGTGAGTGAGTGAGTTGGGTTTAACTCCGCTTTTAACAGTATTCCAGTTACATCGCGGCGTGTCAGCTTAATGTGGGAGGAAAGCCCGAAGTGATGCAGGTCTCAGACGTTTACCACTTCGGTGAAACCCACGAGCACGGGTATGGTGCTGACAAACCTAGAAACATAATCGGGTCGAACCGTGATTCGAACCCACAATCATAGGTTTCTGGCGTGCCCAAGGGACGCAACTCTGCACAGCGAATGGCGGCGCCTTAGACGACTGGACCACCCGTGCCACCTTGCAATTTAGACCCGCATGGTATGATTGCTTCAGACCTTACATATGATTAAATATCAGACGGTTCTTTGGCACCCTTGACGTTTGTGAAGAAACTTGTTCATACAAAACTGGACGCGTTTTGATATTCGGCACCATTTTTGTACATGTAGTTTGTTTGTTGTTTATCGCACTCAGCAATATTCCAGCTATATGACGGCGGTCTGTAACTATTTTTGTAGTTATAAACCTTTCAGTTTATATAGATATTCTTGTGGAAAATGAAATAATTTAGTTTACACTGGATCATGTGAAGCATTAAGCCCATTCCTGGTGCCTATTCTCATAATATTGCTGGGATATTGATAAAGGCGGCATGAAGATATTTGTGGGTGCAGTCAAACCGTAGGCCCAAAACTTGGACAATAGAGAAGATGATCCTGTGGAATGTCTTTCAGAGTGGACCGCCACCGTGGTCTAGTGGTAGAGCGTCCGCCCGGAGAGCGGAAGGTCCGGGGTTCGATTCCCGGCCGCGTCATACCAAAAGACGTTAAAAGATGGTACTTGTTGTTACCCTGTCTGGCGCTCGGCATTAAGGGGCTTAAACAAGGACTGGTCGGCTCGGAGTCAGTATACTGTGTCTGAGTGGGATATTCATGTTAAACTGCGGCATTGTATCTCAGTGAGCTAGCACTATGAAACCAGCATCAGTCCGGACTAGTACAAGCAGCCACACACACACACGTACATGCACGTCGCTATATAAGTGCAATAATCTTGGACGCGACGTTAAACCCCATTTCACCTCACCTCACCTCTTTCAGAGTTTGCATGACGTTGTCATTGGTAGAATGCACAATGTGGACAAGAGGAAACAGCACTGGAATCAAACCAAAGTCTGGCTGCCCTACATGTGGCTGTTCCCTCTGGTGAGGCCTAAAAACAATCCATTATATGTAAATATATATCGCCAAATCCAGAGAATAACAGTCTCGATTATCCGCTGAAACAGTGTGTGAGTGATTACGTTGGGTTTAACGCCGCTTGTAACAGCATTCCAGTAATATGACGGCGTGTCAAATACATATGGGAGGAAAGCCCGAAGGGGTGGGGGTCTCAGACGTTTACCACTTCGGTGAAACCCACGAGCACAGGGCCCACTTGCACAATGCGATCTTAGCGGTAAGATGATCGTAACCCCCATGCTTTAACATAGGCTTACAATAGTTGTAGCGCTAAGATCGCTTTGTGCAAGTGGGCCCAGGTCTGATGCTGAAACATGACGTGTGCAGTAAACATATGATTACATATTCGTCCTAATTATGTCTCCTTGGTTTTCAGAATAATATTATTACGACACATATAACCAATTTAAGGTCCACTCAAAAAGGACACCCGTGAAGATCCGGGGTAGAATAGGTCTTCAGCAACCCATGCTTGCCGTAAGAGACGACTATGCTTGTCGTAAGAGGGATCGGACAGGACTAGTGCCAATTTCTAATGCTGGACATGTATCAGCCCTCCTCGATTCTCTGGAGATCTGTGAAGATGCGGGTTAGATTTGGTCTTCAACAAGCCATGCTTGTTGTTACAGGCGACTAACGGGATCGGGTGACCAGGCTTGCTGACTTTGTTGATGCATGTCATCGTATACCAATTTCGTAGACCAATGCTCATGATGTCAATCATTGGATTGTCTGGCCCAGACTCAATTATTTACAGACCGTCGTCATGTAGCTGGAGTATGGCTGTGTGCGGCGTTAAACAACAAACAAACAACAGTCACTCAAAAGGGAAGAAAATAAACTTGAATGTCCTACCCATAGATATTCACTCAAAGTGTTATATAAAGAATAAGTTAACAAAGAAGATTGCATTATTTGGAAAATCCCCCCCCCAAAAAATTGTCACTGTGTAAAATATTCAAAATGCCTCGAAATCGACATTTGGCTATTGGAAAGTCTATATAGTCAGGGCACAGAGGGCGCTCTTGAGAGAAACAATTTCTCGATGGTCGATCTGGTACATAAATTATTCAAATTATTATATATCAAACCAAATCAAATAATGTAAATATTATCATCACGATGCTTGTATGCTTAATATACACATGACATGATGGTTATACTATTCATATCAAACTTTCACAATAAGCATATATCTGTATCTATTATAGATGATAATACGTTTGCTTTTTCCTATAATTTCCATGAAATATTTTGTTTGTTTTTCTATTGTTGTTACAACTTTTCCCATAACTAAATCTAAATAATTTTAACATTCTCTTATAATTCAATTTAATCCCATGCCACGCTGTTCATGGAGTGAAAGTTAAAGCCATATTTGGGCATTGTTGTACGTGTACAGTGTCTGTATACGTTACATGTACGTATACGTCATGATTGTGTTACAATAGATGTGTTGTGTTTGTTGAAGCTGTTATACGTGAAGTGGCTGTAAACTGCTACAGTTATGCGTAGGAAGTACTTCAAGGATAATCGTATGCACTTGACCTCAAGGTCAGTGGTACTCCCACAACTCCCCACACACGGTCTCCTAGGATGATAAGGGCCTCGCAGGTCAAGCTGACCTGTCAGCCACGGTGACGTATTGCAGACAAGTGCTTGGTAGCCGTACTTGACCACAGGAATGTTAGACTGACCCCGATATACCCACTCAGGGGGAAATACCATGATATCCGTTGATACATTTAAACTTCATCGTTGACGATATTTGGGTCTCTGTTTTCTTCCAGTGTAGACCTGCATAAGTTAGACTGACATCTAGTCTCTGAAATGAACACTTTTTTACAGATAAATACAGTTGTTAAATTAAATAACATATAACAAAAAGGAGCCAAAAGACTTTCTCATTTTCAGATCATACCTGATCCCCGATACTGCAGTAATCTAGACTTGCCAAATATTATAGACTTGCATGGGCTGTATTGGATATGTTTGTTACAGGGTCTGTATGACAGACTACTGCATGAGAACAGAGACCATATAATATCTATTATATGGTCTCTGATGAGAATACACGTATGCTTGTCTCAACCTCAACATATATTAATTTCTCATTTATATTTTTTCTGATGCTGATTTCATATGAAATATAGATAAGTGGATTTCCCTATTCTTTTTTCTTTGTTTGTTTGTTGCTCAAGAAATGGCGCAGGACAACCCACGACAACAGGTCTATAATGTTGAACAAATAGTTCGTACACGACATAAACACAGCATGACACTGTTCATCCGGAAACCGCAATTTCCGGACGAATACGTTTTAAATAATTCCCATGAATATGTCGAACGTAAACGTCCTACATATGATATTAAATCCATCTATTTAAAAGTCCGGATGATTTCCCTGGATTGACCGGGTCTCACTGTGCGCGGAGTATAATATTTAGCTTGGCACATTGACTAACATAGAGTTAATGCAATCTAATTACACACCTTTCCCTCCTTAGACAAAAATACCTCGTGCTGTATGGAACAGAGTTGGCTAAACCTGCATTTATATAATCTGGATTGGTTTTATGTAGAGGGGAATGTCCGAGTAACTCTCCATTCCTTAAAAATAATGGAGCAGAGGCCCCGCAGGGGCAGAGGCCCATTATTTTTAAGGAATGGAGAGTTACGAGGATATTCCCTACTTAAAACTCATCCCTACTTTTACAAAATATTCTGTAGTTGAAATATTTGAAAAATTCAAATGCTGCTTCAAGATCATGTACAGTTGACAAGCAACTCTCCTTCCTGAAAAATAATGGAGCGTTCAAACAATAGAATGACGTCACAGACGTGTTTTAATTTCATGGAAATACATATATCCCACAGTGATGGTGCAGAACTAGTTTGCCACTGATCAGTGACTTGCGTGTGTTAAATACTGTGATTATGTAACACCGTTTCTATAATACTTGCGGAAAATGATTTGCGACTCGGGTTTCTATTCTATACAGAAGGACTAGACCTTGGTTTGACATGATAATCGATATATATATTTGATAAAGCCGCTAATATATTTATGGTTGTTATAAAAACAAATCCGATATGATCGGGGCGTCTCAATGATTTTACGAATGCTTCTTTCAATTTTGAGCTATACCCATACTGTTCAGACCACAACGTCCAGTGACACCATTATACACACAGCAAGTCTATGAAATATACCATATAGACCACATTTTGTTAATATTATACCAAACCGTTAACGTTTAAAATACCGTTTCTTAACTGTAAAGAAACCAAGTCTACAATGATGTCTAGATTGCCTGAACTTTTAGTTTCTATTTTGTAGGGATACTAGTATATTTTAAATAGGATAACATTTTATGGGACTAAATGTTAGTCTAATGAATGCTGAAGATACCCACTTGCCGCAGACAGGTTAATAACAGGTATACTTCTATCTGATCATAAGGCGCAATTCATGTTTAATGTCTACTTTTATTAAACCATTACCACAAAGTGTTAACCAACCACCAGAGTTCAACAGGCACAGTTAACCCTAGGGGGGCTGAATATCGCCAGACCCCTGCCGATGACGAGGTTCACTTACCCTTAATCTACTGTAGCGAGTGTGTGTTAGTTATGCATGGTCGACGTCGTCTTATATGGTCAGGGAAAGTGTTTACAATATTGACACTACAACATTACGTCCCATTCCTTGTATGGTATGTTGATAGTAAAGTGATGTATTTCTATATCATTTCTTATCTAAATATCAGTATTTTACTCCAGATTTCTTAAGGCCCGACGAGGTCTAGTTATTATCACCACCACCACATCATCATCATCATCATTATTATCATCATCATCATCATTATTATTCGGAATGACGATGGCATTAGATGACAGTCGTATACACAGTAGTGATGTCACTCTTGATTGATTTTCTGTGTTTTTCGAGAAACACATTGTGATACAGCTTTTGGTGAACGAATTAAGTCTTGAATAATTGCTTTATGACTCATCGATCGATTACCATCCATAATGCGAGGTAATTATTCGCGTTGTTCTCTTGAAATTCTAATTCACAGATTGACGTGGAAAATATTTACACAAATCATCCAAATACATTTGTAGAAATACTCAACGAAAGCTATAAAAGGTGTGATTTACTTCCAAACCTAATCAACGCTCCTCGCTTTGAAGTAAGACCAGGGGCTGAAACCTGTTTTCTTTGTCATCCTGCATGCTGTGAACACACACACACACACACACACACACACACACACACACCTTCACACACATGTAGATCTCCACTAAAACACGTGGGGCACTATGCTCCCTGGACCGTGGCAATCTCAACATCAAGTTAAGATGGCGACTCTGTGTCATGTGATATTGTTTTATCGTCTGCTTCTCATGTTACTTTGGCGCTCTATTCTTGGTCGGTGCATTCGCTGCAGGAGCTTCTGACTATCGGTGCTTACTAATTTGGGATACTTCCAACTGCGTGCAATGCCGGTAGGTCACGTGACGAACCGGCGTTGTCATATTCGGAAAGACTACAACTTTCAAACAGTTGACATTCTCTTGTACGGAAGTTAGAAGGTGAATGAATAAATTTAGCACCGGTTGTTCACAGAGGCAGTTTTGTTCCCCTCCCTCTGATCAAGTTTCAGGAGTGAAACAGGCCGTTCACGTACGCTCTCTCGAGCAGACGAGAGTTGGAGCAGCAAAAGTTTGTAGCAGACGATATCGGGTCGCGTCTTTCAAGTGTGACTCAGGGAGGTTCAACGCTCGTCCTTTCAAGCGAGCTGTTGTGTATTTTCTACCTGTGGCTGATTGGCCGATCAACGCTGAAGGTGGGTCGAAGCAGGCTGACCTGGAAAGCAGCTTACGCGGAGTTGTGGGAGCGATATAGTTATGAATACTTTGTGAACAGGCTGGGACGGTTATGAATACATGCTTGTTCACCATCTACTGTTGTTCGGCGAGGTAGGAAGGTCGCCTAACCCACCGCCTGTTGGGAAGGGACGACACACGACGAAAGTGTGTGAACGCAGGAAACATTTGAGGAGTGTTGCATTGCAACAGTAGGCGGCTGTGGGATAGATACATCATCTGCATTTGCGATCAAGACCTGCCACGAGTTGCATGACAGCAATATTTCCGAGGGAAAACGCTATTCCAACCTAGTTCCCATGTTTGGATATTAACTACAGGTGCTATCAGAGGCTACGTTTGTAGCAGACGACACGGGACGATGAAACGAGAAGCCCACCTCTCGTGTCTTATTGTTATACTCGTTTTTGTAATAGCTTGCTCGGAGGCTTTGACATTCTATGGAGGCAACACAACGTATGCCAAATTTCCCAAATGGAATGCTTGCATCAACGCTTCTCTGAAATTCGAGTTCAAGTCCACAAGGGGCGATGGTCTGTTGATGTACACAGACGATAACGGACGATATGACTTCTTCCAACTTGCCTTGAAGGGGGGACAGGTAAGATTATGGATGAACGTGGTGGACGAAAAGGATGGTGTGGTTCAGTTGGTGGTGGGCAAGAACCTCAACGACGGCAGATGGCACAGCGTAGAGGTGAAGAGGAACAGAATGAACACCACCCTCTTTGTGGACAGCTACCAGAGTAGCATGATGTCCTTCGGGTCTGATTTCCAGTTTGGAGATATTTACGAAAATAATTACGTCTTCTTTGGTGGCATCCCTCCAGGATATGAGAATAATCTGAAAGGATTAGCCCTGCCATCGTCCATGTTCGAAACGCGATTCAGTGGAATGATTCGGAATATCCTTTACTTCAACTGCACATGTATACCCGTGCGTGCTGAGATGCTGGAGAGCAGAGATGTGTCTCGGATACCCAAGGAAGCATGTGAGAAGAGCAACAACTGTCCAAGTCACTGTGCGTGTATCAGTTTAGATGGAGGCCCTGGATGTGAATGTTTTGAAACTCGACAATGTGCAGACCGTAAGTTTTATACGTTTTCATAATGCATATACAGTAAAGTACGGTTATGACGACCAATGGACTACTAATTTTAGTTCGTTATAACCGTAGTTCGTAATAAGCATATATACAGCATAACTACAGCAAATAGTCGGGACCAAAACAGTAAGTTCGTTATATCCGTAAGTTCGTTATAAGCGTGTTCGTTATAACCGTAGTTTACTGTACTCAAACTTCAACTACTTGTATGGTACACACACATATTCCCACCTACATATATAACTGCGAGAAAACATTAAAACAGAGCGTTAAGTATTCATGCAGCTAACAGAAACCAATAACATCCACACAAAGGATTAACCTAAATTCATAATTTGTCCGGATAATCCTTGGTAAGATATTTACAACTTACGCAGATTTATGACATGACCCGTAATAATATTAAGCCACTTAGCTACCCGTGCCCTATCCAAGGTGCAATGAACAGGCTGGTCTGTATTTTGTGTTCAAAGAAGACCTGATACTCCCACACGCGTTCCCTTCAGCACACACTTATAACCTTGTCGACACAAACCGGCTACCTAGCACTCATCCTCAACCAATCAACGGGTAACTCCTTCTGATATTTCTACCATAAAGAGTCTATACATAATCAGTACATACGTTTTATGTCTTTGTACCAGTATAACACTATCTACTAAACACTGATCTACTGAACCAAGATTTACAATGCTTTGGAATGTATACTGTTACAGTTATAACCTTTCATTACAAAACGAAGTCCATGCTTCCTTTAGAACTGTTTTATTCAAAGGTGTAACTAAGCTTTGATAGAATTGTTTTGAAGGACCCATGCTGATTCCAAACACGAAATACAATGTCCTAACAAGTCATACACACGCTCATATCAGCTGCGGTATGATAACATAAGGTTTTATGATAAAGTAGTTTGTGTATCCTGTCACAGGAGCAATAGCTCCACAAACAGGAATGTCAACATCCCTTATTGACCAGGTGTGAAACGGGTGTTGACAGGCGGTGTCAATAGCTGTCACCACTGAAATTGACATTTTTTGGTTGTTACAGTATGCAATGTGAACAGAATCTATACATTGCAACAATTCATTATACCTTTTGTAATTAGCCTTATAACGGTTCATGCTAGTACTTATGGTCAAGCAGCATACAACCAAATTGAAACATTGAGACTAATTGCATCTTCAATGAATATATACACGGCAATGTTACCGTTGAAAATAAGGTATATAATGTCCTACCAACTCATTGACCACCAGTACATGCTGGTTCGAAACGACAACGCAATAATCCACCAAAGATATTTCTCCTACACCAATAATGAGTCCATACATTCATAGCATTTTTATTTGATCGCGAGTATAACCTAATATTCCTAACACCAGGACAAATGTTCACGCATACGTTTTCTATTTCAAGCTCAGCATATATCAAGAGCACAGCTGTTGACAGATAATGATATATATATATACATATATGATCCTGCAGTCAATATGGGTATGCATCTCAACAAGTGCACTACTTCATAACAAAACCTGTTCGTGGGTAATTCATACCTTATGACAAACACCCGTGAAGGCATATGGTTCCAGATACACATCGTCATGCCAGATTATAACATTAGACTCTGATCCTAAACAAATAACCAGGCATATAAAGTTTCTGTTACATCATAGTGTAGTTGTATGGCGTCAACATGATTTGTTCAATCTGGGTAGTGGCTAATTCTTGATCTATAGGACAGATACACTGATAATACGTACTTGTAGAGAATATGGCTTTACATGATAAATTAATCATTTGCTAGGAACATGTGCATTTTAATAATTATGTATTAAGATTTATTATTATTTATTTGCATTTGGACAAACTAAACCAAGGGACAGCTTGAACATGACCTTTTAATAGATATTGTATTTCGATGTTTAAGTTTGATATTACAGTACATTTTGAAAATCCATTGCTTTTAAGGTATTCTCCCCGGTAATGTTCCGTAGCGTTTTTGGCCAACCTGTTAATAGAGGATTAATTAATCCTTCACACCAATAAAGTACCAGAAGCAGTTTTTCGTCAACACATTGTTTACAAAGGATTATTCCATTTCGACTGTCCTAAATCTACACAAATGGTTTAACACACACAGCCCTATGATGTCAGGGACAAGTCAAGTACAAACTCATGTGAATGTAATTGATCGAACATGCACCTGACCCTAAACAGGACCAACACCCTCAGTATTGAACCATCTGTTTCAAGTCACGGTCTCCGACATGGGGCAGGTTGGTCCAGTTGGGTTTGTTTGAGCAAATATTGACCCTCCAGGCCTATTGTAACTAGAGTACTGCCTCAACATCAGGCCCATCCGCTTAACACAGCACTTATCAATTACAGGTACATGAGTACATCCAATTGAGCAGGAGCTGATTTGTGTCAGAGGGATGTTGTAGGATCACGTTATATCGTAAACATTATTCCCAAGTCAATGGGCTTAGATGGTCGAGTACTTAGAAAACCATGTAAGCTGTTTCGTAATACCATTGATCCTACATAGATATAGAAAAGGTTACATAGTGTCTCCATCCTTCAAAATAACAACAGAATATTACAACATGATCAAATCCATCAAGAGAAAAAGGGACACACTCCAAACGTTGAAATGTGACTTTCGATTTGATATAAGAACTCTGGCAAGATGGTGTCAGTCTCTGGTTCCATTGAAGTTAGGGTTCACCCAGCAACATGGTACATACTGATTTCTAAATAAAGCTTCAATAACTTTGAAAAACCATATAAATTTGATTCTTTCTCCATAGATGTATAGAAATTTGTAATTATGTGAGACAGATATTCACAAACATGCATGCATGATTGTACATTTTGGATCCACAGACACTATGCATGCATGATTGTACATTAGGGATTCCACAGACACAATGCATACTCATACTGAGACATGTATGAACGTCTTCTGTATAAATTCCAGGTTTCAGACAAATACCCGGCTGGGACCTTGGCCGTGGGGGTAAGCCAAGCTGTGTGCTAGACCAGCTGTAGGGGTTGCTCAAATGTTTGTTTTGCTTAATACCATAGAAGCAAAGCATGTTTGTAGATCGTAATACGGTACTAAACTTTTGATTGTGTTCGTATTTTTGTTTAGGCAAGGTCGCATGCCTTGTCATTTTGCAGGGCAATCAATGGAGTCATTGTTTACATCATCTGCATCAAAGTAATGTTTGTTACAAGGAGGCATGTCAAACATTGTGTATGTTTTTGAAATTGGTACGTAGTTGTCAGTCATTGATATATAGTTTAGATGTTTGCAGTGATCATGTCTTCTCATCGCAACATCTAACCTTCATCCCAGGACATCATATTCACTAACCAATGTACCAGCAGTCTCTTTAAAATTCAAAAGTCTGGGCATACACTGCCCATGTGTGTAGGACCTGCATATATGCAATTATCATTATATGTACACTGTGCCATTACAATACCTACATGTAATTCCAGTTCAAGGGAAAAGATGCTTTTGTACATATAATGCAACGCAGCGCACCTCACATCTTTCATTGATAATCATCCATGTATATCTTATTTTTGATTATGAAAGCAACATATTGTAAAATGGTTCAATGGGTTACAACTTTCCTCCGGTTTAAATTGCCATTTATTAACATAAATGTTTAAGAAGAGAGGTTTACGAAGTACATGTGTTACATTTGAAAATGCAGTTCTGGACAAGCATGGGGAAATGTATACATAAATACATTTCATTTTTTTAAAATACATAATTAATTTTCGAAATCCGAACTTTAAGATTCCTTTTGAGTGTCCTTGAGTTTTCGGTCCCATTTCCAAGCCATTTGGACGTACATTTACAACGCGAAGCAATCGAGACGGGCGTCTCCCCTCTTCAGCCCGTCGTGTGTTGCACGACACAATCGTTTCCTCAATTATCGCAATCGTACTGGTGTAAGAGAAAGAAAACCTGGACCCAATTATGATATTTTGAATTTCAAATTTAGAACCATCCACTACGTTTGAAAATGTGAAGTTTGAAAAGGACAAATGTTATTCTTCGTGGTATTTCCAGATTGACCCGACGGCTTGGTATTTTTTAATGACGTTCGTAAACAGATAGGTTAGTTAGGACAACAGCCCAGTGCAGCTCATCTTTGTATAACAAATGAGAGGATGTTTAACTTTGTGATGCACCATGATGAAGGAACCCCGCTGCTAATGTAACACATGGTTCGTACTCTGCAACACGTGGTCTCACAGCGGCTAAATCAATGGACATACAACTGTCCATAAATCATCTGACACACACTGACTGCAATATGAATGGAATGTATGACAAAGGAGTTTTAGTGTATACACTATATTAAGTTTATTAAATAAGAAACATACCGGGCTGTCATATTTGTAAAATGCATATTTATGTGGCCATTTCAGATTTAAGCTAACCCAAAATAAAACAAAGTTGTTTTCACGGCATATACAAATGTTCATGTCACGAGTGGTCACCTTTTCATATATAAATAGTTCGAGAAATCAGTGAGCATTAGCTGGAGCATTGCTTGGAATTACAAGTAGACATTCAGAATATTGGTTCAGCTGAACGCTCAGATAAGAGAGGGTCGTTATCACAGACATGTGCAAATTCGTTCAAGTGTACAAGTAATGGCTTGAAGAGATCAAGTGTTCAGAATTCCGATGTAGTTTGCCTGTTTCATTTTTTACCCAGTGACATGTGTAGTTCCGTGAGTGGCAGTTTTGACGTGTATTCAGGATATTCTTTTTACTTTTCCCGAACACCTGGTGGCATTGATTTTCAGTTATCCTTTCACATAATTGTCTTTGTCTTTTACGCCCAATGGAAGCTGTTGTGAGCAAATTGTGACTTGTAATACCCTAGAGTTGACGTGTTATATTTGTAGTCAGTAATTAGGGTTTGTATTGATTACTCTCGCATACATTTCGACTTGCATTATTCTGATGGAAGAGGTGGAAGAAAAATAATATTGAGCATAGGAGATAAACATTTTTGAACAAGGTGGATAAACGATAAAGAATGAGGGAAAAGAGTTGAATAATATGGATGAAGTAATAAATGATAATAAATGGATAATTTATTATCGCCTATGGGACAAAGCGGGATAAAGCAAGCGTGACATGCTACATATATACATATTCTTGCAAAAGAAGTAATGAACAACGACGAATAATAAACACAGAAGCTTAAAAAGATGCGTTGCTGCACAATACTTTGTTAACTTATCCAATGCACAAACGTCTTTTTTGGATGGAATCTACAAATGCGATGTTTCTGGCGACAAATGATAAGTATGAAATGCGTGGTGAGTCACTAAAACACCCCCCTTCCCAATCCCAAAGAAGTCATTGCAGGGCACATACATGTAGCGTTGGGAATCATAAGATAAACCCGGAATAACATGGCAGTGACGTTGTCATGACGACAATGCCTCAGTGCCAAGAGATCGGAAGGTTCTATGAAGATACCATCATAGTTGACTGCATACCAAGTCCTGACTATGGCACATACAGGTTGCGGCTGTTTTTGGCAACATGAGTATTTTGCGAATGTCAGCAAGAAACCTATATCTAACGGTAAAGGACAATCCGTTCCATGATCGTCGGCTCCAGCATCATTCGATGCGAATATGATCCTCGGCGCTCATGGCTTTCACAGAAGTGGTAAAGGTCTGAGACATGACTTTTCTGGTGCCGTAGTTAAATGAAATAACTCACTCATTCACTCGTATAGGTGTGTGACCATGTTTCAACACACAGCATTGTTCGTCTCAGACAACGAATACATCCATCACCGTCACACTAAGCTGAATAGAGCAGGAAGCAGGTCAACAGTCATGAATGTCATACCTGACGTTAATACCCATCTGACATTCTTGACCGCTGGTCAGAAATAACCGTGTCAATGAACGTGCCTCAAAAGGACGTCGGTATCTTTGAAACATGTAATGATGAAATAAATAAGTGTTACGCGTACAAATTGATTTAGTAAACATAAATAAACACTGTGAAAATATATAAAAGAAAGATAGTTGTTTATCGTGGCACATGTACGTATTACTTACAACAAACCTTTGATATATTATGTCATAACGTAATCCTGATGTATTGCACCTTAGTTTTAATGAGATGGTGAATTTGATAAGCGTTCTCCATCGCCTAGCAATAACATGAGTGACTGGTATAAGGATGAAGTATAAACGTTCTTGTGTGCATATGTTGTGAGGAGAAACCTGGGACGTGGATGCCTATCTGGCGATGCAATTTGTGTCGGGGTAACCAGGTGTTGTAGTCCTGTACTGCTGCATTCCTACAACGAGAAGACGCGTATCCCCATACAATTTGGGAAGACATAGCCTCGGCATGACTTGCCCTATAGGATGACGAGAGGGGAGGAGGTGTGTGTGTGTGCGTGTGGTTTGAGTGGGGAGGGGAGGTGATGGTGCCATATGGGTTAATGAGAATAACGCTCGAGGAGACTCAGGATCCCCCATATAAACATACTCAGCTCCAACAGGATACCACAACATGCATCTCGAGTTGTTTCATTTTTTAAACCCCAGGCATATGGATTCTGTAAGTTAGGATTTTTTTTGGTTTTACTGCAATGAAAGTGCTAATTATAGGAACATATTGACAGTTGAATGATTTCGCACATGGCTTTGGTACGATGAACTATTGCCGCCTGCAAATGTCCAATCCATGTCCAGCATCTTGTAAACAGTGAGGTTCGGAGACCAAGACTGATAGCCTTTGAAAGTGAACGTTAACAGTGATGATTGGCAATGGGAACTTGAAGTGCTGAAATAATGAAAGCCCATTATGGAGTTGGAGGGTCATATCACCGCGGGTGACCAATACTTTGCATTGTTTTATAGGATCATAATCAGTCAGCTGCCTCCTCTGATGAATCACCAGAACTTTTATGACCACATACCTGTCCTTGTTCCACTAGGCGGTGGAGTAGCCTAGTGGTTAAAGCGTTCGCTCGTCACTCCGAAGACCCGGGTTCGATCCCCACATGGGTACAATGTGTGAAGCCTATTACTGGTGTCCCCCGTCGTGATATTGCTGGAATATTGCCAAAAGCGGCGTAAAACCATACTCACTCACCCCATATCATGGTGATTAAGAAATGACATCCGTACATGCCTACTAATCCGAATTTATTATTACAACATCAAATTAAGACATAAATCCAATTTTCGGTATGCTGTTATATTACCCCAAAATAATCCCTCGAATAAAATCCTAGCGTGTATTATACACTTGTGTCTATTTGTATATGTATGTGCGTCCTCACATTACTTTCAGGTATTACTTTCACCAAACACTAAAAATCCCGTAAATTAGTTAAGGATGGGGAGATACGACGACATTCCTGAACCATCCTGAACATCGCTGGGCGACAGACGTGTCCTTGCCAAGCTTGTTGGGCAGGATACAAACAGGTTCTGATGTTGGCTAACGAGAACGAGGGATAACCTCCAGACCGTAACTACTTCTCTATTACAACATACGGGTTCAGCGTACCTTCTGAACTGGAATACGCTACCCATGAATACAGATGCATATGTTCATAGAGCTACCTGGCCTTGAAGTGAAAGCATTTAATTAAGCTTCACATCAACAAGCTTTTCAAAAAGTAAATATATACGTGTGAGGAATTTAAAACTTATATACAGCGTTTACATTTCCCCTTACGCTATTATGTTTTTATCAAAACTAGACATGAACTGGCGCGGTTTTTTCTATTTTATGATCTCTGGTTTAATACAGTCGCTGTGGGATAAAGTGAATTGAATGTCTACTCTGAACTTTTAGACAAGGGTTTTAGTCGAATGAGGTCGTTGTACTATATTTGTCTTGTTTCAAATGTGTGTTCCCGGGCGGTCAGATTATAAAATAGTTGAATCATTGCTTTGATATGAAAATCTGACAACAAAATCATTCAGTTGTACAGTCTCA